TTTTTCCTTCCCCTTCTCAATAACCCCCCCCCCCCCAAAACCCCCCCCCCCCCCCCCCCCCCCCAAACAGAGAACCTGGAAGACTTACACATCAACCTGATCATACCCAGCCCCATTATGAGCACAAAATCTCACACTCTCGGGCAACGCACGGATCAACTCCGCGTCCCAGAGACCCGTGATTTCCACGCTGCCAAAGGTGCGATAGACGGCTACGACGTTGTCCAGGGCCCCGGAGTGACATTCGGCGATGAAGGCTTCGCGGTTGCGGGCTTTGGGTTCGAGGAGCTCTGCGATTTCGCTGAGGGAGTTCCATTTCTCATGGGCGCTTTGGAGAGGGAAATGGAATGGTTAGTGGGTCGATTGGGATTGCTTTTTCGAAGAGGACGGGAGGAAGTGGCAGACTTGGGGGGAGGGGGACTCACTGGTCGATTTTGCCGAGGAGGAGGACTTGTGGTTTAGCCATCGTCGCCAGTTCGCTTCACCTCACTTCGATTCGGAGTTGGAGTTGATGTTGATGTTTCTGTCCGATCGAAAACCCTCCCTCAACTGACTGACTCTGGGAAATGTATGTAGACTATGGCCGCGCAGGATCGGGTATTGCGGAGGGGGTCTTTCTTCGGTCGGCACAGCGCCTTCCAGTTCGTTCTTGCCCGCCCGCCCACAGATTTCAGGAAAAAGATAGGCCGAGTCTGTAGCAAGAACAAATCGCGAATGGTTTCCTGCCTCAGCCTCCTACCTGGAATTGGGAAGTCCCTGATGTGAAGTCAATGTACCCGGTACTCTTAATACCTAAGCTTTCATGTCGGCGGTGGAGGCCGGGACCTGTCATGGGTGCTGCTCCACTTCCCACCTCAGCTCTCGGCGATTGCGGGCAATGGCAGAGATGCGCCGAAGCCGAAGAATCTCTCTTGGAAGGGACGGGAAATTGGGGGTCATTGGACTCGCCAGCCAATCGGCTGTACGTCAAATTTTTGATCGCGCGATTGTATATTGTTGGTATGAGCAGAGTGAGTGAGCAAAGCCATGCATGCTACACAACAACGCCCCAACCCAGATGGTATCATCATTCAAGCCAACTCAGGCCAGACGTCACAAGTTGTCTGCAGACGCCTCTGTACACTGCCCAATCCTTCCAGTACACCATTATCCAACCCCTTACATTCTCTTCGCGCCGAAGATTTCCGATCCACCGCCGCCTCCGGCCTCGACAGTACCTTCCCACCCCGTGAAGCTCTCCAGCACCTGATTCCAATCCGCATCGCTCATCCCCGGCATCATATCACCCAAGCCGCCTCCACTGAACCCGGCCATGATACCCGTCGCTCCCGTACTAGAATTCGATCCTGGTGTTAATCCGGTGCCGCTGTTGGAACCACTGCCTCCGGCCCAATTCTGCGGTAAGACGAAGCCCTGCTGCGGGTGCTCCATGGGAAAGTCCGACATGCTGAAGTCTGCCATGTTAAACGAAGCGTCGTTGGGGTCAAAGATGCCCGTGATGCCTGCAAGGTCATTCGCTTGCGTGACGCCGCCAGCGCCACCTTGTTGTTGATTCTGCGGAGAATAGCCCGTATGAGACGTGTGCGAAGACTGATTTGGATTGGACTGTGTGCTGGAACCGGGCGTGAGATGATCATTGCTGCTTCCATCGGGACTGGTATCCATTTCCGGGTTGAAGTTGCCTGGACTCTGATAAGTGCCCGGCCCAGAGCCTGGTGTGCGTTGTCGATTGGGCAAGTTGAACTGGTTTGTGGCGCTGGGCTTCTGATTATGCCCGAAAGCTTGTGACTGGTCGGTCAAGTCGCTTGGATCGACAATGTTTGTGCGTGGGTGGGTGAAAGCAGCCAGCCCATTATCCCCATACGTGTGGGGTGCCTTGTTAGACATCTTATCCATGCCCAGCCATTCAGACATCGGGCAGCCCTCAGATCTCGTTGGGTTGCGAATTGTCGATTTCATGAGCTGGTCCAATTGAGCGCGCAGCTGCATCGAATCCTGCAGCCCTGCGTGCTCGAGATCGACGTCCAATTGCACCAAGAAAGATTCCGTGAGCGGATTCTTGCGCTTGATTGCGTGCATTGCAGTGAGGAGGAATTGTAATGATGTCTTGACCTGATCATCTTTTGGCCTGGACTTCAGGTACTGCACAAAGACTCGCGCAGCAACGTAGAGACAGAACGAGATGAATGGGTGCATCTATTGACTAGTTAGCATCTCGATTGATGGAGCATCAACAGATTGTGAACTTACCCCTGATGTATCCAAATGGCTGATCTGGCGCATGATACTGGCTATCTCAGCCGCGGCCGTGATACACCTGACCTTGCTCTCCGCGGATATTCTGGCAGGCATACGGTTCTTGTCCGCCTTGAAGATGGCCGCTTGATGCAGACAGATTGTCGAGGTGTGTATGTTCATATTCATGAAGACGACGTTCGCGTTGTTGAGTCCACATGGGAGACGTAGGTGCTCCGGTAACGCGAGAGCCGTGTGTAGGAGGATGTTGTCCATCTCTCTGTGCCTCTTCCAGAAGTCGCCGTTCACATCGTCGTCTCGGTCATCAGGGCTAGGCCTGTGAAGATGCGTAAGGTTACGACCGAATAAGCATGCCATCAACACCACACCCGAAAAAGAGGACAGATTAGCCGGCCCAGAGGGCTCTAGCGCTTCACGTAGGTGGATTGTCTTCGCCGGCTTATTTAGTTCGTACGCTTCCTCTGGCGTAGGCAGAACAGTCGAGATGTCCTGTTCTTCGATCGTCATGGGCCATCCGGTTCCAATACTAGAGTATCGGTCGACACAGAAGCACGACCAGAAAGTTCGTCTCCTCTCTTCGCGCTCAGTCCAGTCTCTTGGAGGAGGCAGGCACTGTTTGACATCGAGTCCTTGGCCGTCAACCCTATGCAGGCCCATCATTTGCGACATCCGACAAGCCCTTCCAGAAGACATCCAAGCTCGCGGGAAGTACATCAACTTGAATTCGTATGTCGCCAGTAGAACCCAAGTCTGACAATGTGCGATTGTGATCATCGATTCGCCATGGCCCTTCATCTCGTCCTGCTGGATGTATTTCCTGGCGCGCTGATAAAAGTGCTCCTGCAGATTTTCGTATTTATTAGTTACCGATGCTGCATTGGCCCACATCGCATATCGCAAGCAGACGGGCGGTCGCACATGCGGCGCCAAGTTCATTGCCGCATAATATCTGGGCTGATGGATCATGGGCATCGCAGGGTGGATTTTGTCGAAGTAGACTTGATTGAGCTCGTTAATCACTTCCTGCGCAGGTAGAGGTTCATCCAGTCCCAGACCTATCATCTCCCAAGGGAAAGGTTCTTCTGCCGCATTGTCCAAATCGCCGCCCAGTGCTCCAGACGTTCCCAACATGCCTGGGTCGGTCGAGAAATCCGTCGACTGCTGCAGCTGTGGCATCAGGTCCTCGAATTCCTGTAAACCGTTTGAAGCTTGTACCGACGCTTGCGATTGCGCCTGATTTTGCGTATCGTGCCCCTTCGCTCTCTTGTTCGGAGTCCCGTCGTCCTGTGTCTTCAACATCGTCTCGACTTGGGCAAGTCTCGCCTCCAATGCCTTCACATATCCCCTCTTCGGCCCACTCTTCCTCCTAACCTCGTCATACGAGCAGTCATGTTGTAGTCTGGTACATGTCCCACACGCTGGTTTGTCCCCATCACACTTCAGCTTCCGTTTCCTGCAAAGCACGCAAGCAATGCGCTTAGGCTTGGGAACCTCATTATCTTTCTCGCCCTCTTTACTGGTACTGTTGTGGTTGTTGCCAGTCGAAGGCTGTTGCGACAGATCGTTGAAGTAATCCTCCCCGGGCGATTCTTCCTGGGGGCTCGGCATCTTGGCCAACACCGCAGTCGTGTGCAGAAGCCGTCTCCGTCGTGCTTCGGACTGTTTCCACCCCTAGCCTCTATGCAGGATGTCGTCTCGCGTCCAAAATATCCCAACGTCCTGCGGAATCTCGCTCGCGGCTTCGCATTCGTCCTTCGGTCTTTTGATCTCCGCTAGACGACCAGCATCCCTGAGCCCTGGAGTACGGCAATACGAGCAGAGCGAGGAAAAAGGAAGTAATCGGCCAGCTTCTCAAAATAAAGCAGACAGCAGTGTCAAGGTGTCAAAGTGGCCTTAATCGACGCATCATCCGCCGTTTGATCGTCTCGGTAGCTGTCGATGCGGCTGAGGCTGCAGGATTCCACGTTTCCACGGGCACCGGTCTCTGGCCAGTCCGATATACCGTGCCTCACTCCTACTGCGGAGCTCTCGTATCACTACACATGATCCTTCGTGATGAGTAAGGCAGGAGATCGATTCGTTGGGATTGCCAGGCATGTCTGAATGCGAGTGCGAAGACATCTTGCACCTGTTGTGTCGATGTTCGAAGACAAAGAAGTGGGCAGCGAAGGGAGAGAGATGCCGTGAAAGAAACACTCGGCAGTTAAGGGCCATTCGCCAAGAGCGAGACCGTCTCACGAGTAGGATGGTCGACAACACCTACACATGCATTTTCCTCAACCAACATTCATTATTACACAGCCCGCTAAACAAGGAAATTCAAGTTTTAAACGCAAGTCGATATCATGTGCTCATCGCTACCGCTCTAGTTACCCAACCCCATACCGAAACCCCAAGTGTGAAGATGCAGAGCAGAGCATGCCATCCCGGGCGCAGAGGACACCCAGCACCCAAAACTCCTCATGCCCCTCCCTAAGCAAGCAGCAACTAAAAAAGCAGGAAGCAACATGCATTCGGAACAATCCAATTGCACGCTTCTCGAGATCATCATGCTCGAGATGGTGTTCTGTCGACGACCTTGGATCGGCGCGGGGGAAAGAAAGCATAGCAACAGCAGAGAGGAAAGGTCAGAGGTGCCTGAAAGCACCCGATCCGACGCATAAGAAATGCTATAACCATCCCGCCTTCATTAGAGCAAAACGCCGATCATTGTTTGACATAAAACAGCATTAGAGTGAGGACCGCCTCAACGCGCCATGGATACGTCGGAAGGGTTGTCGACAGATCCGGAAAGACGAGAGCCTTAGGTGAAGTCCAGCGAGCGCCTAACCGCTTCATGGGACTCCAGGGAAGGCTGAACGCGTGCTAAAAACGTTTAGCAATGCTCTGAACGCTATGAGCGAGGAGTCTTGCCGCCGCTGGACTGCGTAACGTCGTCGAGGTACTGAGGCGCCCACTTCTTTGCCCACTGGCGCAGGACGATGGAGGCTGGAAGAAAGTTAGCGACATATGCCAAGAGCGGTGTGCGGTTGATCTTACCCTTGAGAAATTTCTTGGAGGCGTACTTGCGGAAGAAGGCCTCGTGCATCACCGGCGAGTGCAGATAGTCGACCATCAACTTAAAGACGGGCTGGATCTCGCGCTCGGTGTAGCCGGCGTACTTGGACAACGTTGCATCCCATGGGCCACGCTCGAGGGCAAGACGCGCGAGGTACATAGCCGCGGCGGCGACCTGCGAAGGTGGGTATGCGAGGAAGCGGTGGTCCAGACAGCCAATCTCGAGCAGGTACTTGCCCAGGGTACGAGTCTGAATGTCGTAGTTGTCCGCCTTGGAGATGCGGCGGAGGAAGTTCATTGGGTTGGGGTACGACAGGTCGTAGTCGAGAGTGGCGAGGATGAAACGCTCGGCAGACAGTATCTCCGTGTCCTTGAAGCCGTCGTCGGCGACGTGAACGAAGTTCTGGACATGTGGCGACAGGACTTCCTCGTACTTTGACGCGATGAACATGGCGGTCACACCGACCAGCTGAAGACGATCGAGCTGGACGACCTTGCAGGAGAGGAAGCGGTCGATGATGTTGACGGCGAGGAAGAGAGTCTCGGGAAGCAGGCGGAAACGCGTATGGACCTCCAGCAACCAGTCGACGAGGATGCCACGCATCTTCCACTCGAGCTCGCCCTGATCGTTCATGTAGTCCGGATTGGCCATGGTCGTTATCTCGAGCTCCCTCATGTAGTCGAAGATCTCGTGGACGTATTCAGCAACCATGAGCGGGTCGTCGATGTCCTCGGCGTCGAGATCCTTGGCATCCTGGATGAGGTCCTCCAGCGCCGGCTCCTGTTCTTCATCGCTCACGTCTGCCTCAACCTTGATTGAACGCTCTCCGCGGAGATGTCTGAGCACTTCTGAGGCCGAGTACTTGGTCGTTCCGTTCTGCGCAGGCGGTGCATTCTCGACGTCCTCGTCGCGTTCCTCAACGACCTCACGCTTAGGCTTCACTGTGGATGTGTTTCTCTTCTTTGCAGTGTGGCCGCCAACACCCGAGCCGCTGTGTGGCCGCTTGAGATCCGAAGATGAGTTGGCAGTCTTCTGGCCCAGGACAGTGCGGTTGGAGTTGGTACGCGTTGCCTGGGGCTTCTGGACGCCAGCAGGCTTCAACGGCTTTGACAGAGGGTCCTTCTTCGAGTCCGCATTGCCTAGAGGCTCCTTCTTGACCACGTTAGAGACGTCTCCCAAAGCGGTCCTCTTGCGGGCACCGGCAGTGGCATGGGTGGTTGTGGTCGTGGTCGTGGTCGAGCGCTTGGTGGTGAGGGCCTTCTTTGGTGGGTCTCCGGCGGTGGCATTGTCGAGTGCGGCAGCTTTGGCACGCGTCAGACGTGTCGTGCCGGCGTTCTCGGCGTTCTCATCGGTGACTGTCCGCCTCGCAGCTCTAGCCTGGGATGATGTCAGCCAATTGGAACGCGACGGCGACGAGGAGCTCCAGATGGTACTCACTGGAGGCATTGTGTATGTGTGTGTCTGTACGGGTTAATACGCGTGATGAGAAGAGCTAGTGAGCACGCGAATGTGCAGATAAGTCGGTGTTTGGGAAGTCTATCAAATCACGGGTCAGCTCTGTTTTGGTCGCGTATGTTTGGGATGGAGGACGCGGTGGTGCTCACGTTTGGTGCAGGAAATGCAATGCAATGCAGAGTCGTTGTTAGCCGTGTCTCGGAGACCAGCTCGCAGCGGTATGCAGTCGTGATGCGTGAATGTTGGAGGGATGCAGCGTGAACATGCAGTCCGATGAAGGATGCGTGAAGCTGGCTGGCGGGAATGAAGATGCTGTCGGAAAGGTGTTTTCGAGGCCCCAAGCACTGCTGCTGATCCAGATACCACGGTACCCGCGACGCGTGGGAGGGTGAGGCAGAGGAGTGGTGAGGAGAGGTGGTGGTGAGTGGGAAGAGGAGCGGTGCTCGCGAGGAGGGCGCGATGTGGTGATGTTGTGGTTTGAAGATGCGAGGACGTGGGCAGGCTTCCCGCTTGGCGCTGGCAGCAGTCGCGTGGGACGTGTCCAGTACCTTAGTGTCTCTGCTTGTTTTGCCTTTTCCCCTGGTCAATGCGCCGGTTCTGAACTCGGCGAGAAGATGCGGCTTCAAAGCGCTCTCTTTCTCTGCGAAGGTGTCTGCGGACGGAGAAAGTGCAGCGTGGATTGATTTGAGAGCGTGTGCGTGGTGCGAGAGAGGACGAGATTGCAATTTGCACGTCAAGACACCGGATGGACGCGGTCGAATGGCCCGTGAGAGAGGAACCTGGTGCTAACGTTGCGACGACAACGCGCTTCCCGTGACCTGAATCCTTTCGGCTTTGCCCCACCCGTGAAATGCACATGAATATTTGATGCCCATTTGACGCACCACGTGAACATCGGCTTGGCAGACTCCTCCTCTACTCTTTCACCATTATCGCCATTGGCCTCGCCATCAGGCCCCCTTCGAGCCGTCGCCGGACCTCGCACGGCTTCATCATGCTCCAGACTCGGTTACGGCCTCTGACCGTGTGCACATCATGCCGTAGCCTCCTATCCTCACGGAGTCGCTCCTATGCGACTGCGCAATCGGCAGAGAAGACTGGAACCCAACCACCACCATACCAGGCCTCTACATCTACCGCAGATGTCACCACCTTCACACCTGCCGCCGCGCCGATGCGGAAAAAGGGCGGCTTCCAGATGAAAACGTACAAGCCCCGAACACCCGGACTACGACACCTGAAGAGGGCCATCAACGATCATCTGCATAAAGGAGGGCCTATGAGAAATCTGACATTCGCCAAAGTCGGCCATGCCAAAGGAGGACGCAATAACAGCGGAAGAGTGACCGTACGGCATCGTGGCGGTGGACACAGGCGAAGAATCCGGACGGTAGACTTTAATAGAAAAGCGCCAGGAAAGCATCTCGTGGAAAGGATAGAATACGACCCCAACCGCTCTGCGCATCTGGCTCTGCTTCAGAATCTGGAGACGAAGAAATACAGCTACATCATTGCCGCTGAAGGAATGAGAGCAGGCGATACGGTGGAGTCATTCCGCTCAGGAATTCCTCAGGAGCTGCTGGACAGTATGGGTGGTGTTCTGGATCCTGGTATGCTGGCTGCAAAGACGGCGTTCCGAGGCAACTGCTTGCCGGTGAAGATGATACCGCTTGGAACTCAAATCTATTGTGTTGGGTCAGCACCCGAAAGAGGCGCCGTTTTCTGCCGCAGCGCTGGAACGTACGCAACGGTCATCTCAAAGACGGAGGTGGGCAAGCAGAAGGAGGTCAAGGATGTGACCGTCAGGTTGCAGAGCAACGAGATCAGAAAGGTCGCCGCAAATGCTTGCGCTACGATTGGAACCGTGAGCAATCCGCATCACCACTTCGAACAACTGGGCAAGGCTGGTCGAAGCAGATGGCTAAACATCCGGCCCACGGTGCGTGGTGTAGCCATGAACGCTGCAGACCATCCCCATGGTGGTGGTCGTGGTAAGAGTAAGGGTAATGTGCACCCTGTCTCGATATGGGGAAGAACGCCGGTAAGTTCAGCAGTCCTTTCGCCTGAATTTAAAAGTCTTGCTCACACTGTGACTCCAGGCCAAAGGAGGATACAAGACCCGCAAGAAGAGGAACCCGAATATCTACGTCGTCAAGGAGCGACCTCGAAACCAAGGCAAGCGCCGGGCGAAGAACTAGCTGTGCAGAATCTTCATTGTACAGGTATTGTATGTATTATATACTTTCTAAGCCAGCCGCCTGCCAGTCCTTCACTCCCCATCCATTCCACACAATTAGACCGAATGTCATGGCACAGTCATCCACACGAAGCAGTGCGAAGACGACCAGAGTACCGGACCATGGAATACATGAATTCGTCCACAGAGGTGTCCGGGCTCGATGAAGATACTCTGATGCAAAGCACAAGGAGACCGGACTTGCTCGAATCCTTAACTCACGTGGCGCTATCGTCGAATGTCTGCGAGCATCCAGATCTTCTGCTGTGGCATGGAAAGCCCAATTTGCGGATGCGCGGCCATTCGTGTAGGTCAGATCCAAGCACATGACTCAATCCAGCAAGTCGCCGCCCGCGTGTACGCGCTCTAGTGTGAAAGAGCCGACATGGAAGCTAGTAGCACCGAGACGGAGGCTCAGGATCAGGTCTCTAGGTCCTCATGGCAGAGCGATCCTCTCATCCGCATACCATCTCCACACCCCTCGATCAAATCCTCACATATCTGTCGATATCTCCACCTCTCTCCACCTCATCATAATCTCCCCTTCTCCTTCACATTCCCCGTGTCCATCCACTCAATTTCCTCTCTTATTGCCTCCCTCAGTCGTCCAGCCAACACCCTGCCCTCCTCGTCATCCAAATCCTCCCTCGCCCCCCGTCCAAACATCCTCCAACTCCTCATCTGCGCCTCCCCCATCCCGTTCTTCTTCTTCTCCACCCTCCCCTCCTGATACCTCGGGATCAAATGGAAATGCACGTGCGGCACCACCTGCGCCGCACGCTCCCCGTTGTTCTGCACGATATTCCAATCCTCTACGCCCGTGACCCTACACAGCGCACGGCTCAGCACGGGCAGGAATTCCCCCATCGCACGACTCGTTTCCAGCGCTTCGGCGGCTTGCTTGCTGGAGATCCAATCCGTTCGTTGCTTACTTGACGAAGGTCTCTGGAGATCGGAGAGTTTGGCGTAGTGTTTTCGTGTTGTGAGGAGGATGTGGCCTGGCGCTATGGGCATGATGTCGAGGAAGGCGAGCACGTGGGGTGTGGAGAGGATGAGGTGGCATTGCGGTTCGCATTTTGCTGGGTCTGGGTTGTGAGGTACCGGGGAGGTCGAGGAGGGTGGATAGGCGGTGCTGATTTTGCAGAAAGCACAGGGCTGCGGGTACAGCTCGTCGGGCGAAGACATGGTTTCCCTTGAGACTTGCTTATAATGAGCTCAGGAGTGGCTGAGGTCAGTGGAATGTTGCGATCAAAAGGACGAAGGGAAAGTAGGTATTCCGTATATCAGGGCTGAATGCAGTGCCGCGGCTTGAGACGCCCGGGGTTATCGGCGCTAACGCATGCGCGTTGTTCCGTCATGTTCAGTGACCGAATCCGACCAACCGACATGGCACAGCTTCTACTTCTCTTAAAGATCATTTGACGAGAAATGAAGTCGAACAAGGATCTCGCAAATGCCGGGTTGAGTCCAGAAGATATAGAACACATACGGAGTATGAAACTAACTCACTTGGACGAATGGAAACGGGAGGTGTCGTTTCAACCTTCTTCCTTTCCATGCGTTGCCATGTCGCTATTCGACATTATCTGGTTGGGGAATATGTACCAGTGACACTCTTAACAATAGCGAACATACAGACTGCTGAAGCTGCTCCCTTCTCCCATCAACAACGTTCTTGCAGTCGCCAGGTGTCTCGCGTGTGCCGTTTCCATCATGATGAATCAACAACTTTCTCCGAACAATAGACAGAAGAAGCTGTAGCAGCGCAGCTCTCTATGTATGCTGCTATAAATGCATGCGATCCAGGTGCTCTCTTGCCCTGGAGCTGAGCGGTCGCTGAGAGCAAAGGCCGTAATGCAAGCGTGGGCGTCGTTCCCTGCGGACTTGTACAAATGAGCGCATGGGCGCTTCAATGTAAATGGATGTTCCTGAATCAAGCGAAAAGAGAATGAAAGATTGCGTTTGTCGGCAGTGCAGAAAGGGAATTGTCAGAGCCCATGTGGCTCAGCCTGACGTCGTCATGACTGATTCTTATTCAGTCCCAGATCCAGCCAGCTCATATCTTGGGTGTAAGGTTCTGATTTTCTTTGTGACCGCCGTTGCGATTGGGGTCGTGACTGCCGTGGTTCTTGCGCACCCGGCGCGGCTTGTTGCTGTGCTTTGATTTCCTTGCTGGGTGTCGTCTCAAAGTCGTTAGCGGAGGGGAAGACGGTGACACTGGACGAGGTACTATCGCGTGCTTCTGCTCTCGCCGCGGGCATTCGAGGAGAAGCCCACTCGGAGGTTGGACCGGCATTGTGGCTTAGTTTGACCTTGGACGGTCTGTACATTGTGCCAGCACCTGGAAAGAAGCCTGCCGACTTTCCGCGAGACGGGACCCGATCATTGGGACTGTAGACGACGCTGTTAGTGTAGACGCTGCTGGTCACACGTTCGTGATCGCGGTGGCCGCTCATGGGAGTCCAGGGGGTATGGGCCGAGTCGTTATAGTATTCGCTTGCCACGGAACTACTGATGGTAGAGCGATTGCCAAACGAGCTGATGCTGTCGGGCTGAGACTTCCGAGGATTCCCGGGGTCGACGATGACACCCCTTTGACCATCGCCAACATCAAGGCTACCGCCACGCAGTGCGAATGCTTCCCGTGAGTCGAAATATGCAGGTGATCCCTGAGCCACGTGCGATAGCCGCTGCCCGTCGACAGTCTTACTAAAATCGATATCGAGCGGGGGTACCAGCGCAGAGGACGGTATTCGTGATGCCGGCGAAGGTACCTGGTCGCTCGAGTATTCGGAAGCGACGCTCGCGGTGCTGGGCTTCACATAGGCCGAAGGAAGATGAGAAAGCCCATTAGGCCCAGTAGGCTGACTTGTCGCGAAATACTTGGACCAGCCTGAGCTTCGTTTCCTTTCCGCTCTGGTCTCCTTGTCGAGCGATGATCCATGAGCAACGGCACCAGGGACCGTCAGGTTGTCTCCGTTTTGCAACGGGAGCTTATCACCGATGTCTATCATCTCATGATTCTCGCCCGGCACGAGATTGCCCTCCCTGTCCTTAACAAGATGGGCTGTGCTCTCGAAGCTGCCTTTGGTCGCATGGTTGGCACCTGTATATCGTTTATTGCCAATCTTACCAGCGATAATGGCCAGCGAGCTATGCGAGTTGTTGTTAGCCCCGAATCGGTCTCGATTGGGTGGTCCAAGATCATCGACTGAGCCGCCAGCCTCTTTCATGAACGACGCGCCCCGGTCTGCGAAGCTCATGCGACTAGCATCGCCATCGCCGTTCTTCTCCTCAAGGTAGCCGCCATTCTTCTTCTTCGCCTTCATCTTCCTCCATCTCAGATACAGCAACACTAGTATGAACAGAGCAGCAATACCACAGAGCACTCCGAGCGTGATTCCAAGTGTTCGGAGCGTCTTGTCATGAGCACTTAATCCACCCGATCCCGCCGCTGTTGTTGAAGAGGGTTCTGCTGTTTCAGTTGGGATTGAGGTTGGATTGCTGGTCGAACTTGGCACGAGCGGCTGCTGCTCTTGCTTGCTATTGAAAAATTTGCTTGCGTCGACCCATGAGTTCTTCGTCTGATTGAACATGATGATTGGATTTTCGGAATTTCCGCCGGCCATGACAACGAGACCATCTGCGGTCCTTGATATGGAACAATCTGGCCGCGTTGATGTCGGTGCGTTTGTTGCGTTGTACGATGGCCAATTCTCCAAGGACAACTCTCGCTTTCGCTTATTGGACGAAGTTGAGGGAGACTCATCACCCAGTGTTTGGCCAGTCGGTGCAGGTCGTCCGTTCGAGCCCAGAAGCACAATGCCCTGTGCAGTATTTGGTGAGACATCGACGTTGTAGACCTGTAGCACTTTGCTGCCATCCGTTCCATCAACTACGACAGCTCTCGCTGCCGAGCTGATGGGCTGTGACAAGTTAGTGCCGAAGGGGTGCCAGCCATCTTCAGGACCAAAAAGCCAGACGTCTGTATTCGTCTCGGCTCCGCCGACCATCACCGCATGGCTGCTGTTCCAAGACTGAAGTATAGCGCTATTGGTAGGAGGGGCCTTTGAAGTGAAAGAGCGAATGTTGTACGGCGGGACGGTGGATATGAGGAACGTCTGTGACGACAGAAGCGATGGTGCCTCTGGTGTGGAGCCGCCGTAAACCAGTATCGATTGGGAGTCCCCCAAGTACGCTACGCTGTGGTTCGTGCGTGATTTGAGCACTTCAACTGGAGGGGTCAGCGTCTCCCATGACTGATTGCTGAAGGAGTATCTCTGAAGGCCCAGGTAGTCATTCGAGTCGGAATCCCCTCCGATCACGTAAAGTGAGGCTTCCGGCCCATCCCCAGCTTTCACGCACGCTGGGCTGTTGACCGACTTGCCGTTGCTCTCGTTCGACCAGGTCGCGTTTTCCTTCAGCGGTAGCGATTGAAATGCGTCCGGGCTGTACGAGTAGAGAGTATTGCTGTCAATGGCCGCACAGTTCCCACTTAGCGGCCGCGAGGGTTTTGGGACCGACATGGGCGGTCTCTGCGCGGCGCTGAGTCGCTCGGAAGCTCAGCGCCGGAGGTTGTGTGTTGTGTGTCGCGCGAACGGAATGGTCGAGCCGTTAGGACTCAGCTTGAAGATGGTATGCTAAGCATATGGACTCCAGCAGTAGGGCGCGTGGTGGATGGCTGTGCGTTGGTGCAGGCGGGAGATGGTGCCCACCGTGGAAAGGACCCGCCAGGCCACCTGTGTCCCGATGGTAAGTTACGAGGGCTGTTCCTGCCTCTTGTGCGTCGATACACCACCTGCCCAATGGGTTTCTGGCAAGCCGAATGGTCCCGGTCCTGGTCCTGATATCCCTCTCCCGCGTCTCTCCTGTGATGTTCCTGGGTATCAACAACGCACTCCAGACGAAAGATGGAAGCGCGCAAGAATGTCCTGCTCCGTGGCGGGAAATGGTGATGGAATTGGTCGAACGAATGGTCCTGATAGTAACGAATGATGGTGCGGTCGGTGGAAGCGAGCGACGAGGTTGGCCAACGAGAAGCTGAGGTGAGCTGTGACGGAAAGGGTCTCGGTCTCGATATGGCTGTCACAAAGGAAGGAAGCAGCGTGCAGGGAGGCCAACAGGTTGTGAAACGCGACGACTCGGAGCTGTTACATTGGCGCTACGGCTCGGCGCAGGCACAGTCGTCGACGGCGGAGGGCGGAGGGCGGAGGGCGGAGGGCGGAGGGCGGAGGAAGGAGGGCGGTGGGAGAGACGGTGGTGTTGGTGTCGGTGTCGGAGTGAGTAGGTCGAGTGCAAGCAAGGTGGGAGACGACAAGCGACCAGCGACAAGTCGGGGACGGACGCGCGAGCAGCACAGCGCAGCACAGCGCAGCACCAGCACAGCGCGAGCCCACGCCCTAAACCCCTTTCGCACCAATGGTAATGCGCGTTGGATAGGAGTCGTCTGCCGTGCACGCAGCGCAGTGATTGGCCTGCCTCTCCACGGAAGGGCAGTCTTCAGCGCCGCTTTGGCACGACGAGTCCGTTACCGTTTCTGTTCGTATTGTTTATTATTACCACCGCTGATCCCACACGTTGAAACCATCTTATATTCCACATCATCTGATGATTCTACTGTCCTCTGGTGCTGCTTCTGCTTCTGCTTCCGCTTCGCTTACCTGCAGACGCCGCGCAGGCATACGGGCTGTTCGTCGGCTGCCCTATGTCGGAGCGCATTAAAACACGCGGTCGGAGCGCCACTGCGACGACCACATCCCCTGGTTTCAAACTCCAAACTCACTTCCGCGTCCAGGGATAATGCCTTCATCAATCCCTTCACTGTGCGTATGGCTTTCCATGCCGAGCACAACAATGCTGCACGCCACAGTCCTCCACCGCGCTGCACGACATGCCGCTCCCGTGGCTTTTCTCATCAGCACATCAGTCGCCCTAACCAGTCTCGGCAGGCACGGCAGGTACCCGTCAGGTGCGTCTGCAGGAACAACTTCTCCCGCTTGTCCCGCTGCATCCTTGTTGCAATGAAACGCTCGCCTCCGGGAACTCGGCGACGGGCGAGCTACCCGACCCGTACGCGTTCGCGTCAATTCTGCCTTTCTGCTTGTTGGCCCGTTGCCGCATCACCTCACGACTCGCATGATTTGGTCAGGCCTCTGTGCTAGCGTGCGTGTGTCGAAGAGAAACGACGGCCGACTCACCAACATCGCATCCCCGGAATAAGGGCCAACACGCCGCATCCCACACTGCAAGATTACGCAGGCGCTCGCGGCCGCAGCTGGCCGCCAAGGGGTCAACTACATGTCCCGCAGGACAGACCAATCAGAAAGTTTATCGGTATACTTGCGCTATCACACAAACTCTAGGCAATAAATACTGGAAGAGTTCACACCACCTGCCTCTTGTGGCCCCTGTGTGGACCGTCTACCTGGATTTGGGAACGCTCCACGGGCGCAGTTTCGCGCCTGCAAGGAACTGAAGCCTCCAATGTCAACTCCATCTTGCAACACACGACATATGGCCAATTTGTCCGTCATACGGAAGGAACAAGTCGATGCAGACGCGACGCAGCACTGTGCTGCAATCGTTGCACAAGCCGCCAGAGAGGGACATCATGTCGGCACCGAGTTCGTCACATCCACAAATGCCTCCCATTGCCGCAGCGCTTCACCGCTCTTGACGGCCCATCTCGCCCTCCGTACGCCCTCTTTCCAGCGCAATCCACCGGGCCCTCTCTCCTTGATGACTTTTCCATCGTCTCCATGGCCCATGTTGCTCTCATCCGCTTCGCAGATGCCGCTGACGGTGAGCAGTGCAGCCGTATTAATCAGAACGAAATGCAGGACCGGGTCGTCATCTGGTCTCTCATTTCGCAAGATTTGCATCAGGATCTCTGCGTTCTCACTGGGCAGCTTGCCGCCGTGCACTTCCTCAAGTGGATGCCGCGGGAGGCCGAAATCTTCCGGTGTGATCGTGAACTTGGTAATTTCCACGGCCTTCGCGCCTTCGCCATGCTGCGTGCGAGTTTCGTGGATGTGCCAGCAATGTGTCAGTCCCGCGCAAGAGACCTCGTCTAGGTCTTCGTCTCCAGAGACAATGAGAGCTTTCTTCGAACCGCTCAGTCGCAAGGCATCTGCGAAGTTCTGACCAATGGCCTTCCTTGCGACACCGAGGATGCGGCATTCCACCAGTCCAGAATCGTGAACGGGGTTAGCCAGCGGACCTAGCAGGTTGAAGATCGTTCGAACGGGAACTTCTCTGCGCACTGCAGCACTGTACTTCATTCCAGGATGCCACTCTCGTGCATACAAGAACGCATAATTCGTTTTCTCGTAGATATGAGGCAAGTTTGCTGCTGTAGTTGCGGCAATGACGGGTGGCTTCGGTGAAGCATTCTGCAGCAGATCCGCTGAGCCAGAAAGCGACGTGGATGAGTTGTTGCCGTGCTTCGCCATCATGAGCAGAGCGGATGCTATAATTGACGAAGTGGTAGAGACGTTGAAAGTGTTGTGTCCATCACCTCCCGTGCCTACTATATCGCACTAGAGATTATACTCATTAGTAGAAGTTCGGCGAACCATTGCTTCTAACTACAAGACCTACCAAATTTCCCTGATAGTCGCCCTCTGATTTTCTCCGTCGCTTCATCACAGCGTTCAATGCTTCTTCATCCACCTGCGCGGCTGCATCTCTCATCGAACTGGCACATGCGGCTAGTACTTCAGCCTGGTGATCCAGGTTCGTGGTGTGCAGCGCCCACAGTAACACTCCAAATTGAACTGGAGAGAGAGAGTTGGTAAAGATGAGAGAGACTGCGGCTGCAATCTCTTCTGCAGAGATCTTTCGTGCTGATTCCAAAGTAGCCAGTCTCTTCAACAAGCTTGTGATGGAAACATATCCGCTATTGTCGTGTGAGGGCATGTTGGAGACCATGCGTCGATTTCCAGTTGTGTAGTGTCTGGTATATTCCGTAGGATTTCCAATTAGATTCCTCCCGTCGTGGATCCGGGCAAGTCTTGTGTCCGAGAGTGAGAAGCTGACACCTATGACTCCCATTGACTATTCCAGGTTGGTTGCTGAAGTGCGGTGCGAGCGGACCGATCTCCGGCTATTTTGAGTTTGTCGACTTCTCTTGTCCCCGAAAGCAGCATTCATTGAGCTCCCAATTCATCGCGGCCAAGCCAGACATTCCGCGTCCCATCCATCACATGCTTCTATGCTCGAGAGTGGCCAGTATCGCGCGGAAAACCCGATAGCGCAGTATTTGGCTGTTGTACTGGGTGCAGGCCCAAGGGAGCAGCGACAATGCCACCTCGAATTCGACTCCAACCGAAGCAATTGCGAATAGCACTCCGACCGCAGTACGTCTGCTGGCAATGCAGACATGCATCTGTAGCGACTGCCACGACTCCGGCGCCGCCGATTGACCAGACTGTACAAGTCTCTCGGCCGATTGCGAGATCTCCTCCCACTCAACCGCCCTCCTACAAACCTCCTGAGTTCCGAAAGACACAGCTACATCGGCAGTATCAGTCACTGCTAAGATCGTCGCAATTGATGATCATCTTCCAACACAACAACCTCAAATCTACGGAATGGATGGGCATCAGGAGAGAGCTGGCAACGGCGATGAAGAAGGTTGATGAAGAGCTGGCGAAGAATGGCAACATGGGATTCGTGGGCAACGACACGAAGTTGCAGGTGATACAGACGGGTATCTTCGCATCGGCATTGAGGATAGTAGAGTTCTGGAATCCGAAATTCGACGACACTTCGTCATCTAAGCATCCCACCGATCCTGCGACCGCTACTTCGAAAACTGTGGACCAAGTGATCCAGCATGGACTGTCGAAGAAGGCATACAAGGCGGCAAATAAGAACAAGAAGAGGCAACATCACGGTTTGGAGCCCTTACTTTCGGGACCGCTCGCTGTTTTCACAATGCCGACTGTATCACCTCAGCATCTGAAAGCTGCGCTCTCTATCCTTTCACCTTCCAAGGAATTCCCACCACCAAAGCGGAGGGCAGTACCTAGTTACCATGAGCCGGCGGTTCAGAACGGTCTACAGAAGATGATGTTACTTGGCGCACGAATTGAAGGCCAGGTGTTTGATATCGAGGGCGCGAAATGGGTGGGTACCATTGAGGGTGGCATTGAAGGATTGCGTGCCCAGCTGGTGTCGATGCTGCAAGGCGTAGGTGCTGGCATTACAACTACACTTGAGACGGCTTCAAGGAGTCTTTACATGACGGTTGAAGGGCGGAAGATGCAGCTTGAAGACGAGCAAAAAGGAGCTGGAGAGACGAAGACTGAGAGCTCTTGAGGTGAGCAGTGAATACACCCATGGACCACCTTGTACCATACCACTGTCTGAAGATACCGCTACTGCGATGCGCATAACTCTGATGACGACATACTCAGTTGCCTAAGTGAGGTTTCATGTCTCCGGTTCTGGTCGGCTGACGCTAGTCAGATTATTCGCATGTGAAAACTGGCTGGCTTTAAGGCAGCAAAACTAACTTCATTCGCACAACTCATGACCTTCGGGTCTCACCTTCTCTTCCTACGACAACGCCCCTCTGTTCAAAACCTCATTCAACTCCGTTTCCGCACCGCTATTAAACGCAATGGCGGCCCTCGCGGCCTTTCGGTATGTTTTCACCACATGTCAAACAGTTCGAACATGCTGACTAGCAGTAGCGCCGACGACAAAATTGTGCGCATCATTACCGACCACGGCCACGGCAGCTCATGCTATGTTCATCGCAACCTGCTCGTAAAGTCCTGTGAGTACCTCGACGCTGCTATTGCCGACGAAAACGACCCTTTCGACGACGGCCCGATCATCATCCAAACCGAGGTCACACAGAGCGCCATGGGCTGCTTCAGCCATTTTCTCTACACTGGCCAGCTCAAGGCGGCCTTCAAGAGCATCTCTGAGATCCTTGAGGTCTACAAATGGACTACTCATCACCTTCACTGCGGTGACTTCCGCGACGCATTGACGGATGAAGCGATCAAGCTCCTGACCAATGGCCTGTCCCCAACGGCCGCGCCAGACATCGTCTTTGCCGTGCTCAATGATTATGAAGATATTGATGGAGGTCTGAGCCTTCTCTTGATCGATTGGCTTGTGCGTTCTCCATTTGTCTGCCCATACTATGCCGAGATCAATGCACGGCTTGCCAACACTGAGGCCACGAACCCGATCCATCGCGCGCTCGGTCAAGCTTTCTTCGAGGTGAAGTCGATCCAAGATGGCATCAGCGCGACTCCTTGGCTCGAGAATCCCTGCCAATATCACGAGCACTTGCCAGCTAGCTCCTGCGTGGCATGGGCGCCCGTCACCCCACAAGGCCCGGAGAGCTCGTCCCCACCGCCGCCTCCCAAGACCCCTCAGAAGCGTACTCTCAGGCGCAAGACTCGCTCCAGCACGTTTGACCGGGATCTCGACGATATGGCTCTTGACGACGATGAGGACGAGGACGGTGTGTTCGAGACGCCTTCCAAGTCAGCCTGCCCCACCACTTTTGAGCCTTGGACGAATGAGGAGCGCATCCACTTTCTGGACCTCCTGCCTAAGACCGTCGACATGAGCTGGCCAAAGATGGCTCACGAGCACAACAAGACTTTCTGGGGCAACAAAGTGAGCACTTTCTCTCGCTCTGTGGGTAGTCTCCGTGCCGAATTGTCCAAGCACGCAAACACGACCGAGCGCGCCAAGGCCTTAGAAGTCCTTCCAGAGAAGGTTGCCGAGCTGAAGCGTGAGATGGAGGCTTCGAAGCAGAATGATTCGAAGCTATCCGCCATCGGCAAAGACTCAGATACCGTCATGGGCGTCGACGAGGGTGAGTCGTGGACCAACAAGGAGACCATCCATTTGCTGCGCCTGTTCTACGAGAACCCGAATGCAACTGATCAACAGATTACTGATGCGCACAACGGATGCTATTGGGCCGGAAACCAGGAGCGCTCTGCAGGCGACGTGACGGGAAAGTATCTTGAGCTCATCGGCGTGGGACGGAAGGTGTCGACCATGAGCAGGATTCCAGCGACAATTGCTGAGTTGAAGGACGGAGTGTGATTCAGGTGCGTCTTCGTATTCGCGGTGAAGTCTTATCAGCAGCAGCAGCAGCAGCAGCAGAAGCTGGTCAGGACCAAGGTGTAGATGGACAGAACACGAGCTCGTTTGCGGTATACCTGCTCTGTGCTTCTACCCGTCATGTTCTAAGCGAAGGTCTCGAACGAGTGGCCCAGGTCAGTGCACACGAATGCAATAACAATAACAGTCAAGAAGGGACACGTTCAGCCGGTGAAAGATATCTCTCAATGTGTGGTGCTCTTTGCATTGACAGCTTGGCGTCGCGAAGGGTGAGGATGAGGCGGACACTTAGTCAGCTGACCGCGCTAGAGCCTGACAAGCATGAAGTGAGGTGATGTAGCCTTCCGTGCCTGTCCTTGTACCTTGCTTGCTTCGTGGTCCGATCCCGTCTCCCGCTCGCCTCTCTTCTTCCTTCTTCTCTTTCGCTCCCCACACATCTGAAGAAGCGCCTTTCACTCGCTCAGGCGCTGATTCAAACCATGGAGCACAACACCAATTCCACCGCCACCTCCGAGACCGCCATAAACCCGTTTGCAGACCCGGCCGGTCCGGAGTCTTCCCTGGACGCATCCGCTGTGCTGACCGTCGACCGCAACGCTACCCTCACCCTTGGAACCGATTCCCTCATTGTCCTTGACGAAGGATTACGGCATAGAAGAGCAGCCGAGAATTGCTGTGGCCTGCTGCCGCAATTCTCAAAGACCACCCGAGCTGTGCCTTTCCACAACATCCTGTGGGCGGAACTCAGTGATTTTGATGTCACGATCAAATATGCACAACCCATCGGCCGTAAGGGAAAGGGATGTAGAGTCGGCTACATCAATTACAGTGTGACGGATAAGAGTCTGCATGCCCATGCCAAGCGATGGATGGAGAAGTTGATGGAGAGATCATATCCTTCCACCACAAGGAGGAAGAAGAGGATAAAGGTTCTTGTTAATCCTTTCGGTGGTCAAGGATATGCGCAGAAGCTGTGGACAAGGGACATCGAGCCTATCCTTTCGGCGGCGCACTGTGAGCTGGATGTGGAGAGGACTACGTACAGAGGACATGCGATCGAGATTGCGGAGAACTTGGACATCGAGGCGTATGATGTTGTGGCTTGCGCATCGGGCGATGGGCTACCGCACGAGGTATTCAACGGCTTGGCAAAGCACAAGAATGCGAGACGAGCGTTGCGAAAGATCGCCGTGTGCCAACTTCCTTGTGGGAGTGGCAACGCCCTGAGCTTGAATACGTTTGGTACAGACTCGCCTTCGCTGGCGGCTGTGGAGATTGTCAAAGGCATGAGAACGCCTCTTGATCTGATTGCGGTGACACAGGGAACCACTCTGTACTACAGCTTCTTGTCACAGGCGGTCGGGATTATCGCGGAGACAGACTTGGGAACAGAATCATTGCGCTGGATGGGACCACTGCGATTTACCTGGGGCTTCTTGGTTCGCATGCTGGGCAAGACTATTTATCCTGCGGAAGTATCGAAAGTGGTGCACATTGAGGATAAGCGGGAGATCCGAGAAGCATACCGCCGCGCTCGCGAGGAGCACGAGGCCGCAAAGGCCAAGCAGCTTCATCACGAAAGCGATGAAGATAGCATAATGGCTGGCGATAACGAGGCGCTTCCTGCTCTCCAGTACGGAACTGTCGCAGATCCACTGCCGCCAAGTTTCGTTACGCAAGACATGCCTACGCTGGGTAACTTCTACGTTGGCAATCTCTGCTATATGTCTCCCGACGCGCCTTTCTTCGCGGCGACGCTACCTTCGGATGGAACAATGGACATGATTACTTGCCCTGGCGATATTCCGAGAACCACGGCTCTGCGTATGCTGACGACCGTGGAGCACGGTACCATGATTAACTTCCCCGAAGTATCGTACCAAAAGGTCCTAGCGTACAGAATTACACCACGCGTCAACCCAACTCCGCCGCAACGACGTATACGGGCCAAATTTGGGCAATGGCTAGGAGGTGCCGCCGGCCAGAAAGAGGGACTGATCGCCATCGATGGCGAACGCGTTCCTTTCGAGGCCTTCCAGGCGGAAGTTGTTCCTTCACTGGGGATGACACTGAGCAAGAATGGAATCTACGAATTTGATGGACCCAAGTCACCTTAGTGTGGCATGATCAAAAGCGATAGCAAAATGCATGAAGAGGTGTGAGCGGCGTTTCTGGCACGGGATGGATATGGTTGAATTCAAGGGGAGATACCCAAATCTTGTCTTCTGAGATCATGTACGATTATAGAGCGCCAGAGGCGAAATTTTAGCAATGGAAATTAGGGCAGATATGTTGTCCTTGCCACTTCGCTAACATCTTGACCCTATGCTGACATGGTGATGTCTAGTTCCACTTTTCTCACGTTCTCGTCGGCTTTCTCGAGATCGCTGCCGCTCTCATCCTCATCCTCATCATCGCTCATATCGTTATAGAAGACATATGCAGCATCTGGATGGCGCTGATTCTCGGCAGACCATACCGTCTGCTGTGCCGCCACGAGGGTGTCTTCGAAATCTGCCTCGTCTGCCATTCCAGCCACGCCATGACACAGATCCTCCAACTCTACCTCCTCGTCCCCTAGCTCCTGGGCTAGACGAAACCCTTGAGCTCGACAAAAGAGAGATATAAAGTGAAGCGAACCCCCCTCGCTCAAGCTCGCCCTTCCTTTCCCTCGACCAAGCTGAGAAAATGTCTCTTGACTCTAGGAAATTTGCAGCGCTCTGTAGCGACGATGGATTTGCTGAAAGAGACTTTTCTTCTGCGAAGTGTGATTGCGATCGCGGAGACAATAGGCTCTCGGCTGCTCTGGAGTTTTTCTGAATCTTACCGTGGACGATACGATGGAGGAATACGAAGCTTGGATTGCGGCCGCGTTTGCGGCAGTCGAAAAGGGGGAGAGCTTCGGATTCTGATTGTGGGAGTTTCTGTGGTACGGGAGGCCTTGGGGGCTAGAGAGACGGGAGACTGAAACATTTTAAGATGCGTTTGACGAGGAAAAAGTGTTGACATTATGGGTGCACAACACCACATTCTACCCACGCTCGCGACACGATAAAGGAAACCTTGTTGGCTCGCGATGTCACTGACTTCACGGGCATCTGCAGAACAAGCTCCGGACTTCATGGTGGAACCAACGAACACGAGCAGTCACATGCGGTCACATGAAAGTGTCTTGGCGAAAAGAAAATTGGTCACTCTGCGACTCGAACACAGGTAATTTCCAAATACAAGACTTCGCTCACTGAGTTGACGCATCTTCAGTCGTACGAACTGCTTCGTCATCCACCTTTAAATCTCCCGCTGAAGACATTTTCCTAGGCCGAGCCATCACTTCTCCAACTCCGCTCTCGATTTGTGACTCTTCTCCCTTGGCCTCCTTCTCCTTCCTGCGCAAGAGAGCTCCAAGTGCAGCGGTATCCTCACGAGACTTGATATATGACAAATGAGCCTTGTGGAAGACACCGAATTGTGGGTGGTGAACAAAGGTAGGGGTAGAGTCACTACAATGGCCTCTCCTTCCTGAGCCATAATTCTCCGATACGGGACTCGGATTGGGAAATCGCTAGGTCATGCTGCGTGTTGTGTCATGCTGTGTGTTGTATGAGGGCTGGCTTGCAGAACACGGTCAGAACGCACGTGGGCCGAGAATGAGCATTGTATTTCTAATTGAAACAATGGCAGATTCTCGCAGTGAACGATGCTTGCCGGCTTGTTCAATGGCGCTGTCTGTGCGAGATGTGAGATTCACGGTGGTACTGTCAGCATGTGATGTAGAAAGGACAGCAAGATTGCTTTGCGCGACGGACAAAACTTTTGCGTCCTGCATTAGCATTGACTCCTCAATGCTGGGTATCATGAGCTACTGTCTTTCGCTATCAGCCTCCGAACGCCTTCCCTGTGCATGACGTCCGTAAATTCACAACTCCTTCACTATCCTGCCAGCGAGCCAATGCGTGGGTTCACTGGATGCATGCGCCATAAACTCAACCAACATCTAGTCTGGCGTGATCTCCACTTTGTTGCGGGAGTTCTTCATGATCTGCTTAAGCATTCTCTCGACGGCGTCCCAATCACTAGTATCGAGCTTGGTCGGCTCGACGCCGAAATGCTTGCAGATTGTCATGAGCTGTTGCCAGCTGCGCCGGTCGTGGACGAAGCTGAGAGCAGCACCGGTGCGACCGAAACGACCTGTACGACCGATGCGGTGGAGATAGGTCTCGAAGTCGGGCGAGCCATCTGCAGCCTCCGGAATGTCGTAGTTGATGACCATCGTTACGGTCTGCACGTCGATACCACGAGCAAGCACATTGGTGGTGATGAGGACCTTGGCCTCTCCAGTTCGGAAGCGTTCGAACACCGCATCTCGGTCCACCCCCTCCAGGGCTCCAGTCAACTGAGCAACCTTATGTCCCTCCTGGGTCATCCGACGTTCGATTTCGGCAGCAGTGTCTCGACGCTTGACAAAGATGACGGACGAGGCAATCGTCATCAGCCCATAGAACTTGACAAGCGCGGCGTACTTCTCCTCGTCGTTCTGGCAATCAAGGTACATCTGCTTGATACCTTTGACCGTGAGCTGCTCAACCTGTAGGGTGATCTGATTGGCAGCTGGGGCAAACTGTTCTGCGAAAGAGAGCACCTGCTGAGGAAACGTAGCCGAGAAGAGCACAATTTGGGTAGTCCTGGGCAACTGCTGCTTCACGCGCTTGCACTGATCGCCCATTCCTTGCATATCAAGCATGTTATCAGCCTCATCAATGGTGAGAACCTTGATATTTCGAGAATCCAGGAGACGACGCTTCAGAACATCCATGACTGTCCCGGGAGTACCGACAACAATTTGGCCTTCGATATGCTGTCCTCTCTTACTTGGGTCTGGAACCGCTTCCGCAATCTTCAGTCCCTTGTCCTTGAGGTATGCTCCCATGACTGCTGCGACGCCTGCAATCTGTTTTGCCAGCTCACGTGTCGGTGCGAGGATCAAAGCCTGCGGCTTGTCGGAAGAGAGGTCGGTGCGCACGAGTATGTTGAGGACAAAGGCTGCGGTCTTGCCCGTCCCGGACTGCGACTGGCCGATGAGGTTCTGAGGTGGGTTTTTCAAGAGAAGCGGGAGGGCGCGCTCTTGAATCTTGGACGGCTTTCGGAAGTTGTTTAGAGATAATGCCTTCATGATCTCGTCCGGGCTATGCACGTTGTCAATGAGAGTGCGCTCTGCAGCTTGGCATGTTTTGGCTTACAGGTTGAGGTCCTCGAAGTGTTTGACAGAATACAGCGGGTTGTTTGGGTCTTCTTGCAGATCGGCCAACTTCACATTGACATCAAATTCGGGCTCGTTGAGGCCTTGAGAGCCTTCGGTCCAAGTAGTGGCGCCATCCATCTGGCCTTTGTCAGCCTCATCGGCCCAGTTGAGCTTCTCTTCGGGTTGAGTCTCGGCCATGGTGGTGTTGTTGTTCGAATGTGCGCGAGAAATGGGGATTGTGGTTGTCAAGCAGAAGGAACTGAAGCGAAGCTCAATAATTGTTTGGAGGGGTCGGCGTCCGTGCCTGACGCTAGCCGAGTCGAGCCAAGCTTAGTAATGATGCCTGTCACAGCCAACCTCGCCAACACGATGCATGTGATATGAATTGGCCGGTCCTGAATCCTGCTCTATAAGTTTTCAGGCAACAGATTACAGAATATGAATGCTTGCTCGTGGAATCCCAGACTGGGCTTGATGCAGTGACGTGGCGTAAAAATCAATCGAGGTTCCGCTGCTCGGAAAGCTGTCTCGACGACAGCTACCACAGGCTTTGCGCGGTCCGACTCGCTGTTGCCCTAGTTCTTGCTAGCATTTTCGGGATGACAATGATAATCTTCCGCTGTGCAGAGAGCGTTATCGCAGCTGATGAAGTCGAAAGACAAAGTGAATGACGGAACAAATATTTTCCGCGACAAGGGAGACCCCGCGGATCGAGCGTCAGACCGCGTGGCTTTCGGCAGCGGCGAGACACACTAAAGCACGGCGGCCCACTGCCTGCAGCGCTCGTGAAGACAGCGAGTGAGGGACAGAGGCTTGTTGCTGTGCGGTATTGCCACTTCATGTCTTTCCCGCGAATACCCTCCGAACATGGCTGAAGTCGACGTGAGCTTCGGCCTTGAGTTGAAGGACGGCTTCAAACCCGTCAACACCTGGGTCTCCAACGGCATCGCATGGCTCGAAGACATCCAGCAGTTCTACCGCGAACGCAGCGCCATCGAGAAGGAATACAGCCAGAAGCTGAGCGCACTCGCCAAGAAGTACTATGAGAGGAAGGCCAAGAAGAGCAGCAGTCTGAGCGTCGGCGACACTCCCACCGTGACTCCCGGATCGCTGGAAAGCGCTTCCATGACCACATGGGGCGTCCACCTTTCCACTCTAGAGAGCAGAGCGGCCGAGCACGACAAGCTCTCAAACGCTTTGATATCCTCTCTCGCCGAGCCTCTGAAGCATCTTGCGGCCAAATACGAGGACCTGCGCAAATCGCATGCCGAATATGCGGCCAAGCTTGAGAAGGAGAGGGATACTAGCTACGCGGATCTGAGGAAGACCAAAGGCAAATATGACAATGTCTGCCAGGAGGTGGAGAACAAGCGCAAGAAGACAGAGAGCAGCTTTGACCATGGCAAACAAAAAGCGCAGACGGCGTTCCAACAGCAGCAGATGGAGATGCGAAATACCAAGAACACCTATCTCATTGCTATCAATGTCACCAACAAGCAGAAGGAGCGCTACTATCACGAGTATGTTCCGGAGCTTCTAGATGTAAGACTTCCACCCGCTCTATCACTGCATATCACCATACTGACATTCCACTCCTCAAGTCCTTACAAGCCCTGTCAGAGACTCGGACTACAGCTTTGAATGGTCTCTGGAGCACCGCATCATCCTTGGAGACGCAGACTATGACCCGATCGACCCAATTGATGGAACACCTCAGCTCGGAGATTCCTCGCAACAACCCGGTGTTGGATAGCATGATGTTTGTAAGACACAATGCCATTCAATGGCAAGACCCAGCAGACTTCGCATTTGAGCCCTCTCCGGTCTGGCTTGACGATGAAGTTATGGCTTCCGATCCTCAGAGCAAGATATTCCTCATGAACATTTTGACGAGATCAAAGTCATCATTAGGTGAACTACGGCGCGAATGCGACGTGAAGCGGCGAGAAGTCGAAGGCGCTAAGAAGGTCCGACAAGCGATACGAGAGGGCAAGGACAAGCGGGATGAGGTCGAAGTTGTGCGAGCACAATTTCACAATCAAGAGATTCTACACGACGCAGAAAGGAGAAGAGTCACTGCAGAGGTGGAAGTTAGCACCATCACCTTGGCGGTTGGTGATATCTCGATTGGGGCCCGGAATCACACATTCAAGAATCAAACTTACAAAATACCTACGAGTTGCGATTTTTGCGGAGACAGACTTTGGGGCTTGAATGCGAAAGGATTGAGCTGCGAGGAATGCGGTTTCACATGTCACACGAAATGCGAGCTGAAGGTCCCTGCGGACTGCCCTGGAGAGCTTAACAAGGAGCAGAAGAAAGCCAAAAAGGCAGAGCGTCAGGCTGCTGCTCAAGCACAAGCAGCAAGCCCCCCACCGACCAGCAATGGAACGAACGACTCCTCAGCGCCAGGCTTGACCAGGAGTGATACAATAGGCTCCATGAACACATTGAGCTCTGGTTATGCTGCCAGTGCGAACCGCAGCGTGTCTGGCATGACCGCCAAATCGGTAGATGAGAACGGCACTGCAGCGCCTCGGTCGACGGCAAAGACTACGTCTGCTCCTGCCGGACATCGCGTAATGGCGCCACCGCCTACAGCATACGTCAAGAGCAACGGCTCCGACGCTGCCCCTGAAGAGCAGAAAGGCAAGATGCTTTACCCCTACCAAGCCAACGGAGAGGGCGAGGTCACCGTCTCAGACGGCCAGGAATTTACGGTTGTCGAACCAGATGACGGATCTGGTTGGATCAAGATCAAACCATCTTCATTTGGTGCTCCGGCGGGCCTGGTGCCTGCTAGTTATACTGAACTCAGCGCTCCCGCACCTCCTTCCAAATCTCCGACCGATGATCGGCCTGTATCGATGGCGGCGAGCGCTTCCACCACCAGTCTCGCGGGGTCTGATAGTGGGACGGGCACGGTGAAGAAGAAGGGGCCTGCGGTCGCTCCAAGACGTGGCGCGAAGAAGGTGAAGCATGTGGAGGCGATGTATACCTACAAAGCTTCGGGGCCTGGGGAGGTGGATATGGAGGAGGGAGAGAAGATGGTGCTGGTCACGCCCGATCAAGGCGACGGGTGGTGTGAGGTTGAAAGTCGTGCTGGGAAGGGAGTTGTTCCCGCTAGTTGGGTGCAGGATGTGTAGAACCGGCGAGGCATTACTACCTGACACCGAAGCTCTTGTCCCTATGTGCATGGCGACTTTGCGGGGCTCGAACATAGCAGCGCGTCGAAATATTCAAGAGGTCTTGTCCTGACTTCAATGTGCATTACAGACGTACTACGCCTCCAGCGTCTGACCACCCCCTCCGCATTCGTGGGCTGCTGCTGCTTTTCAGATTTAGGCCATCCATCACATGAACCTCCACAGCACGCGAGACCGACGTTTGCAGTGGCAAAAAATCAATCACCCTCAGAATGAAATGCCGAAAAGGCCACTTGCAACCAGAAATTCGCACGCCCGAGACACCGGTCAAGACGCCTTTCTCACATGGTCAAACTGCATGCATGAGACTCAACTCGCGCGCACCGTGGACCACGTGGCCAGGCCGTCTTGGCATCATCCGCTGCGGATGCTCTTTCAGAATATGCAAAGGCGAGAGAAGAAATCCTGTTCTGGCGGTAGATTTCGCTGGGGTGTAGCTGTAAAGATGGGATATGGGCTGGCATGGGAAGGCGCGTTTTGAACGATGCTTTGGAAATATGATCTTCGGGAATTCCTTCGCCGTTCTTTCAGCTCCAGGCAGGCAGTAGTGTAGCGGTCCAGTCATGGTGTGGCTCTGTTTTCAGGATGGTGAACAGATGCTATCCTGACGTTGGGTATTGAGGTGCAAGAGGTGGTGTGAGAACGTGCAGGGTCAACAAAGAATTACAGTGAGAACAGTATCTAGCCATGCCAGCGCTTGCAGACGGACTGCTGCCTACCTTTGCCACAGCTGTGGATGTGCTGGACCGCTAGTTAGACATTCAAATGCCCTCTCCCCTAACGAAAGAGTAGACACTATTCAAGCCCAAGAGCGTGCTTGTTCTGCGAGGGCAACCCCGAATTGAAGAGGTTCAGCATCCAGCTGCTACGCCATACGCTCCAAAAATGGGTCATCGCGGCAATCAACTACTCCGACAATCCGGAGGGAGATTTCTGCAAGAGACGTGGCCGTCTGCCTGGACGACGTGTGCTATCGGGGAAGAACTACGAATCTCGCTATAAGAAGGAGGACCTTGGCGATGACGTAGAAGAGAACTTGATCGATCAGCTACGCAGCATGGCTGCTGAAGACCGGGATTTACGAAGTTATCATCGATGTCGCCGGGAAGATGACGGATAGGCCCGACTTTCAGGATTTGTTGTTTGGGCAGAAGCGATGCGTGCGGCAGAGTGGTATCGAGGAATCGGCGGTTGGCCACATATGGTTGCCGATGCCGGTGCCGATGCGGATTTTGTGAGGTCGAGTCTTCGGAAGCTCGTTCGGGGTGGTTAGCTTGTACGAGAGTGCCGCTGATACCGCGGTCAATGATGAAGCAGGCCAAGAGACGGTTGGAAGATCGGAGTGAGCGAGAGTGCGGCGGAACTCGCAGTCCCAACATTGAATATTTCGTCCCTGGCGAGATAAGCGGCAGTGAATTATATGTACAGTGGTGGTACCAACAACCCTTATTTCCCGTCGTCGAGAGGTGCGAGGCGCCTATATGTACATGTTCTGAGCAAGCCATGCATGCCAGCTTCGGGGAGCGAATGTGGACGGGCTCACATGAAACGCCCCCGGACACCTAACGCCCGCATAAGCGCGCCAACACTACTATATACCGCTGTTGGTGATGAGAGGTATAGCAGGCGTCGTTGGAGGTGGTTGTCGTTGCAGGAAGGGACGTTCGTGAAGGTGAATCAGAAGCAGGTGACGATCCCGGGTCCACGCCGGGCCCAGAGGCAGAACCGGGGTCTCGACGGGCTGATCGAGGGTTCCCTGCGTAGTCTGAGACAATCAATGTCCCGGCCACCACACCGTTCCGACATTCATCGATATTCATCGGCATTGAAGTCGCGGTGGGCGTGACGGCGACGGCGAGAGGGTTGGCGCGGAGAGCGACGGAGGGAATGTGCTGGGGTGCACTGTCTCTGCAGGAAATAGGCGCCAGAGCAGAGGGCGAAGCGTGTGAAGGTGCTCTGATTGGCGCACGCCTCTTCCTCGCGACGCTCAAGCAGGCTTAGCGCAGCCGCGATAGCAGCCAATGAACGGAGCGACGGGGGAGGCGCGTGCGTTCTCCTGGTCGCTCTTTCCTCAGCAGTAGTGTCAGTGGGCACACAGTTCTTAGTTCTTAGTTCTTTCCCCAGCGCTCGCAGCACTCCTCGCTCCTTCTCTCAGCAGCAGCCTGTCCATCAGTCCGTCCGTTGTCCTCACCTTCCCATTTCTCGCCTTCCAATCGTCGTCCCTCGCGCTCTTGCATCTTTCGCCGCATTTTTCGCCCGCTCTCCTTCATCGCCGCCGGTCGCATCTGCCACGCGAAGACTGGCTCGTCCGCGCAGACACTCTCACACACCCACACACACACACACACGACCAGCCCCTAATCCACCGCACCGCACCACCGCACCGCACGCACGCACGCAGCATCCACCACACCAAACCATACACTCCGCCGCCGTGCAAACGCTGTACACTCACCTGGTCCGGGTCACTCCTGCCTACAGTACATATCTACACCACCATCGCCGCCGTTGCCGCGCCCGCGTTTCTATCGCCCTCCTCTCCTCCTTACCTACGACGCCCTCATCACGCACAACCCGCTCGACGCACGTAACATCCGTCTCCGACGTCACTGTCCGGCGACGTGTCGACTGCTGCTTGATCACGACATCCTCATACACTACCACAAAGCCACCCTCATCATCTCTCCGCGGCAATCTACAACAAAGACTCTCCCGTTGTCTCGGCAGCTGGCTCTACCACTGGAAAAAGGCGATATCTCTTTGTAATCTCTTAATTTGTACCTTACGACAACCTGCTGTTTGCTTTGATTCAACGGCCTCATTCGGGCGACGGACAACTACACCGACTCCATACTGCATCTGTCTAATTTGCACTTCCCTGTCGACTTTTTGCTTCTCCAGCCCGCCGCGACTTGGTTTCGCCCACGCGAGCTGTACAGTACACATATCCACGCTTTACGACCTTCCGGCGCCCCCACGACCTTAAGATCTAGAGCTCGAGCATTGACGCTGGCGGTCTTGCTCAAATGACTTACAACAACCCCAACGGTAACGCCTTTCCTTCCGGCGGCCTCGGCGTCCCCGGCTCGGGCTTTGCTGCTCGAGGCTCGCGTCTCAATCCTAAGAGACTGAGCGTGGCCCTCCCACCAAAGGTCGCCCCTATCAACGAGAACCAGGTCGACAACCCGACGCCGCGTACCAGCCGTTCCCACCTGCTTGCAGGTCTCCGCACCCAGCCGAAGACTCCTTCAGTCCCGGCTTCCGCTCCTTACCATCAGAGTCACCATTCCATTAACGGCCTCTCGGCTTCTCAGTGGGCGGAGCAGAACTATGCTGGGTACGGTCAGGGTGTGCCCCAGACTGCCACCGCGGCTGGGTTCGATCTCCCCACCCAATATGGTATGAACGCGGGTCGCCAGATGTACTCCCTTCCGGAGCAGGTTCTGGCACCTCCATCGGTGTACGATCAGGCTGAAGAGATGGATCCGAGCATTCTCCAACAAATGCAGATGCAGCGTCTGTTTCTTGCACAACGCCAACAACAGCTACAGCAGCAGCTGGCCAACATCACCGCTGCAGCACAGGGCATGAGCCTGAACGGCAACATGCAGCGTGCTTCGTTCCACCAGCAACAGACGCCAATGACCCCACAGACTCCTCAGAGCTTCTATGGACAGCAGCAGCAGGCTCCATCTCCGATTGAGGTACCCGGCCAGCCCGGCGTGTACCTTGTCTACAACCCTGCCACTCAGGGATACAGCTACGCGGTGGATCAGAATGTTCAGCAGTCCCAACAAAATGCGTCCCCAGTTCAACAATCGTCGACGAACGCTTTCTCTCCGGCCAAGTCTGAGCCTACGGCCCAAGCCTTTAGCAACACTCCGCCTGCTGTCGACCGACAAGGATCAACCAGCACACGCTCCTTCACCCCACCCAAGAAGGCCCCTTCTCCGCCATCTACGCAGGAGCATGTGGAACCCCTTCCGCCTCCATCTGCGAATGCCTTCCGCCGCGGCCATAAGAAGGCCTCATCGCTAGCCATCAATGCTTTCTCCAACGTCGGCGATGGCCCCAAGACTTCGTCTGCCGCCACCTTTGGCTCGCAGCGGGCTGCCTTCCCCCCGACCCCGATGACGGGCACCTTCGGTCCCGGAGCAGCACGTGCTGGTGAGCATCCGATGCGTCAGCCTCGTGGCCCGCCACCGCTTGAGGAACTCACCGCAGCTCCCACCAGCAAGCACGAGGGGAGCAAGAACTTCGCCACCCGTCAACGCCGTCGTGCGCTCGACAGCCTCATGCGGGCTGGTACCCAGCGCCGCGGTGTCTCGAGATCTTCCGGCGGCAGTCCAGTGAGCGAAAGCGAGCTACACTTTCCCATCAGCGAGGAGGGCGAGGACATGGCGTCGATTGGCAGTGGTAGCAGAAAGATGAGCCCAATTGGATCTGAGATGAAGCAGAAACGCGGCAGCCAAGGCTCCGATGGCGGCTACTTTGGATTGAGCTCAGCCTCTAGCAGCGAGGGCGAGGACTACGGTGCATTCAAGCAGCCACCAACACCAGCCACTCCCGGCGCTGTCAATGTCGACCGCAAGAAGATGATGCTCCACGGCGTGCTCAACGCTGCCGAGAAGCGCCGAAGCTACGCCTCCTGATCGGATGTCATTTACTTCTTGGGCTTGGCTTATTTGGATGTTTCGGTCATGTTTGCGCGTCTCTAGAAGCGGTTGATTGGATGGGTTGGGTTGGTGGAATATTGTGTCCTCTTCAGCACAGCTCCAGGCGCGCTGCGTAGAGCGTTGCGCGTGGATATCACATGGAGCTGTCCCTGCATATTATCGACGTTCACACTGGACGAGCATTCCCAAGAAGGGATACGACTGCTTTTTTTAACGGCCGCTACGAAGCATTTTTTATTGACACTCTTTAAGACGGGGTTTTCACTTCTTGCTTTAGCGGCTACTTTCTGGTCTACTTTCTGGATGCCGCAGTGTTTACAATACTGGCTTTTGGGACACACCACGGAAGCTCCTGGCTTGGAAACTTGAGATGGAAGGATAGCAACGAGAGGGAGAGACGATGGTCTAAGAGTCATGTTGGTAGTCAGACTAGCACAGAGCAAAGAAGAGGAATGAAGAACTGGTGATGTGTAAGAATGAACGACTTCAATTTCGACGTCCGTGTTGTGATGCTTCTGATTGCCAACGAGAGACTGAGTGCCAGCGGCTCAACAAGTGAAGTCGATTAACAAGAACAAGCTAATAAGCTCATACCACCTGTGTGTGCCGTGCGTGCGGATCAAGTCAGGAGTGTGATGTGTCGTGGTTGGTATCCTTGGATCAGCGCGCCTGGAACTTCGTCCTGACCAGGGCTCGCGTCGGCCTGTAATGTATCTCAATTCCGAAACCTCACTCAAAACAATAAGAAGAAGCATTTGCTGGCAACAGCCATCAACAAGCACTCACTGCGGACACTGGAATGGCGAACGTCTGGGATGCCTGCGGGAAGTGCATGTACACGGCAACGACGAGCTGCTAGCTCATCTCGAGCAATACGGAGAGTCATCGTCTGCAAAGACTGGCAAAGTCATCTACTGCGACATTGCCTTTCAAAGATCAAAATGCTCGAGCCGGACGGAACTGCCCTCGCCGCCACGCAGCTCAGATCCTGTGCCCGACCTCCTTCACGTCCAACGAGGATGGAAATACCGGTACGAGGGGATTGCGAGCACTTTTTGCGTTTCCTTCGAAGCGTATGAGCCAATATTGATTGGAGGTACCAGCTGGCATGCATGATCAGCACGATTTCAATGTCAAGGGCTAGGCCAGCACATCTGCAGACTACGTTTCTTTCGAGGGGGACAAGATCCGGTACTTTGAGGTCGTTTATTGTGACCCGTCTGCCCTGGCGTCTGGACCTTGTTGCGCTGGTTTTGACGAACATTCTCGGGAACATCTGTAGACGACCGAATACCTGAATTACCTTATCCCCATTGATTGGGAGAAGGAGTACCTAGGGCAGCTGATAAGGCACAAAACAAAGAAAAGATCGCCCATGACGTCGGTCGAGCCAGAGTGAACAACAGGACCCTATGTATTCCCTGCACTCGTTGCTGTCGCGTGCTCAATACAAATAAATCACAACGTGACACCGAGATACCGATACCGACACAGTGCAGCTTGATTGCCATGGCTAACGACATTGTCGTCCCCTTTCTTGGCGCCTTGCAGGCAGCAATCACCGTCCTCTTAACGATCGGTGCTGGAGTACTTGCAGCCCAGATGGGCTTACTGAACGAGCAGACCTCCAAGCAGATATCCAAAGTCTGCGTACAGCTGTTCCTGCCTGCGTTGTTGATATCCAATGTTGGAAGCCAGATGCATGCGGATACGGTAAGGCCCAACTCCTGTTCTGTGCATGTATGTGATCAGCGCGTGAACTGACACGGCTGTGTAGGCGTTATACTACGTCCCGATTATCATCTGGGCAATCGTATACAACGCCGTCTCCATCCTATTCGGTATCGCCGTCCAGAGACTGTTCAAGCTTCCAGAGTGGGCGACTCCAGCTATCGCTTTCAACAACACAACTGCTCTTCCGCTGCTCCTGGTGCAAGCGCTGGACGCCACGGGGATCCTGGATAGCATCGACGCCAGCTCGGGTGTCGTGGACCGAGCCAAGTCCTTCTTCCTCGTGAATGCTATGATCGGGAACTCTCTGACCTTTGCATTGGGACCGAAACTCCTGAGTGGACAGAATGAAGATGCCCCTGATGGAGAAGGCGAGGGGAAGTTCCCAACCGAAAGCGAGGACGACGCGATCGATCGACGGGTGGAAGAACAAGAAGACGAAGCTGTCGAGACCAACGAGCAGACTTCGCTGCTTCCGGGCCGTATCATTCGACCTCTCACGCGTGCTGGATACGCTGGATACGGCAAGAGTAAGAAGGCATGGGTTCGTCTTCCACCGTGGGTCCAAGCAACACTGGACTTCTCATCTCAATTCTTCAACGCTCCCTTGATCGGAGCGGCGATTGGTGTCGTGATTGGCATCGTCCCATCCCTCCATCGTCTCTTCTTCGTAAGCCAACCCTTGACCTCCAACAACCTCAATGTCTCTCCTGACTCACGGCTGCCAGAAATCCCAAGAACAAGGCGGCTATCTGAGCGCCACCATCGGCCAGACCCTCTCGAACATCGGATCCCTCTTTGCCGTCCTCCAGATCATCGCAAGTCACACGAAACAAATGCCATCACCAGCATGGGGGCCAATGTACTGACAACTCAGCCTTATATTTTAGGTCGTGGGAGTGAAACTTTCATCCTCCTTGCTCAAGATGAAAAAGGGCGAAGCGGGCGGTCACGTTCCCTGGTCCGCCATCTTCGTGATCCTCACCACCCGCTTCGTCCTCTGGCCGGCCATCGGTATTCCTGTCATCTACGCTGTAGCCACCAGAACGGGCTGGCTGCTGGATGACCCCTTGTTGTGGTTCTGCATGATGCTCATGCCAACGGGCCCACCGGCGCTCAAGTTGACCGCGCTTTCCGACGTCAATGGTGCTGGAGAGGAGGAAAAGATGGCCATTGCCAAGTTTTTGATGGTGAGTTGGCGTTTCTTCACATACTCTCATGACGACTGACTGCAGTGGCTTCTCAGGTCTCCTACTCCGTCTCGCCGGTCATCGCGTTCGCGGTGGTTGGAAGTCTCAAAGCGGCTCAAGCAGCAGCATCCACCTGATCCGCGACACTACATCCTTGTGGGGCCACGGGACACACTCTACGGCGTTGCACATCAAGTCAACTGCCTCGCGCGTTCAGCCCGATTGGCAGAAAAAGCGCTGAAGTTAGCCAAAAGCAAAATGGGAAGAGGAATAAACTTCCATGATTGTGACGTGGAGTGAAAGCGATCTCGTTTACTGCCCCTATATCTCTACCTTACAGTAGTGATGCGTAGCATTTTCGAGTCGCTGCGTCGAGATTGGTACAAGTGAGTGCCCCCAAAATGTATGGCAGACCCAGGCCAAGAGCCACCAGACGCTAGAGGACTTTGTACTTGCCCATAGTACCACGAGACTCCTGTTCCTGCGCGCGCATCATGCCTTCCGTCAAGTGACGGGAGAGCTCCCTCATGGCGGCACTAACGGCCACTTCGGTGTCTCCCTCCACCAGAATGTACAGCTTGGGTAGCTCGTGCGCTTGTGGCTCGTAGCCGAGTTGGTAGTGATTACCCTTGGTTGTGATCGAGGTGCCGGTCGAGTCAAGAATCTTGGAGACATTGGTGCGATTGGTGACAGCCCAGCGAGCCATCTGGGGGAAGTCATTGATTTCGAGAGTGGCGTGGAACTCGCCGGCATCCGGACCGCGGTTATCGGCGGGAGCGCCAGAACGAGTTGCACCTGCGATGCATGTTAGTCTTGACCCGTGGGAAAGAAAAGATGGTGTCTTACCACGGCCTATGCGGCTGTTGATGGTAGCAGCAGCCGCTGCGGCTTTGGACAGCGGGTCGGTGGCAGCAGGCGTCGGTGGCGGCTTCGCGACCTTTTGAACCTTGAGCGCGTTGCTGAGATGCACCGCAAGATTGCTATTCGTGACAGAGTTCTCAGCTGCGGCAGACTCAGCATCAGCAGTCTTCTCAGCAGGCTTCTCAGATGGTGCGCCACGATCCTTGATAGCGCCAGCGGCCTTGGCGACAAGTTCGCTGACGGCGGTCTCCTTCTTCGACTTCTCTTGGGTTTCTTTGTCCTCCTCTTCTGGCTCATCACCAGTCTTGAACAGGCCCTTCTCCCAAGCGCGTTCAGCAGCACGGGCGGCATCCAAACGGTCGATACCTCTGCCACCAAATCCAGAGCCGGCGTCCCTTGCTTCGCCGGACTCAACTTTCTTCTTGTGACTCTCTGCCAGTTTCTTCATATCCGCTGGAACTTCTTGCTTGCTGTCTTCGAGTGCGCGAACCAGGAATGGCGCGAAGCGCTCCTGCTCTGGGGTGATAAAAGTCACAGCGGTGCCAGTATTTCCTGCTCGTCCCGTGCGTCCGGCACGATGGACATAGTCCTCTCCATGGTTCGGCGAATCATAGTTGATCACGAGCTTGAGCTGCTTGACGTCTAAGCCCCTGGCAGCAACGGAAGTGGCGACCATGATAGGTATAGCACCAGCCTTGAATTCCGCGATGGCTTGGTCTCGGTCCATCTGCTCTCGGCCTCCATGGACGGGAAGGCAAGGATAGCCCATCTTGCTGATTTGCTTGAACAACAGGTCGGCCGTCTCCTGTCTCTCGACGAAAATTAGAGTGCGGGCGTCTTCGTCGCGCTCGTATAGATCACCGATAAGTTGTAAGACACGATTGAACTTCGTGTCTTCTGGCCGAACCTCGATGATCTGCGTGATCTCGGCTGCAACCACGCTGCGGCCCCCAACAAGTATCTCGACAGGCCGAGTCAGAGCCTTGCGGGCGAGCCTCTCCATCTTCGCAGGGAAGGTGGCGGAGAACAGGACGGTTTGGCGGTCGGGACGCATGTTGTTCAAGAGCTTCGTGATCTGTGGCTCAAAGCCCATATCGAACATACGATCGGCCTCGTCCATCACGACATATGTCACGCGTTTCAGGTTCGTGACACGACCGGCGTTGGCGGCGAGCAGATCGATGAGACGGCCAGGAGTGCATACGACAACCTCAGCTCCACGCTTGAGCTCTGCGATTTGATCTTTGATGGGTGAACCGCCATAAGCGCAGACGCCGCGGAGGTTGAGCGCTTTGAGGTACGGCTTGCATTCACGATGAATCTGCACTGCTAGCTCTCGTGTAGGCGCCATGATGAGCCCGATCGGTCCGTCCTGGTTGGACACAGGACGCTGGTCCTTGATGTGCCTGAACATGGGAAGAATGAAGGCCAGAGTCTTGCCCGAACCGGTCTTCGCAATTCCGATGGTGTCGCGTCCAGACATGATTGCCGGCAATGCCTGGCACTGGATAGATGTAGGAGTTTCAAACTTGTGCTGCTTGATGATGTCCAGAACCTGCTGCGCGAAGCCGCATTGCGACCACTTGGTGATTGGCTTTGGAGGGTTCTGGCCTCGGACTGTAATGTTGTCCAGCTCGACACGAAGAGTGTCAACGTCTTCCTGGGTCATATCGGCCACCTCGATCGACTCAGAGTAGAAGTTCTTGCGAAAATCTTCATAGTTGATCTTGGAATGGTCAACGTCCGGAATCTCTTTTCTCTTACGCTTTGGATTGTTCAGGAGATCCTCTGGGTTCTCTCCCACGGCATCGAGGTCTGGTCCATCATCTTCGTCGAAGAGTTGCTGCGTGCGACCGCCTCGCTTGGCCGACGAACGGACCGGCGGCGCGGACTTTTGGTCTAGGTCATTCATAAACGCGTCGAGCGGATCGACATCTTCATCGATGTCCGTGGAAGCTGCATTAGTTGAGGATGGGTCCGCGGCTTCGGCCATTTTCACATCTTGTTGTTCAGCTTGGGCTTCTTCCGCGCGCTTCAATGCTGCCTCACGAGTAGCCTGGGCTTCTCCCTCGTCGCTACTATGAAGATCATCTGCGCCCGCATCATCGTCCTCTTCGTCGCTGGCAGGAGCAGTATTCCCAGTGAGTGAAGACTGTGGGAGCTCAGGTAGCTTTGTAATCTTGCGTTGCACTTGATCCTCCTCGTCAAAATCTGCAGCGGCTTTCGAAGCCGGGTCGGCTGTCTGATTACCAGCTGTCTTGTTGAGCTCAAAGCCAGTGATCTTGGCTTCGGCGGGCTTGACCGTGGTAATCGCTTGGCCACCAGTGCGCGGCGTAGATTTGAGCTCGCTTGCGGTTCCATTGGTAGCAGCGGGAATGGCAATATCGTCACCCAAAGTCGCTTTCATGGCCTTCATCTTGTTTTCAACTCGCTTCTTAATGGCCTTGGGATCGAAAGGGGCGCGACCTGGGGAGGAGGAGCGCACTCCATCCTGCTCAGGGTTTGGCGAGCCAAGAACAGTAGTCGGGTTGGAAGGCATAGGCGAATTTGGTCCAGCAGATGAGGTGGCCGTATCGAGTTGCTTCTCTTCGGCCTTGCGCTTTCTCCAGGCCTCCAACCTGGCCATTCGCTCTTGCTGGAGTTTAGCCTCCGCAACCTTCTCCGCATCGTTGTCGTGCTGCTTCGGATCGGCGGTAGTCGGACGGGAAGACTGAGAGTTCAGCGAAATTTTTGCAAGAACATCAGTTGTGTGTAAACTTACCCGATCACTCCGAGTCTGGGAGTTGCGTCTCGGACGCTTACTGTCACGGTCACCGTAGGTATCATCATCACGCATGCGGCGGTGTCCATGTCGATCATCTCTCACCGGTGACGGTTCCCTGCTCAAACGAAGTCTTCTCTCTCTCGACCGCTCGCGGTAGCCATCGCGTCGGTCGTCGTAGCGCGAGCTGCCACGGTCGTCGCGGCGGCGGCTGCTTTGATGGAAGCCGTTGTCTCGATATCTGTCGTCATCGCGTCGGGGTCGATCACGGTGGCGGTCGCGGTCGCGGTCATCGCGACGCTGTCGTGCAGTCAGGTACCACATTCTGTGAGGATTAGTGGGGTGGGAGCCTCTTACATGCTCCCGGCTTCTCGATCGACGCCGGAAGCCGCGATCCTCACGACGCTCGTCGTGTCTCCTACTCGGTGGTGAGCGGGCCATCTTGCAACGGCCGTGGTTGCGTAGACCGTACAAGCTCGCTCTTTGACAAGTCCTCCTTCAGCTCAATCTCCCAGCCGTGTCTCGTCTCGTTGATCAATTGTGCGAGATAAGTGCCAAATTGCTCGTGTCCTCTTTCCCTCCACGCTGCTCTGTCTGCTCGCTGCCACTCTTTGGCGGTTTGTCTTACCTTCAGCTTTTGCCGAAGCTGGATGCTTGGTCGCGTGACCGCGTAGCCGCTGGCTTTCGCGATACACTGATGGTGTGGATACCGTCGGTGAAGATGGGTTGCACCAGAGGAGGTGCACGCGCAGAAGGGTTGTTGGTGGAAGTGAAGTGAAGTTCGTGGCAGAAGCTGTAGAACCAAAATCGAGGAAGTCGAGAGGGAGCTTTGGTGGGGCTAGCACGAGTCATGTTCGGCTGCTTCCGAGGAACAGCAAGCTTTCGCGGCTCAAACCTAAACAGAGCGAACAGGAGGCTGGACACACGCGACTGCTCCTGCTGGCGAGTTTGATCAGCACAACAAACCGACCATCACCTCACTGGAAGCACCGGAGACGACTTCAGCGCATATTCCAGGACTGTCGCGCATTGCCATTGGCACGACATCGACTTTATACCAAGCCAAACGCTGCAATGATTGGGCGGGCGCTGCTGCGCCTGCCAGTGCGCTCGCGTCTGCTTCGTCTGACGGGGTACCAATGCCAGCATGGCACTATCGCCCGTACACCTACCGTCTTCGCTGTACGGACCTACGCGACACCGGGCCGACCGAAACGCGTTGTCGGCGAACCCAGTCGCCCCGTCAAACGGTCAGTGAAGAAGGCAGCGGCAAAGCCGGCCGATGGCACCTCCGCTGCAGAGAAGAAGACCGCGGTCAAGAAGCGCAAGGCAGCTAAGAAGCCGGCTGCGAAGAAGCAAAAGGCACCACTCACCGTCGAGCAAAAGGCCGAGAAGAAGGCCAGGTCGAAGAAACGCTCCGATGCCGCCAAGTTGAAAGAGTTGAAGGAAGCAGCGCTCAAGCCTCCAAAGGTCAACGCCAGAGCCAGTCCGTGGATGGTCTTCATGCAAGAGAAATTACGAGAAGCGGACCCTATCCCCAAAGGTCAGGGGCAAGACGCGGTCCATAAGACGCTCGCGCAGAACGTTAAGAACATATCCTCCCAGTTCAGGAACCTCTCAGCCGCGCAACTTGAGGTTTGTTTCTAGCCTCGCAGATCTTGCATGCGCCTTCATTAACACTTCTGCAGCATTACAACCACGATGCGAATCGGCGCAAGGCAGATGCAGAGGCCGAATACAAACGCTGGGTGGAGTCGCATTCAGCCGAACAGATCCTCCGTGCCAACCAAGCTCGTGCGTCTCTCCGCCGTCTGGTCGCCGCAGACAAGAAATCGACGAGGAAAGCTAGCTCATGGCCACATATTCGTGACGAGCGGGAGGTGAAGCGCCCTGTCAACGGCTTCACCCACTTCACCGTGAACCGCCACGCCAGCGGCGATTTCAAGAAAATTGCCATAGCCGAGAGCGCGAAGCTTATTGCCCAGGAATGGAAAGCCCTCAACCAGGATGAAAAGGAAGTAAGTACTGCAGACTTTACACATGTGTGACCTGCCCGCTAATCACGCGCAGAAATACAACAAGCTCAGCTCCAAGGACGGCGACCGGTATGCCACTGAATACAAGGCTACATACGGCTATGCTCCTGGGATACTCGTCGGCGGTAATGGCACCGCTCAGCCCCGGGCTGCTGCCGCTGCTGCCTAAGTTCCAAACGCTCAACATGCTGCGATGCGGAAACGTTTCGTGGCGGCGTTGGTGAGCCGGTGAAGAAGCGCTTTGTATGTGTTGATGGAGTGAATATGCTGTTGAGGCTGTATTAAAACGTGTTGCTAGCAAGTACAGGGCTCAGGTAAAGTGATACTTTTGAGACGGTTTTATGGCGGCGAACGAGTCCTGGCGACTCTAGTGCAAAAACAGATGCCCGAAGATGGATATGCGTACTGTACCATATGTTCCTTAGTGTTCATACCCGACTGTTCTTTCAAACACAGCTTCACTTGACTTACTACACGACAGTTATGTATCATATCCCTCAACCTGTACCTTTGCATGTGTCGACAGTCTTCGCTGATGGCCAGTGCCGAGAGAATTACGTCACTCCGAGGTGTCGAGTGAACGCAGCTCCCTGTCGTCTTCACAGAATGAACAAGCAGTTCTAATTCATGCTCTCCAATCATCAAGCTGCGCGTTGTCTGAGAACAGTCTCTGCTACCTCAAGCGGCTTCCGAACGTGGTCTTGCAGAAACGCCAAATCGACAACCCATACCTATCGTTCCCCGATTTGCCTCGTGCGGGCCGAGATGTCTACTACCAAGGGACACACCAACGGCCAGCAGCCCAGGAAAGAATTAGACCCCAATCAGGGAGGCGACCCAAATAAGAAGACATACCATAAGCAAGCGACCGGAGAAGCGTGGAAAACCGTGCAGGCCCACGCGAGAGAGCACGACCTGCAACTCTACGGGAGCTGCTTCTGTCCTTTCGTCCATCGAGTCTGGATCTCGTTGGAATTGAAAGGTCTCGACTATCAATACATCGAAGTAGACGTGTACAGGAAGCCCAAACTCCTCCTGGACATCAACCCGCGCGGCCTGGTGCCCGCGCTCCGACACGGCGGAGACTGGGGATGCTACGAGAGCACGGTCTTGATGGAATACCTCGAAGATCTCCACCAAGGCCGCGCTCTACTACCCCAAGACCCCAAGCTCAGGGCCTCCTCGCGCCTCTGGTCTGACCATATCAATCGCCACATCATCCCGAATTTCTACAAGTATCTACAAGCGCAGAGGGCAGAAGACCAGATCCGATTCGCGGGTGACTTGAAAGAGCAGATCTCCAAAGCCGTGGACGCTGCGGATCCCGAGGGCCCTTTCTTCCTGGGCGCGGAGATGTCGTTTGTCGATGTCCAATTGGCACCGTGGATTGTGCGGTTGGAGAAGGTGCTCAAGCCGTATCGAGGATGGCCGGACCCGGAGCCCGGCAGTCGATGGGAGAAGTGGGTGCGGGCAGTCGAGCAGAGCGAGCCGGTGCGGAAGACAACGAGTGATGATGGGCTGTACCTGGATAGTTACGAGCGGTACGCGGAGAACCGACCGAATACGTCGCAGGTCCGTGAGGCTATCAATTCAGGAGGCGGGCTGCCATAAATCAGCACGATCTCGTCTGATCACAGCCCGGGGTTTTCTTGCAAAGGGTGGCTGGGAACGTGGCATCGCGGATCGTGTGAGTCAATGGAAGTGCTTGATCGCAAACACGACTTTGCGTACGGTGGTAGTGTGTCTCGTACGGAACAACGAGGCAGAAACGCACGCACGTAACAACCAGCTCTGTAATGTCTCAACATGGTATCTCATACACCATACCACAGAGTGGTGGTTGGAAACGAGATTGGAGCATAGACTGAAGCAGACCCGATACCCTATCACACTGATCAACGATGTCCGTCAAAGCCTCAAAAGACACGACTCGTGGACTCAAATGTCCAATTTCAATCCCGCTACAGTACATTATTATTGCCCACCAACTTGTTGTTCCAGAATCGAGACGTGAAGCAGACTTTGCGACATCCTCTCCGGCACCGCATTGTGTTCCTTAGTCCAATGTCCGCTACTACCACGGAATGAATCAGCCACAAACGGGGACCTGACCGCTTGACTGGTTAAAGGTCCTGCGTATGAAGTAGACTTCGCGCTGCGCAGCCTGTCAAATCTCTCGGCTCAGCTTCAAGCATGCAGAGGAAGCACCTCCTTGCCGTAACTACTCTGTTGCTGTCACTCATCAGTCCGATAAACGACAATCTGTTGAGTCAATTTTCGTAGAGACACGGAGGCTCGGGCACCGGAATGTCATCTCTCTGGAGGAGACACGGCTCGAAAAGCTGTTTGACTCTTATTACAGCATTCGCACGCGCTGCAGATGATCAGCAATGCTCGAAGTGAAACATTTATAATAATCGGTAGTCGTGTAGCAGGAGGTCCGGCGGCAGCGACTGGACGTCTTCACGCACCAGCCACAGAAGTCGCACATCTCCACAGAAATTGCCGCTTTGAAGCGAAAGTCCCTGGAGATCCTTCATCTCAAGCACACAAGCGTGAAGCAGACCGGAGATCAGTCCGTGAAGAATGAAGAACGTTGCCAGGGACCAACTACCTCACCTGTACCTTCATAGCAGACGGTTTAGTTTGCACATGCTGACACTGGAATTTTTCCTTTCTGAACGTCTGTATTGGGCTTCTCGGCTTCGTGCGTCGAGCACAGGACTTGCGGTCTAGCACCGTGGACGGCTTCACTTGAGCATGCGCATCGACGCGCCGTCTGACGGGAGCTCCAACTATTGCAGGAGGAGCACCGTGGACGGGAAGCTTCAGTATTCGTTCGCTGACGCTCCTCGCAATAGCTCAGTTGATGGAGGATCTCGTTTGCAGCGTCTTCCGAATGACCCGCTGCAGCCCAGGAAGAGAGGACGTGATGAGCGAGTATTGGGCAGGGAGCGAAGCTATCGCACACCGGCCGCGACCCGTCCCCACCGAATGAGGACGGTTTAGTGTTGTTCCGTGGAGGGTTGTTGGAAGGAGTGCAGACTACAAGCGTGTAGCCGGCGAGTATGCGCAGCATCGGTAGCCAGCCAAGCCAGCTTTGGGAGTTGCTTGGATTGCTTGGACAGGGTGTGGGGTGATGCGCTTGTCTTGAGATGAGGGGAGAGCTCGTACAACAAGCTTGATGAGAAGATGTCGCAGGATGTGTTAACGGCTTCGGTGTGCTTCGCGCCCTATCGCGCGGCCCGAGTCGGCACACTGGGATGTATCACATCTGGCGTCCTCCACACTCCTCGCCTCGAGATGTTCTCGTGGGAGCTTCTGCCGGCGCGTGTCGGCTTTCATGCTGACTTCACAGCTGGCGCGGCCCTCACCATCTGCGGTGACATCACGGGATAAGGGAGAGACGGTGGAGGGGTGGAGCGGTGGAAATGAGAATGGAGAAGCTGTGCGAAGGGTGTTCGCGCGAGCCACATTCCCTGCGTTTCCGCGACACGCGTGGCTCTCCCTGACACAGCAGCCAGATGCGCCGCGGTGCGTTGCAGGGCGAGGAAGGGAAGGCAGGTTAGCGAGATGGGTCAGACAGCAGCGGACAACAGCGGGGGCATACCAAGCAAACCAGGCCCGCGGACAGAGGAGAGCATCGTCGATTGCGCAGGAAGGACGCCGATCTGCAGGTCGGGTCTTCCTGTCCTGCCCACATGCCTGCCCGCCCGGTGTCCCGCACGGCCAGCCCTCTGCGACGGGCCGCACGTTGCTGTGGCTAGTGCGCTGCTGGACGCTGCCAAAAGCTGCTTAGGCGGCCGGACCCGCTGCAGGTGGGCAGGCGATAAGGTACTGGCGACTGGCACCGCGGCCCAGTGCATCGGTGATCAACCCTGAGATGCACCGCCAGAAGATGCCAAGGATGCATGCATGCCTGCCTGCTGCCAGGTTGCCAGGAACGCGAGTGGCTCAGTCGCAAGTCGGTCTAGACGCCGCTGCTGTTTGTGATGGCAGCTTCATCAGCGTCGCATGTGCAAAGTCTCGCGGGTTCGCCATGGAAGGCCGGTAGAAGGTCGAATCAGGTACCTGATTCTTGCCTCAGTCTCGCTGGCTTCCCCGTGCACTTTGCCGAGAGCAGGCGGGGAGGGAGATTGCCGAGCGCGCGCGAGTATGTGGCTGCTGCTACCGTCTCAGGAAGGTGCGGACGCAATCGTGATTCGCTGTCGCAGCGGCAGCGGGAAGTGAAGAGACAGAGAGCAGAACGCGCTCGCAGCAAGCCCGCAGTCACAGCGGCATCGCGTGAGGATCACAGTAGTATACGTAGTAGGTCGTGGTGGTGCGTGGTGGGTAGCAAGGCGACTAGCCACAGCACGATCGCTTGGCGGCCGAAATTTTGCTGGAGGCGAGCGGACGAGTCCTGCTTTGGCCTGCCTTCGGACGCCTGTGCCTGCGATCTCGGTGATCGATCTGCCAGCTGCCACTGCACGACGAGGGTGCGCTCCTGTGCGCGCTGCGTTCCACGGCATGGCGCAGGACGACGCTGTGCTGGTGAGAGTGGGCGAGGGGAGAGAATGAGCAGCAGCGACCATGGTTCGCAGTCGCTGTGCGGTCTCTGATTCTCCAGGAACAACCTCTTCTAATGTGTACTCTGTCCATCTCCGAACGTCGATTGCATGGGTGAGGCCATGGGGAAGACGTCACATGTCTGGCTTCGGCAGCGCACTGCAGAGGCGTTCTCCTCGCGCTTTCCCGGCCCATCGGCGATGGGAGGAGACTAAGGTGCAGCTCCAGCGCGCGCAGGCCATGCCCTGGCTTGCCTGTGCTGCTGCTAGTCGGGAGTTAGCGCGGTGCAGCAAGGATGCATGTTCCGGAAGAGAGAAGATGGATGACGGCCCACTCTCGCCCACCACACCAGACCAGACGCTCGCAGAACGGGGCGCTTGCGCTCACGGCCAATGCATAAAGCCCGTCACCTCAGGGTCTCGTTGCAGAGTCCCTCTGCTCTGCCATGCTCTCCGCGGTACCGTCTGGGATGATGAACATTTACGCCCATCGCTGCCCTGCCGACGGCCTGTAACCTTGCCTGCTATCCTTAATACCCTCTCTGCCGCTACCGTTCCGCCCTCCTCTGCTCTGCTCTGCTCTGCTCTCCTCTGCCTCGCCTCGCCTCGCCTCGCCCTTCTCACTCTCCTGCACAACAGCACGTAGTAGTCCTCGACCCTCTCGCCCACGACTACTACCACTAAGCCACCACCATCCGAAGAGACTCGTCACCTACTGCAGCTGCTCGCGCGAACAACCAACGCGTGCAACACCTCCATTGCGTATCCTGAGCCATTCATCACCACCAACCATCCTCGCGATCAACGACTCCACCAGCGGCTGTAGCCCAACTGCACGCTCTGTTGCCCAACTCCTCCACGCGTTACCAAGCTGGCGATCCCATGATGGACGGAAGAGACTCAGTCGGCCGAAAGGTACATCTCGCTCCTCCAGCCGCCGGGATGCCTCGACAGATTCCGCTGACGTAATCCCCGCCAGATATCACTGCTCAACGACAGTGCGCCGACCAAAGTCCAGCTTCCACCGCTCCTGCACTCACGAACTTCCTCCTGCCAATCAACGCCAAGCCTCGAACCCGAAACTCCGCTGCTCATCCGATCGTCATCGAGCGATTCGCGCTCCTTCTCGACACCCTCCCCTCTGACCCCCACCTTCACCAGCTTTCAGCAGGCCTCACGCCCTTTGCTGCAGAAGCACCAATCACAGCAGCAACATTCCCCGTACGCCAAGATGGACGATCCGAACGCGTCCATGTACCCGCCACTGCCAGATCCGAACTCGGGCATGCCCTCGGCGTACCCGATGCCTCATATGCCCCCACAACAGCCTATGATGCAACCTCAGAATCTCGCGCCCCAGGCCCTTCGCGGATCAAACTCGCCTGCTTCTGAACCATCCCACATGTCCAATGCGTCCGCGCAATCTGGAAACAAGTCGCAACCGAAGAAGAACCAGTACCCATGTCCCATGGCCAAGCAGGTCGGATGCACCGACTTCTTCACGACCTCTGGACACGCAGCCCGTCATGCGAAGAAGCACACCGGCAAGAAGGACGCGTTCTGCCCGGAGTGCAACAAGGCATTCACCCGCAAGGACAACATGGAGCAGCATCGCAGAACTCACCAGAACGGCCGAGGAGCGTCGCGCAGCAGCAACGACGAATCCAAAGTCAAGAAGAACAGCAAGCAGGCAGCGAAGAAGCCCACCAAGGCCGAGTCTCAACTCGAGGCGGCTGTCGAGCAACAACTTGCGGACCAGGCTCAAGCTGCACAAGCGCAGCAAGTCGTACAGGACGCTCAAGCTCAGTCGCAAGTCGTGAACCCAGTGACTACGGACCCAGCGATCCTAATGCCAGCCGCTGGTCCCTACTTCCTCAACAACCCCATCGATACTGGCCCAATCCCTGCTCTACCCATGCCAATGCACGAGCTTGGCAGCGTCCGCCCTTCGCTCCAACGCTCCAACTTCGTCAACTCCCTTGAGTACATCGCGCCATTGGCACCGATGGTCGACCCAGACACGCTCCACTACAGCTACCCATCTCCTGGACTCTCTAACGGCTTGAACAGCTTGGCGCTGGCGGCGAGCGAACACAGCCGATTGACTGAGAAGGCGCAGTCAGCGCGCAGCCCATCTTCCGAAACGTCGTCACAAGAGACGCTTTGAATCCGTCTTTTATCGCCATAAAATTGGCATGTTTCTGAGCTTGTTCGAATACAGGGAAGGTCTTTTTGGTGCAATATACCCAGTCATCGGTTCTCGGCGCCGGAAAGGGAGCAATTGGAAGGTTCGGGCATTCTCAGGCCCCAGAAAGAACGGCAGCAACAGATGCAGAATCGTCAAGAATTTGTAGGATGACTTTTTTCTGTCTTGCTAAAACGCAGTAACTCTGCGCGCTTCACGTACATGGAAGAAGAGGCGAATGATGTGAACCGTGCCCGTCGCAAAGCGGCTTCTTATGGAGCAGGGTCACCCACACAAGCGAATGATGCTCTTGAGGTCTGGAACCGTACTATGAATACTACAATCAAGACGTTATTGGTGAACCAATTCCTCTCATCTTCTCGACTTTGTGCTTGTGCTTGTTACCCACGAGGTGAAGTCGGACCAAAGCCGTCAAGGGTGTCTCTACGACCTTCTCATCAGGTCTCCGGGCAACGACCCGCCAGCCAGCCCCATCATCAATCATCAACCATCACCACCTTGCAGCATCACGGCTGCATGTTATTATGCCCATCACCATTTACCGCGGAAGAAACGTCTATATAGGTCACGAGCACGTAAGGTAAGGTATGTCGCGCGAGTCGTATACCTCCCGATCGTCATATTATCCGCAGCGGCTGCGGCTACCTAGTACCTACACACTAAGGTCCTATTGCTCGGGCCATCACCTCATCATTCGTGTGTGGTGGGCTCGCTCAGTGCTCACAATGCAATAATAATCAAAATGACCCGCGGCCCACGGCCCTCCCGCGGGCGGGTTTCGTTGCTGGCATGGATTTTTCGTTTTCGGTCCTCCCAAGCCTCCTCCCGGAACGCCTCGCGATTTCGGGACCCCGTCGTCTTCGCGCTATTGGGAAAATCGGGGTTCCCACTCTTGAATGATGTGATCGATATTCGGTAGAAGATTCGATCGTATTTGCGACTGCTGATAAAGTTTTTTTCAACACCTCTTTTGGATTCTGGTTCGTTCCGTACTGGGTCCGCGATTGAGCCGCGAGGTGATCGGAGGGACTGGCTTGCTCAGCTTCCTTATTATTACAATGTTATCTCGACGGGTTGCTATCGACAATCTTGCGCTACCTGACTCGAGTTTGCCCTGATGCAGGCAGGCTAGAATTTTAGGGGAAGATAACCACGATGCGCTGTGACAGGACGCCGTACACGCTTGGAGAGACACGAGGTGTTATGAGAAAGAAAGCATTGGAAAGGAGACCCAAATTGTTGCAATTTTGGGTTTGTGTAGCAGACTGCATGGCCTGCTCTCTACTCTATTGAACTCCAGACACCATCGCTGAACGCAGAATTCAAACAGGTGAGGCCATTGAGCCCTCGAAGCTACTTCCTTCATGCTCAATCTTCATCTCTGGCTGCCCCGTATATAGTCCGCTGCTCTAGCTGTCGCAGACGCACCACCCTCGCGCAGAGCAGCTTCATATCTCGCTTTCAGACCTTCTTCGAATGCCTGGTTGACCTCTTCCTCCTCATCCGCCTCATCGGGTTCGACAGATCCGGCGTCCTCGTCATCTTCGTCCATGTCTTCCATATCGCTGACTGTCTCGGGCTCGTCCTTCTTTGCGTACTTCCCTGTACCTTTCGCCTTGGATGAAACTTCCATGTCCTTCATCATCCGGCTGACTTCCTTCTCCCGAATCTCGCTCTTTTGCTGTTCAGCTTCCGCTTTCCGACGCTCCAGTTCAGGCTTGTATTCCTTCTCAAACTCTGCTCTCTTATCCTCAACAGCCTTGAAAAAGTCTTCCACGCCTTCGCCAGTCATTGACGACACTCCAACGACAGACAGGTGGTTGTAGAACTCCTCGAGAACCAGGCTCATGCTGTTCAAGAGAGGTGCCATATACCCACCACCTTCTCCTTGTTGCTCTTCTTCTTGCTGTACCGCGTCCTGGAACTTCTCGAAATCCCGCATCCAGTCGACTGCCTCGTCTGGTGACTTGACGTCCGTCTTGTTGAAAACCAAAATCATGGGGAGCCTTGTCTTGTAAAGAATGCTAATCGCGTAGAGCATGTTGGACATGAAGGTACTCGTATTCTCTGTCGTCCGTGGTGTGTCGATGATGTATGCTATCACTGTAGGGAAGCTCGAGGCCAGCGAGTTCAACAGGATATTCCCTGAAGCTGACCAGACAAAAACTTCAATCTGTCCGGGCGTGTCCACGATGATATGACTCGGTGTTGGTTTGGCAGGCTCTTGAGGTAGACATCTCTTTTCCAATATGCCCATTACCTGATCGATCTTTGTGCTGAAAAGGTTCAGACTGGTCAGGATACCACCGTTGGGTCCCAAATTGTACTGCTTCATTACTTCCTTGTAGTTCACGGAGTCACGGATGTCGATATTCGAGTCGAAGGGCACACTGCGTACGGCTGGGTCGAGGTTTAAGACGTAGGGTGGCTGTGATGTGGTCTTCTGCGACTGTGTGTGTAGATGCGCATTGATCCTTTGCATGAAGGTCGTCTTGCCGGAGCCGGCCATGCCCACGCAAACCACGGCGACGGGTGGCTGCGCGTCTCGCGAGGAGCTGCTCGAGGCCATGGTTGTTTGGACTGTCGAAGGCGCCCGTTCTGCAGCAGGATGTCGAAGTTACAGCGTCTTCGCACCGCGGAAGGTTATTGTCTTGTCGAGAATCCTGGCCAATATTAGGGCAACGACGAGTCCAACAGCACCAAATCAGTGGCCGCAGCCGTCGGGTTAATACTCCGACGCACGAAGACGCTATATGAAAAGATTGGCGCGGGGCTGGGTTGAGAAGTGAAGTGCATCGCGGGACCTGCATTACTTGACATCATCTTGGTCACATGCAGGGCAACTGGGCACGCTACGTGTACCCATCTCGACGGCCACCACTGCTGCTTTTAAGCTATCCGACTCGCTGTGACCCTAGGTTTTCCTAGGGTTCTCGGGGAGACCTCGAAAATGGGGTTAGAAGAATTCGAGAAAGAGCTCACGCGGAGCAAGGCCAGAAGCCACGAACACCGCGACGACGACCACGACAGAGACCGATCACATCGACATCACCATCGCACACACCGACATCGACATCGACATCGAGACGAATCACGTGACGAGGAAAGGCGACATCGACACAAGAGGCGCCGCAAAGACGATGAGGATGAGCAAAGACATGGGAAGAAACATCGAAGCCATTCGCCAAGGCGGGAGGAGGAAGTGAAGGTGTTCGACAGTGACGACGATGGCGAAGATGAATGGGTGGAAAAGGACACTGCAACCGCACCGCCGGAAGAGAATATCCTCGATCAGCGCGGCGAAGACTTGAAGTCGACCAAAATGCAACGCGATGCTTGGATGGAGGAGCCATCGGCGCTCGACATAGATTACGTCCAGAGCAAGAAGCCGAAGGCTCCGTCCAGCCAATTTGTGGGCGCTAAAGACTCACACGAATTCAAAGTGCACGAGAAAGAGGTCGACCAACACTTGGCGGAGCTGGAAAGGGACGTCGACTCAGATGGGGGAGATGGAGTGGAGAAAGTCAAGGAAGAGCCTGCACAGCATGAGGTCTCCTACACCTTTGGTGATAGTGGAAGCTCGTGGCGAATGACTAAACTCAAGGCAATCTACCGGCAAGCTGAGGAATCCGGACGAAGTGTAGACGAAATAGCGATGGACCGGTATGGCCATCTGCGCGACTTCGATGATGCTCGGGAGGAGGAGCGCGAGTTGGACCGGAGGGAGATGTACGGCAAGGAATACGTCGGGTTGGAAAAGCCTTCAGGAGAGCTTTTCCAAGAGCGCAAGCTAAATTCTGGCATTCGTCGTAATGTCACTTCGGGCCAGCAACAGCCTGATCTTCCCCAAGCGCATCGAATGCCCGAAGCCCAGCCTCCAGCCAGGACTGTACCACTGGATCAGAACGCTCTCAACAGGCTCAAAGCACAGCTGACGAAGGCCAAGCTGCGTAATGCGCCCAACGCCGCTCAACTCGAAGAGGAATACAATGCTGCTGAGGCTGCCAGTCTGGCCCCTCGGTCAACATCAGACGTTGTGGTGCTCAACAGCATGGAAAATCGCATGCTCGCAGGTGATCGATCTGGCGAGGTCACCGCTGTGTTGGGCAAGCGCGGCCGCGAACGAGGCCTAGTCAACGAGAATGAAGACATGTCTATCGAAGATATGATGAAGCAGGAAAAGCGTACGCGAGGCATGCATGGTGGGGAGGGCCGAGCGTTTGCTGAACGCATCGCCAAAGACGGCAAATTTGCCAATGACCTGGACTACATGGACGACAACGCTGAGAAACTGTCGAAAAAGGTCGTCAAATCGGATACGAATTTACGCAATGCGGCCATCGGTGACTTCCAGAAAATGCAGCGAATCCTGGAGAATTGCCCACTGTGCTTCCACGAGGAAACCAACCAGCCTCCTACTGCACCCGTTGTTAGCCTGGCCACTCGTACGTACCTTACACTGCCTACAGAGCCGGAAATTGCCAGAGGCGGTGCAATGATTGTGCCCCTTCAGCATCGACTAAATCTCCTCGAGTGTGACGATGATGAGTGGGAAGAAATGCGCAACTTCATGAAGTCTCTTACTCGATTCTATCATGGGCAGGACAAGAGCGTCATCTTCTACGAAAATGCCGCTTTCATGGGCAGTCGCAAAGGCCACGCCGCGCTCAACGCCATCCCGCTGCCTCACCATCTGGCCGAAAATGCTCCCGCTTACTTCAAAGAAGCTATTCTGGCTTCAGATGAGCAATGGTCACAGCACAAGCAGATCATTGACACACTCGCATTGGTGCAGAAGCCTGGCTATGGCAAAGCCGCATTCCGTAAGGCTATGGTGAAGGAGATGCCATACTTTCATGTGTTCTTCACGCTGGACGGTGGAATGGGACACGTAGTCGAGGATGAGCGTCGTTGGCCGAAGGGCGACTTGTTTGCCAGAGAAGTTATTGGCGGAATGCTTGACAAGGGGCCTGAGGTCATCAAGAAGCAGGGCAGATGGGACAGAGATGATAGGAGATTGGAAAGCTTCAGAAAGAAGTGGGATAAGTTCGATTGGACTAAGATATTAATGGATGCGCAGTGAACATGCACATCGGGACGTTTCCTCGAAGGCTGCTGCTGCTGATAATATTGCGCAATTCGAGTCCCTATTGCCCTAAATCAAGACAACTGCTTTGAAGTCCAACGCACTGATCGAAGCTCTGACATACCGAACGTGAATCAAGTGTTGCTACGTGAACACGCCAGCAATGCGTCCTCGAATAACTGCACGTCAAGCTGTCGTCACGTGAGAATAAGGTGTCGTGCCCGTTGATCGGCTGCTCCCTGTACCCACCCTCTGCACCTTCCCCAATGAAGCGAGATGCGAACAACATCACCAAGCTCCCGTCGCGTCACGGGCACTGAACACAGGCGGCTGCTGCCATTGTCATCGTACATCGCAGTTCTCTGCTCGCCTCAAGAATGTGCAACTTAGAACAATATCTTCATCGTCGCTGATCTCCGCGAGTACGCAGAATGGCCTCAACAGCTCTCTCCGACATCCGGGACTCCATCAGTCGCCAGCCCGAGCGCGACCCAGATATTCAGGCGACGCTATCCGACTTCCTGGCCTACACCGAGCACTTCCCTTCACATCTGACGCGGGCCTTGACCCTCATCGAGGAGCAACGGAGAAAAGCCGAAAAGAGGATCAAGGCGATCGATGATGACACAATCACCTTCAGCACGCTGCCCTCGCTCAAGGACAAGCCTGATCCCACCGAACTGAGAAAAACCATTAGTTATGCTCTGCAGGAAGCCGAGAACGCGTGCCGTATGGCCCTGGAAGAGGCGATCCGCCTGGACGAGGAATGTCAGAGGGAAGCCAAGAGACTGGACATCGTCACGGAGAAGTTGGAAGCTCAGCCCAAACCGCCCTCTCGCGATGCTACGCCCGAGCAGCAAGGTCTGACGTCGCCAAACTTGAAGCGTGAGCGAAGAATGAGCGCAAGAGCAGAGGAAGCTAGGTATGTCCAGTAACATACTTATGATACAGCATATACCTGACCGATGATTAGACTAGAAAAGCCACCACGACGCGAAGACAAGGCCGCAAGCAAGCTACGCGGTCGCAAGGTCATGGTACCCGGAGAGGTGCTTCCACCGCCCGATCCAACCCTTCCCGTTGAGAGCATAAGCGACTGGACTTCACCACCCGCCTCGCCTCCCCTTCTCGAAGAGCCGCTGGCCGTTCCTGGTACGAGCCAGAAGAAGGCTACAACTCCTCGGCCACGCTCCCGAACACCAAAGGCTCCGAAACTTGATAAAACAAACGACAAGGAAAGAGACGGAGACAGGAAAACCCCAAAGCCGCGAGGGCCCCGTGCACCTGGACAGCCAGGAACCAATGCACACAGTGCGGTCGCTGGTATCAGCACCTCCAACGCTCTTCTAGCCCTGACCGAGCCGCCCCAAGATGTTGTGAATGGGAGTAAATGGCTGCCTTGGGTCAAACTCACGGAGTGGGAGATGGCAAAACTCCGCAAGCGAATGAAGAAGAACGCCATATGGATACCATCCCAGACCATGGTCAGGCGTGAGCTCAAAAACCTGGGGCGTGGACTAGCCGGGAAAGAGGCCGCAAGACAGAACGCAGAGGCCACGGGCGAGCCCTTCGTGGACGAACATAACGAGCCAGACCCAACCAAAGTTCTCATCAGCGGAGAGGAAGCTACGCAGATCAACGCGATGCTCGGGCCACAGGTATATGCAGATGACGAGGACGCTGATGCCGAATTGATCAATCGGGGAATGCGCCTCAATGAAGCTAAGAAATTGAAGCGACAGAGGCTCCTCGAGGAGCAAGCGCTGCAGGCTCAGCTCTCCCGCGAGCAAGGAGTTGAACCTCCGGAGCCAAGCAAGGCGTCTCCAGAACAGAAGAAGAGGAAGCGAGATTCCTCGCCTGCTGGTGCTGCTGCTACGACCGAGGCCGAAGACAAGGTGAAACCTGCGCCGAAGAAATTGAAGATTGCTCCACCTGCTCCGCCCGGTCAGACGTCAAAGGTACCACTCGCACCTGCGGGTGCGTCGCCAAGATCAGCATCGACCCGCAATCGCCGTGCAGCTACTCCACCCGCCAGTGCCAGTACAAGCCGAAAGCCTACGATCACCTTAAAAGTTAGTAGGGCCGTTTCGGAGGATCCTTCGAACAGACGAGCAAGCTTGCGCCGCAACAGCAATACGAGTATGCCAAGCGCCGGCCTGCTGCCCAATAACGTGACCTCTCCGAAGGACGCGAGCATCACGAAGAGTGGTCGCCGATCCCGAAGACCTGCTCCTGGAGTGATTCAAGCCCACGACGAGGAAAGTGCGAAAGCTAGTGTTTCGAAGCGGAAAGCTGCTCCACGTAAGAGGGGAGAGCTGGCGTCACTCGAACCGATTCCGGATGCGAAGGAGGATGATATTGATCCTGACGAACCTCGTTACTGTATCTGTTCGGATGTCTCGTGGGGGACAATGATTGCGTGTGACAATGAGGACTGTGAAAAAGAGTGGTTCCACCTCGAATGTGTCGGTCTTGGTGGGCTTCCACCACGGCGTACTAAGTGGTACTGCCCTGATTGTCGCAAGAAGTTGAAGCTAGGGCATTCTACCAATGGACTTGTCGGAAGGACCGTTCCAAATCGATAAGAGAGGCGAGACTGTGTACGGTATCTCATGTTCGGCACGACTACTCCATGCGAGGTAGCAGACTTTGATAGCTTGTTGGCTTGTCAAATAATGACACAGACAAGTCCTCACGTTATACGCTTTCCAGTCAATTTCAAACGCTCGGTGGATATTACAGAGGTGTTGGTACAGCACCAGCCACACCACCGGCTGCCTGTCCTGCTGCAGGAGACTGTTTTGATTGCCATTGCAACTTGGCCTTCTCAAGGGCAGCTTTCGCGCCTGTGCCGGTAGCAGTCATCTTTTCTTGCATCCAGCCAATGTAGCTCTTTTCGTTCTTCTTCTCAATTTCCTTTTCCATCTCGTTGACATACTCATCAGATACACCATCTTTCCCCTCGGTAGACTTGGATGTATCGCCATCTTTAGCTTTCTGTTCGGATTCCGATCGCTCCCGCTCAGCTTCTTCCTTCGCTTCTTGCATTTTGAGAGCCTCTTCTTCCTCTTCCAATCCTTCCGCATCTACGTCCTCAAAGCCAATCTTCTTCAGTATCGTACCCGTGAGGTTTCGATATGTTGTGTGGCCGCTGACGAGCTCGCTGACGTCCATGTTCTCCACTCCTTTCACGTTTTCAACGGCTTGCAGACCTGCGACACCCATCTGGATGCTGTGGCTTCGGTAAAGGAAGCCAAGCACATAGTCGTTCGTGCTAAAGACATTGACTACACGACCAGAGACGACACTCCTGATCAGTCTCCATTCTGCTGCCATGGAAGGAGCAGGAGTGCCGATCAAGACGACGGACTCGATGAGGCCGAAAGCTTTACGTTCTGCGAGTCGCTGGAGACAAGTGAAGATGACTTTCCCGCCGAGACTGTACCCAACCAACGTAATGGGTCGCTCTCCTTGTGCTTTGTTGATGAGTGCATCTGCAAGCACATCTCCGGCCTTTTGCGCCCTGTAGTTGGCAACACTGAACGGATTGTCGATGAGTCGCGAGATTCTGAGCAAACCGAGTGGCCACAAGCCAGCGGAAAGAGCCCCTAAGACAGTATGCTTGATGATCTGCATCTTTGCGAAGCCCCATGCTGCAGACGTAACCATCGTAGTCATCGCGTTTCCGAGATTCATCAGTGCCTCCAATTCCCAGCGCAGAGCGAAGTTCTCCATCTGGACGCCTAAGACTTTCCAAGGGTCCACGACTTCATCTTGGTTGGTGAGCCATCCGCTGATCCCGACGGCAACTCGTAACCGGCGGTATTCTTTCTCTATCTTTCGAGGTTGGTGATGGTCTCGAACGGGTATGAAGGCAAAGTCGCCGACTTCCTTGGCGTACTGGTCCATCATCTTGCCCGTCATCCGACCACCGTACGCACCAAAGAGACCACCAACCAAGACAGTACTTCCAGCCAGTGTCCCAAGATAGCCCGCCGCAGCCGTACTTGCGAGACCCAAGCCACCCATGACACTGCCCACGCCCGCTGCAAGTAAAGGCGCTGCAAGACCGCCTGTAATCCCAATCAACGCAGCACCTGCAGCTGTTGCGAGACCAACCTTCCACCTCCGTCCCACCCTGTTATCCTCTGCGGCTTTCTTCGTCTCGTCATCGGCGCTCATACTCTCCGCGGCCGTGAGCAGAACTCGTGCGATCTTGCTCTCATCGTTTACTAGGAAGTCGATAGACAAGTGTAGACTTGTCGACATTCGAAGCAACAAAATCCGTGATTCTGAATGATAGTGTTCCAGACTCAACAAGAGCAGTAAAAGAGAATGCAGAATCAGGGCCCGGCGCTCCTCTGGCAAGTTCCTGAGAGGGTTCTGGATCGGTGGATACAGCGTCATCAACTTATGCTGAACTTCTTCGTCGTATTTTGGCAGATCTGGAAACTTCATTGGCGATACGGCATTGGCATCCTTGTCCTCCTTTGGCTCCTCTTTCCTGGCCGAGCCGTGTTCCTTGTGCTTTGCGGCTGTTTCCCGCGAGTTGACCACTTCACCAATCCTACCAATAACAGAGCTTCTCCATGCATCGAAGTGCTCCAAAGCAGCCTTCTTTAGCTCCAACATCTTTGACTCGTTGAGCTCCTTTTCTCTCTGAGCCAATTCCTTGTCATCCTTTGCTTTGTCCTTCGCGGCCTGTTCAGAATCGTCATCTCCAGTCTTGGCTACTAGATCTTGCTTCTTGCCAGTCTCTTTCGCGTCAAACACATCGATGATCGCTTGGCGCATTGCTTCGGTGCAGTCTGCAATCAAAATTGTGAGAGCGCTCCTGTCTTCTTCACTCTCAAGCACAGTTGTGAGAGACTCGCCATCCTGCTCGCTTTCTGACTCTTTGGGCTTGCTGAAGGCCGAAGTGGCCTTGGCGAACATCTTCGACATGCCGAAGGAAACGGGGTGTTCGCTCTGTCTTTAAAGAATGCGCACTGTATGGAAATGTGAGAGTCCACGATCGACGGGTCAGCCGGAGTGAAGCTCGTCAAGAGATGCGGTGAGAGGGACGTCGAGTACTTGGACTGAGCGTGACGAAAGCTACATGTAAGACATGTGAAAGTCGAGCCGATGACGTCGGCATCCATGCGTGAACGGCCGCACGGACTTCTCGGAAGCGTCCGTCTTTAGCTCATCGGCCCCTGTATCGGAATTGGGGTGAATGTTCAACGACAGGGCACGCCAAGCACATGACATACCGGAGCCTCGGCGCTCACCTTTTACAATAAGATTTGTGTTCGTAAGCCGACACCTTACAACGTGCTGCCTTCTGTCGTTATTGAGCACCTGCCGTCGAAGCAACGAGGCTGATGCTGCTCATTCGCAAGATCTATGGACTCACCCCTGACCCAACAAGCGAGGCCGGAGGTCTTTGAGCCAAAAGTTGTTGGTCTCTATCGGCGACTTTTTCGAGTACGAATCTGGAATACGCCAGTAAAGATCAATCGCTAACACTTATCTTATAGGAGATCGACGAAGATGAAACAGATGAGGCCTTTTGGAGCACCTTATTTCTCTTGAATCCGGACACTGCCTCGTTACGGGACATACTTGAGAACACCGATGCGGAATATCTGCTGCACGCTCAGGTAGGTACATCTGGACGGAACATTGAATCTCAGCCATAACTTGCCTGTATAGCATCAACCGCAACAACTTCTATCACAAGGACTCACCCGCATCAAGAGTGGAGAAGCTCCTTCCGACGAGAATGCGCTTGATGTAAGCATCTACCGATATGATGTGACTTATCTGGCGTTTGGTTTATGACTTAGACTCTGACAGTGTTCTTTGCCGTCGTCTTGGGCAAAAAGTTCACGAATCCAAGTTCAGACGTAATTGAAGTGAGTCGCGCACGTTCTATCATCTCGTGACATGACGTTGACGGAGATATCTCTCCCACGTAGGTACTTGCTGGACTGGACCATGTTGACAGTGTCTTTTTCGACCTGGTCGCAACCCTTGATCATGCCATCAAAGACGGTCGAACGATTGAGCTGCGGCAGAAGGCTGTGCGAACCGCGATCGCTGTCGTGTCGGGAGGCTATCAGACTGCCCTCATCTCGTACTTCATCAATCGAGACTTCTTCCCGGCCTTGATGAAGCTTGCTCATCAGCTGGAGAATCCCCTACAAGGAAGCGAGCCCCTGCTACTTACGGGTCTGCTTGCGAATTACAACAAATTCGAAGTGCACAATCAATACCGAGTCCGTTTCTCCGACTTTGTGAACGAAGACACTATGGCAAGGGTTGTGCTCAGCATGGCTTGGACGACGACCGTACTTCGCGAGCGCTATATTTCCATACAAGACGACGCCGTCACTGGTTGGAGCGTCGGCGGGACTCTATCGTATGTTGGGTTGGGCGCCCTGGCTGGGGCGAAACCAGCTGCTGCAACCTTGACGGAGCAACAGCAGAAGCAGCTTTTCTCCGAGCAGTAAGCTGAACGAATCCCTATGTCCATGTGACCTTAGCTGACTTCTTCAGACCTGGCCGCGAGGCTGCCTCAATGCTGACCGTATACGATTTCGCACTGGCCAACAAGCTCTTCTGCCACAACCTCGTGAGCCTTCCAGCGACGGAGAGAGATCAGCCGCCACCATTCAGCTGCTTTGTCTCGTTCGCTTCATACTTGTTCCAGCACGCGTACAGGACCGTGCGAGCCTCGATGTACGCCTACCTTGTTTTGATTATCCTCATCATCCTCGTCGAGGACCAAGCATTGGCAAAGCTCCTGACCGAAACGGTCGCTCCTGTTCGTCTCTGCCGACAAAGACCGCCCCAGCTTCCATTGCCAAAGGGAGACCGACCTTATATTGCTGCAGTCATAGATCTTGTGGTTGATGGTATCAATCACAATCTTCGTAAGAGATTGGATACCAATTTCTACCAACAGAGCATTGCCGTACTATCGCGAATACTCTCTTACCTGGCCAAATCGCGGACAAAGCTTGCATATCACTGGTCAGAGCTGTGGCGATCGCTACTCTCCTTTGCGAGGTTCCTCACGACATATGCAGACGACCTCAAGGTGCTTTCGGGGACGCACGAGGTTATTGGAAGCCTTGTCGATGTGCTCACCATTGCTCTGACGAATGGCGAGGCATTCTTGCCAGATGCAGCAGCATATGACGACCTCTTCTACAAGCTGGTAGAGTCGGGAGAGGCTCTCGTCAAGCTTCGCGATGTCTATTCGCTGAGCAAACCTGACGCCAACACCGCCATCAACACTCTGATCGGGGTTTCGAAGCACTACCAGGAGCTCATTGAAAGTCAGAAATCGAAGAGCACGCATCTCACACCGCGCGAGGTCAGCAAGATCATCAAACAGGGCTACGACACGCTCTCGATTGAGACGAAGGAGGGGCTTGATCACGTTGATCAGTATAGGGAAGCCGATCACAAGGTGGAACTGAAGAAGATCACTCGGGTCGCTGTCAATGATGCCGCGTCGTCGATCGCATCATGAGCTTCGGTCTTGTAGTCTTTAAATAGTGTCGAATTGTTGGTCACGCAAAAGTTTCAGCTGACTCTTCCGGCTTTTCTCTACTATCCCGAAACTGCGACATGCCCCAAAGATAGAATCTCAAGAAACGTGTAGTTCGACTTCTGACTTTTCTAGCTCCTGTTATAGCTCTCTGCGTCTTGAAGGACGCTTTGAAACTTTATACTGTACAATATTCCAACCTTTGATTCTAATGATATTTGTCTTTTTGGACAATCCAAAATCACATCGCCAAGATCACAGTCCGATATTCCGGAACTCAATATGTCAATGCTACATTCTGCTGCTATCCTTTCTCAGAACCAATCATCTGTGCGATTTCCTCGCCACTCAACTCCATCCTCAGGAAGTAAGACTTCAATGCACTCACTAGTGGGCCGGAAACACCCTTCAACCTCACACTTGCTCCCCCTCTTCCGGATGATCTCTTCTTCATGTCCAACATGGAGTCCGGCATACTTGTCCTTCAAAAGCGTGCTGGCACTTTTCCCAGTCGTCCTCGCCACCATTTTGGTGTTCTGGCAAGGGAGGAATAGACAAGAGCTGCAGAAGCCAAGAGCGTGGAGAGCTGCATGGTCTCCAAATAAATTGTCTCTGATCGACCTGATGGGTTGCCTGCGGTTGCTATTCTCAAAGGCTGGCTGGATCCGGAAAGGAAGTCGATGGAAGTGGTATATACGAAATACGAAAGCAGTATATCGTCCCCGGTATAGACAGTCCGAAAAACATGTCTATATTGTGGGTCCTGTGAGTATCCTCGATTATCGTGCATAGCTACAAACTGTCAGTTGTGGCCGTGTCGAATGAAACAATCGACCACTGCGCTTGCGCCAGCAGCGGTAGGACATATGGACCAGCTCGGTTGCTGAACACTCGATTGCCCTCGTTGGATGAAGTGCTCTCGAGTTGGCGAGTCACTCATGATTGAGCTCATGGTGGGTGTGGCAAACCAGTCATCCGCAGCGCAAGATACGGATCAATATGACATATCGCCCCTTGCCCATGCCAAAGGTAGAAAGCCGTCGATGTCCGCTCTATCATCTTGGGCTTGCTTATCCGCCATCGAGCATCAGAGGTTCGAGTCTGTATAGCTGTGACGAGACATCTGGGATATGATTCGATTGCAGGATTAAACCCATACTCGATCGCAGAATTTCTCACGGTAGGTGCCAAATTTCGAGAGCGAGCAGAAATGAGGTAGTGTGGGCTTGCTACACAGCTTGGAGATGAGAGATGGGGAGATGAAGTTGTCAATTCTGAACCCAGATCCCTGCCGATTCGCACAGACCAACCGCCGTCGAGGGTAAACGCATTTGTCTGTTCGGGTCACACTCCACAATAAACACCGTGACTTTTTCGCGCAATGGGCCCAGAACTAATACAGCATCCGCTGTCGCGGGCGGATGGCTCAACGGCGGTATCTAGTGGCCTATACACGGTCATCGCCGGTGTTAACGGCCCTGTGGAGGTTCAGCGCCGAGACGAACTGCCCGAGGAAGCGGCTGTCGAAGTCAACATCCGTCCATCATCTGGAATTGGCGGACCCAGGGAAAGATGGCTTGAATCGGTGGTGCAGTCGGTGCTGAAGAATGTCATACTGGTCAACATGCATCCACGAACGCTCATTCAGATCACTCTGCAAGTCACGAAACAACCAAGCAACAAGCTCCTGAGGACAACAGGCGATATCTCTGTCATACCGACCCTTCTAAACACTGCCTTCACTGCTCTGGTGGACGGTGGCATACCTCTCGCGACTACCATGAGTTCGACACTGGCCATTGTCAACAACGCTGGGAGTGTAATGGTTGAGCCACAAGAGAAGGACCTGGAAAGCTATAGCAGCATTCACGCAATGGCCTTCGACTCGCATGGGCAGGAGCTCCTTGATCAATCGTCAGGGATATTCAGTATGGACACATGGGACGAAGTGGCAGATGCGGCGCGGCGGGCATGTGTCGCGGCGATAGCATCGACTGGCGAAGATGAAGCGATGGCAGACGGAGACGCATCAGGCGAGCCGTGGCTTCGAAAGGCTCTACAGAGCCAAGCTGTCGCTGCGAATTCGTGGCGCGACGCAACTTGAAAAGCGAGTAAAAGGTAGGTGGAGTCTGGACGCGCTGCCCATGCCATGCGCTGGCCGAGCTCACTTTGAGCAGCGTCAGCGAGCAGGCGGTACATTTAGGCAGGCATCACTCGAGCATCGCCACAATCCGGGAGCGATGGGTGGAACAACCCGAGGTGCTCGTGGCAGGAGGCAGGCGCTATGTAGGTACAATCCGAATGGGGAAGTTGCGTATGGGCTCTTGCCTAGGACGGCTTCCGTTACTCACTCTCCCGTCATTCTCTTCTACTCTCCTGATTCCTCCAACTTACAACATCGCACGCCTGCTAGCACGCTCCTCTTGTCTTCCCAGTGTGCTCCGACTGCCCAGCATGCGTGCATCTGGCAGAGGTGATGCGTCGATCCAGCAGTTCTTCCCACCCACACCGCGCACTTCCCCCTCGAAACGGACTTCAGCACTGCTCCGCTCAGACGCACCCGTCGGCGATGGTTTCACGGCCGAGGAGGTTCGAGAGGCTTTGAGGCCGAAAGCCATGGAGAATTGGCATCCTGACCACGAATACGATGATCTCTCCGTCAATGCTCTGCTGCCTGGCCCCAAAGCAGTCACTTTTATGGGCCGCGTCGCCAACATCTTCGATGTCGCAAATTCGTCAAGGACTCCTCGTTCGGCCAGAGGCTGCGTCAAGCTCTGCGTTAAGGACTCAACCGGAGCCATCACAGTCCGCTTGTGGTATGCTGCCCGTCTCCCACCGCTTCGGCTGGGCTCCCTCGTCTCCATTTGGACCAACCACAGTAAGTACCATGCCCTCTCGGCAGTTTCGACAAAGACTGTGGCAACCGGCAGTCGGACAGCGAAACCGCAACGATGTCGTTTCCGGGAATCCTCACCCAGAGAGTCACTGTACTAATGCCTCCCAGTCAGCAACGGCGAAAACGGAACACTCTCTAGTGCAAGCGCACCATTGTTCGCCTCACTCTTTCCAGAGCGTGATCGCAATTGTCACATTATGGTCCATGAAAATAGCGATAACGGCATGTTCAAGACACCGCTGGGCTTTCGTGAGGGTATTCCACTGAATGGCTTAATGACGCTGCAGAATTTCATTGGCGGTGGCTACGATGTGTCTGAAGCTAAGATTTTGGTTGTGGTCAAGAGCATCGGCGCGAAGAAGAAAGGTATATATTCCATTCCGACGGTCATTGCTGCTGCCGTGCCCCTATTTTGGCCGCTGTTGCCTTGTAAAAAGCCTTCAGGTTGCTAATTCCTCGACCAGTGACTCGCAAGGATGAGAGCGTCACGGAGAATGTCAATCTGCAGGTTCACGATGATACTGCAGAAGCCACGCTTGGCCTTTGGGGTACATTGGCCTCGTCTCCTTTCTCCACGGAACACAGTGCGGACAAGAGCTCAGAGGACGGCCCAGTGGCACGGCAGGGATGGAGACCCGGCGAGACAGTGTTGCTGCTCCAAGGTCCCGGCTGGAAGTTCGGTCGTACAACATACCTCAGCTTCACATCCTGTACGATTGTCGACGTCGACCCTCACATACCGGACGCAGAATTGCTCCGTCGATGGGCGCTTCGCATCAAGAGCCGTGAAGCGATCAACCCTCCATTCCCCGAGAACGTTTTCGATAAGAACGGGCCGGCGGTCGTCAAGTGCCTCTTCACGATATCTGAACTGGATGAATTCGCACGTGCCGCTGAGGAGACCTATCAGGGCTTTCTAAGCCTCATTATCATGGAGATCAACTTGCCGGAACTGCATCGACGAAATATGCTCCTTGCCGGCGAGTGTTGCGACATCCCGATCTACGCAAACGCTCTTGTTGCGCCTTGTAAGGGCTGCGAGAGGGAAGTGCATCTGCGGCTGAACCCACGAATTCTTGGGCAGGTAATCGATGAGACGGGTGCCATCGCCGGAGGGAAAATGCTTCTCTGTGATGAGGCTTGGCACGATCTTCTCGGGAGATCCCCGGAGGCTCTGCTCGACAGTCCTGCGGACTTGAAGTATCTAACAGAGCGACTGCTGTTTTCCCGTGTTACTGTGATGTTCGGCTGGACTGGGGACGCGTCCAAGGCAGGAGCAAGGGTATGTGTTCTCAGGGTGCAGGCCTAGGCATGTGGCCACAAGTGTCTGCCCGGTGGCATGAAAGAACTCGTTTTCATGGAGATACTTTTCAATGGGGTTGACTGATCTTATAAATGGGGTGGTATGATGAGCCTATCAAGTCTGGCCCCCTTCTCAATGAGTCCTCGAGAAGGCGCGCATGTGAGCGCATACGGTCCTTTTACGGTACCATGGAGATTCTCATTCCACGTGAGATAGTTGCTTGGTCTGGCTACCCTTTTCTATCATTTTCTCGTGTCAATGTATCCAATCCTATGGTACAGTACCGTCATGATCTCATCGCCTGTACAGAAGCCTGTTTATACGGCCGAGTCTTGCTTGGCGAAGGTACGGGCCAGAGCCTCGATGCTATCCGCCACTCGCTTGAAGTCATCCTTCTGCTCTCCTGCGATCTCAGAAACATCGCCCGCGGTTGGATCGTCGTCTTCGTTCGACCACTGGATCTCGAAGGTGTTGAAGTCGACCTTGGTGTCGAAACCGTAGACATCCTTCGATGGGTGGGATGGGAAGCCACGTAGGGTGTTCATGAGGTTCATCAGTTCCTGCACGTCGTCCCTACCCGATGTCAGCAGCTAGCTTCAATGGAGAAGCGTGTTGGTGCCCAATTGAAGAGCCCCCAGGATAGCTCTCCAGGCCACTCAGGACTGGGATGAAGAGGACTTTCGAGACTTACTTGGGCACGTCACCGCTCTTCTCAGAGGACTTGTTCCCACCATCGTGCTGCGACGATCTGATGACGGCTGGTCTATTCGGCTCGCCAATGACTTCGACGGTGTGGGTAGGAGTTCCTGCGACCTGATCAGCTTTCTCCTCGTAGCTAATCAGATTTGAGCCTGCGAAAGTCCTCCCGATCGCATCGCATTTACTGTCTCATGGAGATTTTTGTCGAGTGGAGAAGGATTCTGCTCGCGTGTTGCATTCCCTAACTTACCAGAGAATGGCTTCGACAGGCGCACGGTAAATTCGCCAGACGGTGGTGGAGCTACTTGACGAGGCATGGTGTTGGTGTTTCGGTGTCTTGTTGATGTTGAGTTGGAAGTGTTCTTGGCGATTGCAAGTAGTACAAAGGATTGCTGTGTGATGTTTGGCGGAGACAGCAGAGTTCTTGAAAAGATGCACAATGTACTTATTACAGTCGTGTGCCCCACGTAGAGGGAGCGGTACCTGCATATGAGATCACCATGTTGTAATGGAAGAGTGCCTCAGGTTTTGTTTCACATGACGCCATGTGACAGACAGCGTGAGTAAGTACCTCCAGGAGTGCAAAGGGCAGTGTGCCATGGCGAATGAAGTAAACGTTTAGTGGTCAGGCGGTCTGTAGCCAGAACATACAAAGCCACGATCCCGAGCAACCCGATGGACCACGAGCTGTAGAGAAACTTGTGCTCTCCATTTCGTGAGTAGTAGTAGTAGCATGATGTGTGCGTGCCGTTTGACAGTAGCGTCGACCGTTGGTTGAAGTCGAATTCGACGGCAAGCTGGACGGCAGAGGATCAAAGCTCCTCCGCCGACGAGGCGCTAGATCTTTGAGACTTGAGTGGAGTCCCTTGAAGGGGGGTGTGGGAGAGTTGCAGAAAGCTCCTTCTCTCGCGAATGTTTGTTATCAGAGCCAGAACCGCATGCAGGTGATGATGGAGCCGCCATGTGACACGCAGAGGCCGAGAGCTCCCAGGCATTAGGAAATAGGCGATGCAACGTCATCGCTTCGTGCTTGCCTGCTTGCGCGAGAGCTGCCAAACCTGCTGAGCAGTGATATATGAACGAATGTTCCATCGGACACTTCTGAGACGAAACAGCAATCTCGAACCTACTACAATCTCACTCAATAAGCATTCCAAGCGAACAACTCACGCCGGAAGATCACATAAGATGCCTCTCGTCGTCCCAGGCCTTCAGTCCAACGACGGTGACAAGACATCCGGTTGGATGGACAAGCTGATGGGCAAGAAGCTTGGTGATAGCCACAACGAGACCGTAAAGTGCTTCCACCCACGAGTATTCGTACAGGCACTGAAGATTCGCCAGACTTTCGCGAAGACGGACCTTCCTCAGCAACATCGCGTTCTGAAGGGTGACGACCAGATGATGACCATGGATCATAATCCAGACCGGTGAGTATATGATACCTCACGATTCGATGATGCCCGGATGTTGACCAATCTTGCAGTCTTAACATTCACACCTCCGAGGATGGCACCGTGAACAAAGTCACCCACGGTTGAGTAGAGATTCCCTGGGCGTTTGCATTGGAGGATACCCGGCAGTACCAGCTCTAGGCTGCCTCGACGACTTTCGAGTGGTTGCAATGTTGCTGTAGATAGTAGACATGCAATGCTGTTTTACTGGACATACTTCTGTATCTCGGTGACGCCCCTGTCTACCGTTCCTAGCCCACCAAGTTCGGAGCATGCCATGGAGATGAATACTGTTGCCGACATACTTGAGACTAGATACATGCGTCCGTCTTCGTCTTCGATATCTGAACGCTGTAGGAAGGCCGTAATAGTGAAAGGGTGAGTCGCGAAATCAACGCGCCTTGAGCACAGACCTTCCATGACGTGTTGACGGGCTTTTTGCCCGTACATCTAAGGTACTTTACATCAACATTCGCAGGTCTATTCACCTTGCTACCTTCCATTGACTGCGATCCGCTATATCAAGATCAAGATGGGCTCGTCAGCATCAAAGGCTTCTCGGGCAGCTGGCTCTGCGGCGCGGAAATACCCAGCCCGCCCATCACCATCAACGACGACCCAACCGCAACCACAAGCAGCTGCACCTTCTCCCTCGTCTACGTCCAACGCCCTACCGCAAGCACCTCCTGCACCTAGCGGACAGCCTGGTCCGACCGTGAAGCCTCGCCCACAAGCATCCGGCGACCGATCAGAAGCGATCAATCTTGATGCCTCAGACCCAGACTTCGCCCAATCTCTACGCTCAATAGGGCCGGTACAGCCTAATCCGACATTGTCTCCGACATCAGCTTTCAGTCCCGGTCAGAACATAAGACCACAAGCCCCGAACCCGCGCTCAAATCCTGCACTTGCCGTACTCGAGGCTCGCAGTAAGCTACAGGATGGCGCGGACCGGGAGTTCCTGGAGGCGGGAAGAAGAGGTCACCAAGGCAGAGAGTTCCTTGATGTGTACACAATCAGACAGATTCTGACTTTGAGAGACGAGCAGCGACGTAAGACAGATGATATTGAAAAGGCGCTAGGCTTGAAGAGGGGCGTCGTGGACAGACTTGGTGCCAGCGGAGTTGTGGAGTTGGCACAGGAAACGGGCAGAGCACAAAGAGACATCAACATGGTGTGAGATGACTGGGCTATGTTCGAGTATGTGAGCTATCAAGAGCCTAGAACTCTGAAGACGGCCTTGACACCCAGATGGTCCGTTATCCAGGGCTTGTCAAACCCCAGCTTAACGATAAGCTCCTGCTCCGGGGCCTCATCGACACATACATCGGCACCAAATTTATCGTACGACGCCACATCTAGCCCGCCGCAGAAGAATACCTTGTCCATCCGAGTAGTCCCAAACTGCTCTCGCAGCTTTGTGGCTGCTTGCTGGCCCCATGTGTGACCTTCCAGATCATCCTCCTTGCCACCGCGCTCGAGGTACGCATCCTTCAGTCCATTATCTGAATGGAGAGCCTTATCAAAACCCTGGATAGCATTGAAGTCGCCTGCTGCGATCGCGCCGTGGATATGTGACGCACGCATGTACTCTGCGCACAGCTTCATTTGTGGGATTCTATACGGCGGCTCCAGAGCCAAGCTCTCCAGATGTGTATTGCAAAGTCGAACGGTCTTGTCATTGAGCTTGACATCTACGAACAAGCCATCCCTCTCCATTCGCGTCGCTGCGTAATGCACCCGAAAGACGGAACTAATCGGCAGCCGGCGGTCAATCAGGGTGACGGTCCCATAGTGACCTGACTGCCAGTTCAAAACATCCACATCACTCAGCACGAATGTTTCGCGAATCCAGGAATGAGAAGTCAGGAGTTTGATATCGGAGAAGACGCATTCTTGCAGAAAGACGACTTTGGCCGTGGCTTCGTGCTCTTGTGATATGAGGCCTCGAAGGTGGTCGAGCGCTTTGTTCATCCTCGAGTCGGCGTAGGGTAGCATGAAATCGATATTCCAGGAATAAAGAGCCAAAACTGATAGCGGCTTCCCTCCTCCTGTCGTTGACTTGACCGAAGTCCATTCGTTTCCTTTCCAGATATTGCAGTCCTGACTCCAGACCTCGTCCGGTTTCCACGGGACTGTACCTCTGGCCTTCTCTTGGACCTGTTTGAGAGATTCCTGCACCAATTCTTCCATCCTGCTCTTCAAGCGCGTAGATAATATGGTGTAAGTACGTTTAAGCGGCTGGAAAAGACGAGCAAGCATGGAACAAATTGCAGACGACCGGAGCCGGATGCGTACACTCCGTTTTCAGGCCCTAGCATATGGCTCTGGCTCTGGATCTGGACTTTCGTGCCTATTTTTTACAAGCTGGGTTGAGAAACGAATGGAGTAAGGTCAAGAGCGATGCGGAAGCTGTTCAGCCACTTCTTTTGACAGCTGCGCAAAAGTCGGCGTATGGTTCTACAAAGCCTCCAGCGTCCTCGGATAGCATACAATCAGCGGTAGTCGCTGTCAAGATAATCCTCCGATGTGCTAAGACGCTGTACGCGGGCATGGTGGTATAATCAAAAGACGTTTTTACTCATGCTGTGCCTCAAAAATCACCGTTCACATCTTCAGTCGCGTGCCACTAATCTCTTCCCTGCTTACGTGACTTTCTCTCAATCATCCGCCCTTAGGCCGCAGAGATCGGTACCCATGACTTGATCGATCCACCAGAATAGCTTCCAGTACAGACTAGCTCTGTCCCAGTCGAATGTGCCATCCTCTTTCCTAGGAACAGCAGAGCCGATAATTTCGCTCGCTCCTATCCATGACGACCATGAAAGCTTGGGTTGCTTAGGAGCCAGAGCCATTTCGGCTGGTAGCACCACGGCTCGCGTGGCGCCTTGAATGCGGCCGCCAGCTGGACGTGCTTGGAGTCGACCACCGATTGCTTGCGGCTGTGGTTGGAACCCCGTTACCTGCGCTGCTGCACTAGGACCTAGCGCATGTGCGGGAACGCCGCCTTGCATAGTAGAAGTACTCGAAGTGGGAGAATTCTGATTGCCTTGGTTAGAAGGGCGACGTCGACTTCCTGGAGCCGTCGCTGTAGCTGATGAAGCCGTCGCCGAGGAAGGAGAACCCTCCGGACTGCCTCCAATAAGCGTGTTGGTGGAGAAGGAAGGCGGCAAAGACGAACTTGTAATCTGCACACCAGCTTGCGTCGCGTAGATTGGCTCGTCCTTCAGCGGTCCTCGGCCTTGGTATATTTCCGCATACACTAGGAAGCCTCGGACGATGTGTGGTGCTCTTGCGATCGCCAATTCTGCAGCTTGGCTTGAGTCGAACGTGATTTTGATCCAGTGTGCGCCTCCTGCGTATCGATTCTTCTTTCTCATCGCTGCTCTGGACAAGCTTCTCTGGGCCTGCTGACGACCCAAAGTTCTTGAGATATCATATCGCGAGCCAGGGGGCTGACGCTCGTAGTCTTCGAGTATCACACCATTCGACACGCGCTCGTAGAAGTCAATTGCAGCCCATTGCATATCATCCCCAAAGCCATAGAGCAGCACTTCCGTTGGCTCACTGTCCGTCTCCGCGGCCGATTGCGCCTTCAGCGTAGGCTGAGCGGTCACCGTGTTGGCATCGACTTCAGCCATGACCTCTCTTTTGCTCTCTCCGCTATCTTTCGTTCCCACTTTTCGCAGCGATCCGAAGATCGCATCCTCAGCCGCAATGTTGTCCGCGCGTATCTTGTCCTCTTCTCGTCGGGGTTCTGCTGTCTTGCTCCGACTTCGCGACAAGCCACTTCTTGACCTCCTCATGCTCCGGCCGAATGGTCCTTTCTCAATTCGTGGACGCTCGCCATTCTCGTTTGTTCCAGAAGGCGCCAAGTAGTCGTAGGCCCAAGGTAAGCGACGGCCGTTATCATCGAGTGCCCGTTCTGCCTCTGGTACAGCGTGGATCTGCATCCCCCGTGGATGCCGGTTATTAGGAAGACTGCCATACATCTTGTCGCTGGTGGGTGATTCGCTCGCGTCTAGCGGAAGTTGGTGCACTTTTGTTTGCAGTCGCGTATTGTGTCGGTCAGGAGGGTGAGTTGTTCTGCACTTGAGAAGGAAGAGATTTGAATGTCTGCGCGGAAGTTCGCGACTTGGAGTACAATCGGGTAGATGTGTGCAATTGTTGTCTCAGTCGAATGGGAGAATGGAGGTCACCTCGAAGTTTATTTAGGCGCGCACGGACGCGGCGCAAGTGAAGCCACCATCCCGATCCTAGCAACTCACACCGCATGTACCCAAAGACATCTCACTATTGATGAACGTATTGACCAAGCAGAACAAAGGCCAAGCGAGGCAGTTCGGAGCCTGGAAAGAGAACCCGAGAGCGCTTCCCCGGGAGCGCAATCAGATGGCGCTTGGAAGCTATGTACACTGCTACAGTACACGCTGCGTCGAGCTATGGCAACACAACACAGTGCAAGTTTCGAGCCGCTGAGCAAAGCGAGTCGTACAACGATATGGCAGCAGGGCGCTTCGATTGGACCGCATCGTGGGCACGCTAACGGATGTACTTCCCAGCGGCGGAGTCGCTCGTGAAGGCCGTCGGAGGAGGAGCCCACCGATGCAGTGCGTGTGATCAGTAGTGAACAGCTCGCTTACTTGTGCATATGTAGAGCTACATGTTAAGCACCCCAGAGTGTCACGTTGGTCAGCCGGCTCGGGCCATGCTTAGCGCGATCTGAGATCGCCATGACGACAGCTGGCAAGGCTTGCGCTTGCCGAAAATAGCAACTCGGACTTCGCGTCTCGACAAGGACATTCTGTATGTTGTATTGCAGTCGCGAAGCAAATCACAAGCGCCCGCCAGATGATCACGAGATCATCTACATAGCCAGACCTCGCCGGCTACGCTGGAAGACCTACCAGCAACGCCCAAATGAGCAACATCAACGACATGCTCGCCGCAGCGGCGCACCACTTCGAGCGGGACCGAGCTCTGATTCCAATGTACTTGCACCTCCTGCTCTCCGCCTTATTTCCGATCTATACAGGTGCCCATGCCTCACTATCACGGCCATCTTCTGCGGCCAAGCCTCAGAAGCGTACCAGAGAAGAGAATGACGAAGAGGAAGACGAGGAAACAATTGAAAAGATGGAGGGATTGACTCCAAAGGATGCTATAATCTTCCCTGTCACGGCAGGTCTTGTTCTGTCCGCTCTTTATTTCGCTATCAAGACGTATGGCGCTGGCATTATCAATCAGATCCTCGGAGCCTATTTCTCGTTGATCGGCACGTATAGCGTCGCCAAGCTCATCAACGACTCCTGGACCGTTCTTGCGAGCTTCGCCACTCCAACATACTACTACGATCAGGGCAAAGTCTGGAAGTTGAGCGAGAAGGACCGCAAAGCGACTGCGGTTGGCGCCAATGAAGCCGAAAGTGGTGTTCGCCCTTCACCGCTTGCTGGCCCACTGGGGCGAGTATTCCTCCCGGAGACTTTTCGAGATTTTATTTGGGCAGGTCGGGGCCTTGTGAAGCAGCGATTTGTGGTCGAGGGCTACGCGAAGGACGTATTCGACTTTCGCGCAATCTTCACTCGTTTGAACGTGCTGTCCGCTATTCTTGGCATCACAGCTGTAGGCTACTTCGTGTTTGTTGATAAGCCATGGTGGCTCACAAATCTACAAGGCTTTGCTGTCTGCTATGGTGAGAACTTTGTTCGAAAGACCACTTGTCAATACACCGCTAACCCCAGCTTGTAGGTGCCCTCCAGCTAATGTCGCCAACGACATTTCTGACCGGAACCCTGATACTTTCGGGACTGTTCTTCTACGACATTTGGGCTGTATTCTTTACTCCTCTCATGGTGACAGTCGCCAAGAACTTGGATGTGCCCATCAAGCTCGTTTTCCCGAGGCCGTATGAGCCCAGTACAGAACCAGGAAAGCCGCCAGTGCGAAGCTTTAGTATGCTTGGACTTGGAGATATCGTGCTTCCCGGTCTGATGATCGCTCTGGCCTTGAGATTCGACCTTTACATGTACTACCTCAAGAAGCAGACTACTGCGGACACAGTCACAGCACAAACGAACAAAAGCCAGTCCAACGCTGATGATGTGCGGAAAGCGCCGTGGATACCAGTAACTGGGCATTGGGGTGAAAGATTTTGGACCGCTCGACTCGCATCATCTCCTGAGTCCAATCGCTTACCAGAGTCTTTGACGACCAGCTTCCCGAAACCGTACTTTACGGCATGTGTGATCGGCTATGTCGTTGGAATGATTGCGACACTCATTTTCATGAGTGTGTTCCAGCATGCCCAACCAGCCCTCCTCTATCTTGTTCCGGCGGTTTTGACTAGCTTGTGGGGCACTGGCTTTGCGCGCGGAGAGCTGAAGCACCTGTGGGAATTTACCGAGTCGATTGATGGTCAAGCCGAAAACGAAGACAAAGATGAGAAAGAAGAAACAGAGGCAACGGAACAAGGCGAGGAGACTTCGCAGTGGTGGACATTTTCATGGGTTTGTGATCTTCTGCTTGGTAGCAACAAGACAAGCGCCAAGGAAAGTCCCTTGAGTAAGAATTCGCAGCAGGAAAGCTTAAGCAAGGCGGTCGCCCAGTCAGAACATGAAGGTCAAGAAAAGAAAGGTCCAGATACAGACAAAGATGCAAAGGTGGAGGAAGTCAGGCATAGGTCAGTGGGCCCTGATGTGGTGTTCTCTTTCGCTATCAGCCGGCACAAACAAAATGCCAACGATGCTTCCGGCGATCCTGCTCTAGCTTCCACAAGCAAACCGCCACCTGGAGTAGAGCCTGATGCAAAACATGAACCGTCTGACTCCTTGTCTTCTGACGAGGTTCTGGTGTCCTCCTCGGATCTCTCTGGCCAAGATTGATGCGCAAGCGAGCGAGTCGGCCAAGATTTTGCCAATTCAAATGCCTACCTCGAGAAGATGTAGTCGGCGATCATGTTTTGGGGATTTTGCCTTGAACTGGACTGGCTACGAAATGATGACTTTTCTTTATGCATAGCGAGGCGGGCACACGAGCGGCAGATGGGGTGATAACCAATGCGACAGCAGCAATCGTACCCTGAGCCATACTTTGGAAGTAATCCAGATAGAGACCACAAATCGATACTTAGCTTACTCTACGGAGGAGCATCAACGGGAAAAAGGCCACCGGGAGAATCAGCTTCGTGACAGTCAGACACGCGGCGGACCATCTCAGTCTCCCCCTGCCGCAGTTCCTCTCTCCTTCGAAGTCCTTCTGCCCGCTTACGCTCTCTGCGAACATCGGCAGGCTCCCAGCCATCGCTGTACTCCGCCACTGGCTTTGAGTCGAGGTTAAGTAGTGCCCGTCTAAACCTCTCCTTCCGATCCTTGTTGACAACGAATCGCTGATTGGCTATCGTCACGAGCGATTGCATGTAGTCTTCGGACACCATGGCTTTGATGTTACCTCGAGAGTCTTCGTAGGCAACAATGCAGTCAAAGGCAAGTCCCTGGGTGCGCACCGCTACCATGGGAGTAGGCGCAGGACCCGTGATGCCGGAGATGCCACTCTCACGAAAGCCGGCAGACATCGCTGCTGAATGGACGTGTTGTGCGCTTTCTAGTGACGACGCCAAGATGTGGAGGATCTTCGAACTCAGTCAGCAGAGCAATTTGAGTTGGTGGTGAAAGCATTTACCTAATGATGAGAGTAGACTATGGATCTTCCCAATAGCGGCACACTATCGTCGGATTGAACTTACCATAGGCTCAAATTTGAAATGGACAAACCGTGAAGGTGGTTCTGAGGAAGAGGGGCCATCTTGCCTACCAATGCCGAAGAATTCATAGGTCGAACCATCGGATTGAAGTCTACAGGCAGCCACGGGCTCGTGGGAGACGTACAACCATCGCCCGCCACCTTTTCCGCCCTGAATCGCCATCGGGCCAGGCTCGCCGTCTTCAGCTGTGTTGGATTTGAGTGCGCCCTCAAGAAAGACCGCCACTCGGCCTGCGCAACTGCTCGTGGTCACATAATCATCAAGACCATTGATCTTATCGCAAAGCTCCCGAACGCCTTCGTCCACAGATCCTTTGGGCGAGAGGTCGGTGTATTCCTGGTCCGGGATGGCAAGCTGTTCCAGGATCTTTCTCTTGCGCTCGTCGAACCTGTTCGGCATTGCGATAGTGTTGAGACGGACGGGAAGATTGGCGAGGATTCATCAAGAAGAGAAAGACGAGGTCTCCCCAACAGTGGGTTTGCACTTGCATTAGCGTACCGGAGAGCGGATCCAATCACGTTGACATTATGTCGGCACCCGGTTCTTTCTTTTCGCCTCCGAAAAGTAGCTGGCATTTCCCAGGGTTGTTGCACGGACTGCGACGGAAACCCTTGTGCATCAACGGCGCCACTTCATGGTTGTCACTTGTCGAATGTCCCGTGATTAGTACGGAGATTGGTAGCTCTATGCCACGCCCTGCCAAGCATGTTGTTGCAAGCAAGCGAGAGCTCCGTGAGAACTGCACAACGGCGCTTGAGACGCCGCTGACAGGTCGTATGCAAGCTTTGCGACTCTATATAAACATGTTATTGTACAAGCCTTTTGATAGAGTCCTTTTTACCATGACTGATCAGATTCACCTACTTTCCGAGAGGCCGGTATAGCTTTCCAAATCCACCGCGAATCTATTGCAGACATCCGCATCTGCTACAGCTGTCAATTTGTTCTCGGCGTTTTGAAAGAAGGCGATTGTGAAGGCACAGTGTCGTTGGCAATCCGGTCATTCACTTGTCCGCCCAGCCTTATCCTTGTTCGGTGTAGTGCAATCGGGAGATACAGTACAGTAGGTCTCTTTGGCATCGTCTGATTGGCTTGTGGCGGGGCTCTGACGCATTTGGCGGAGAGCATTCCCGCGCTACCATGTGCTTGCCGGGAGGGCGTGTGAAACACTCGAGAGCTCAGAGCTCCTTTATTCCTCTGGCCAATTTCTCCAATGTCAGCCACATCTCCATGTCGCCCATACCTAGACCGTAGCGCAGGATCGCATACTACACTGCAGGACTACGACGTTGCTTATCGCGAACGCGCGCGTGTGTACAGGACTTGGCGGCGCGGCACCTGCCTCCAGCGCGGCTTCTGGGAGGAGCATGGAAGAGCACGAGGAGAGGGAATCGATACATGAACGGTCGTCGACGCCCGGCCGCAAATCGTCCAAGTCGGGACGCAGCTTATCGGACCCGCCGACGCATTCCACCCTTCAGCCCTCGCCCACGATCAAAGAACGCACCCGCGACGATGCGTCGCCCAGTACGCCCCGTCCTCGTCCTTCACCTCGTCGGCCGGACTTCCTGTCGCGAGGTCTGACCTTGCAACTGCCGCCCCCGCGAGTCACTCCCACCGAAGCCTCTGCGCCTGCCACACTGTCTCCCTTTGCTCCACCGCTCTCGCCGAGACTGGATGCACACAACACCTACATGCAACAACCATCCCACTCCGCTCAACCCTCGTTGCCGCATTCGCCGGCAACCAGTCTGCCAAGGCATTCACGAGGATTGGATTTCTCCCGGGCCTGTACCACTCTCCATCATTCCACTCTTGCCGAGAGCGATCCCGATTCCTCGCCCGTCATTACGCAGCGAGGTGTCAACATCCCCGGGCGTAAAATGTCAGTGGGAAGCATGGCTCTCGACTCGCCACATGCCATGGGCCCAGGCAGCTATCCATGGACACAACTACCGCCACACGAGAAGAGCACGATGAGCAGTTCGGTGGGGAGCGTGAACATGGTCGGGTCAGAAAGTGAAAGCTCCGATAGTGACGAAGATGCGAGCATGGGAGGAGACGACGCGGAGGATCCCATCTACGCAACACCCCAAGTACACAAGCTGCAGAATCCCAATGCACCAACACCTTTCAATCCACCTACAACGCCTGCGCCCAACACAGGGTGGGGCAACGGCAATCACTTGTCTCCAGCTCAAGCGTCGCTCATGAGAACCATCAAGCGAACGAGATTACATAAGAACGGACGGAGAAGCAGAAAGAGCTCGAGCAGTGCAAGTGGAAGCGGTTACAGTTCCATGGCATCTCCACGAACAACATCGCCTCCGCCATTAAGGAGCATTGAGTCTGCAGCGAACAGCGGGTACTTCACATTGGCAAACGCGGCACGCAGCAGGAGAGAAAGTCTGGCCATGGGTACAGATGGAGTGAACTTGTCGAGTGGGGACCACAGTGGAGACGAGGCTACATTCACCGCACCTTCGACTCCAGGCGTGGTCCGGCGGCCTGTCACTCGACGCGGTAATCTACTGCCTAAGACCAAGGGCTTTGCCCGCATCCGCGCTGCTTTGCTCGAAGAAGCAGCTCCGGTGGATACGGAGGTACGGCAGGAGGCCGAGACCATACGCCAAGTGAGGGAACGCGATGGAAGCGTGATCGGAGATCTCGAGCTTCCCTTCGAGCGCCCTCAGACTGGCACAGCAGCCTCTTCGCCCAATCTTCTCCCTGCCGTGCCGGAATCTGCACAAGAGGGCTTCGGTAGAGACTTGGACGGCGACAAAGGTCTCGGTTTCAACTTTGCCGCCCACGTGAGCCGCAACAGCGGAGGACTCGACTACTGGAACAGGTTCGAACCATCCATGCGTACTCCGCCTCCTGGCTTCAACCGACAGAGTAGCAGTGTCATGTCGGACATCAACATGGAATCGCCTGATTTCACGCAGTGGAGACGGCCGCGTGCCAGGTCTTCAGCTTCCGATGCATCTGAAGCATTCCAGCCGAATGCCAATGGAGCTGGTAATAGCGTTCCAGCAGGCATGAGTGATGATATGCATCTTCAGAAGTTCAAGAAGCGACAGCGAGAGGACGACTTTGACATTGCAACAATCAAGAGACGCGCCGTGTCGCCTGGAATGAGTGCGCAAAACAGTCCTGTCCTTACAAATTCGCCGTCTGCTCGCGAAATTAACGGAGCCTGGGGTCAACCCCCTGATCGCAGGGACAAGAAGGATACGCCACCAGTTGGCGAGGCCTCTGTGTCAAGCTCGCATCAGGTACGTGCTGGAAGTGGAGGGAGCTCAGCTGGTCTGCCTTCCGGAGGCAATCTTGTCAGTCAAGGCAAAAAGTTGGGTCTGCAGCCAATGGCTGATACGAATGACGGCCTCATGAAAATGAGCATTGAGTGATGCATCTTGTTTGTGTCTTGTTATCGTCTATATAGCGAAAGTGTCACGATACAGCGCTTCTGTTACCAGCTTCTATCTCGCACCAAAATAAGGCTCCCAGTAATTCTTCACATGGTCGTCATTGGGTATGTCTTGGCACCTCGCTTCACCTTCCCCCGCCTTGGCAGACCGCCAACCTCACGTTTCAGTGTCCAAGAAACACTTCAAGAAACTAGACATCCTCTAGACAGCACTTTGCCCACGAACCTCACAATTCGAAATAGACGGACAAGATGGGATCCAGAGAGGCCACGGTCGCCTCCTTCGTCGAGTCGGCGCCGCCAGGAGAGGTCGGTAGGAATGGTGCCTGCCCACAAGAACATACCGACGGCTGACGATTGCCAGCTTTCTAACGTTGTGAACGGTACGCTCGCACCAAAGACCACCAGATATGCGAATCTGATGAGACGAGAGACTGAGACTGCAAACAGACATCAAGGCATTGGCCAGCAACCAGCCAAACCTACTCCAATCCCTTGAGCCTGCGTTTCAAAAGTACAATGAGGAGCAGTACACCACGGTGAAGCTACCTGGTAGCAGTGAGGCGGTATGGTGCAGTAGAACACGGAATAGCGGCGATGGCGGAGCTGACGTGGAGTAGACTCTAATCAGCTCGTACAACTCGCTAGGAGACGGACGATACTTCGACTCAGCAAGTCAGACTTCGTTCGAGGTGGATCATGCTTCCCAGGTAACTTTTAGCCCTTGCACTACATCAAACCTAGCTCTAATACTGACTGCTGCCTCTAGAAAGCATCCAACGCTCAGTCTCATCCTCTGGACTCCCAACACGCCGATCTCGTTCGCTCCCTCCTGAAATCCTTCTCTGCCGCCGCAACAGAGCACTTCCCTTCCTCTACCATTGGAGTTTACCCCACCGACTCCGACTCTTCTATTGCAATAACACTTGTCGCCAATAAATATAGCCCGCAGAACTTCTGGAACGGACGCTGGCGTTCTACCTACATACTCAACCCCTCGAGCAACAGCCTGAGCGGCAGTGTGAAGGTCGACGTTCACTATTACGAAGATGGCAACGTTCGGATGAGCACGAGTAAGAAAGTGGAGGTGAGCAGCGGCACAGGCAGTGCGGACGGAACCGTGAGGGAGATCGCCAAAGCGGAGAATAAGTTTCAGGAAGAACTGAATAAGGCATTCGGTGCGTTGGCTGAGGGAAGCTTTAAGGCTTTGAGAAGGCAGTTGCCTGTCACGAGACAGCGAGTGGAATGGGAGAAGATTGGAGGCTATCGGGTAAGTCCTGGTGCGAGTTATCTGCTGGGATTGAATTGACGCTGACCTTGAACAGCTGGGCCAGGACATTGGTGGCGGGCGTTCGAAGTGAGACTGCGTCCCGAGCGATAGTAGACGGCGCGGTATGCGCTCTTCGAACCTGGACGTACCACGGGATGAGCAGCACCGGTTCGCTCTCGGGTACCTAGCAGCGGAGCATTCAAGAAACGTCTGGTCTGTAGTTTATGAAATGGAGATCATGTGCCCCGAAAGCTTCATATCCATGCCCTTCTAACAAGGAAATTTGGCCAAAGTGAGGAGATGGAAAGTAACTGGAAAAAGAATCCCCTGGAATCAGCGGTAAGCTTGCCGATTTGACTTGGGATTCATGAGCATCAGGTAGCTGACTGTCTTTCGCATGGGACGCAACACTGAGGCATTGCCGAGCTGCCTTCTACCGCGTAGATGCGTAGATGCTGTAAGACATACCTATCTAGGTGCTTTCACATGCCACCGTGATGCATGCTAGCGCGGAGCCAAGACAGGCGCGGGTTTGCCCCGCTACAAACGCGAGCGCTTTGTCTGAGGCCGGATTTCACTTCTCCCGGCTTCCACTCTCGTCCACTGCGCACTGCCGACCTCTGCAGACTTTTTGTTTGACCATCGCTTGCACTTATTTGCCTTCTGTACGGTAACCCTTTTGTGAGCTCACGACTCGTTCTGTGAGACTTGCTCCTCTGGCCGCCAGTGGGAGCGAGACTGGGACTGAAAAGTGCAGTCAACACTACAACTGCTGGTGCAGCGAATTTTTTACGGCTAGCCACAATGGCAAAGAAAGGCAGCAAGGCGAAGGCGGTTGCCCAGAAAGAGAGCGATACTCAGCCAACAATTCTCAACAACGCCGGTAAATCGCAGAAATCAGACGTGCAGGGAAAGGCAAGCGAGGCCAAGGAAGGGCCTCCCCACCCAACATCAGCTTCCAAGAAGAAGGCCAAGAACAAGGCCAAGACGAAGGCTGGAAATGCGGGTTCCAAAGATCAGGAGAGCGGCTCGAAGAAAGATTCCTCCAACGGCGCCAAGCCTTCGAAAAAGGCGAAGACGAAGTCGCATACCGCTCTACACTCAACGCCAATAAAGTCAGCACCAAGTTCTGGCCATCACATGATCACAAGATCCGCTAAGAGAGCTAGTGAGGCTGGCGCGACATTCCGTACTTGGCAGAATACCATACCGAAAGATGCAAAGGTGTCACTACAGCTGGGAAAGGATGGTATGACAGCGTTTTTGCAGCACGCCCTGGAACTCATCCATTTCGACGAAAACATCGCAACAGATGTGATCAGAGCTCTCGCGAGTGTCGGCGGCTTGGAGCGGTTGCGGGAATTCTTGCATCAAGATTTCCACAGGATGACTGACCGCGTCTTGGACTCGCGATGGACGACGCAGATTTTCCCTTTTCTACAGATCTTGTCACACAAGGCTGTTCACGGACGTACCACAACCAAAGAAAGCCACAAGAGGATACTCCAGTTGTTCCGTGGTCGAAATGCTAGTCAGACGGTCGATTTATTCAGGAGAATTGTTCGCTACCTTACTACGCATGATACTGGCAGGCTCGAGGCTGTCAAGGCGAGCACTTTGATACTTACTGAATTGTTTGAGGGGCCTGACTCCTCTCAGACCTGTGCTATGATGCGGCCCACGGCCAGTGCCTTGCTCTCCTTGGTTGATGAGAACCGCGCGCACGATCCATTGTTCACTCGACTCGCTCGTTTGATGCAGCATGAGCCGATTTCCTCAGAAGAGAGAATCACAGCTCCGACGTTTCCAAGAGCAACGACTACCACGCACATCTCTCCACATAAGTTACAAGCCGCCGAAGGAGTTTCAAATCAATCCGCGCCTGCCGGTCCACGCCACGATAACGACAGCGCTGACATCAGAAGGATCCAAATACTTCCAACCATCCAAGAGATTCATAGCTCTCGCGCTGAGTACTTGCCCAGCGAAGACCCCAGCCAATGGCATCTATCTGGCCTTTCTGGTCTGCTTGATCGTCACTTTCGATTGTATCGATACGATACATTTTGTCAAATCAAAAGAACCATCAAACTCGAGCTCGGGCGTTTGTGTAATTTTGATCCCAAGGATACCACTGAGCTTCTCGGGACTCGGATGAACTCGTATGATAATGTCCAACTTCATCATCCCGAGATCAACGATCGCAATGGCTTGCTCTTGGTCTTGTCATTCGATCAGCCAAAGCAACTTCGGAACGTGCTCCCGATGGGTCGTCAGAAGTGGTGGGAAGACGCGAAGCGGCTCGCGCCAGGATCTTTCGTTTCTCTGGTGTCTTCTGCTGGCGACGTGATATTTCTGCAAGTACATTCTCCACCTCCGCCGCCCCCTAGGCCGCCAAAGCAACCTCGCCGGTTGTTGCACGACGAGTTTACTCTGGCGGGCCATTATGAGCGCGCCTTTGTGATTGTAGAGCTTGTTGAAAGGGATGCCGTCGTTGCCACGAGGGTTTTTAAGGCTTGCACTGGCTACAGAAGGAACGCCGAGCGTGTACTGCTCGAGTTTCCTGGCGTAATACTGCCTGCCTTTCAACCTACCCTGGCGGCACTTCAAGACATGACCGCATCGCTTGACTTTCCTTTCCAAACAGAACTGGTTCCTGGCAAGGCTGCTTCGAGTTCGAAGCCTCCCGCCTATTCGCTCGGGAGTGGGTTCCGCTTCGATCTGACAGATCTGTTTGGGTGTCGTGACCATCTGACGGCAAGAGACATCAAATTGGTGACAGCGAGCTCTGTCCGAGATATCGGGGCTGCCATATCAAAGAGTGATCTTCTCGACGAAACCCAGCGAAAAGCAGTGCACCATGCCCTCACTCACTCGTTTGCACTCATTCAAGGACCTCCGGGCACGGGGAAGTCCTTTACCGCCGAAAAGCTGATTCAGGTTCTGCTGCGCAACAGGCAGTCAGCCAAATGTGGACCAATAATCATTGTGTCCTACACCAATCACGCCTTGGATCAGTTTCTTGAGAACTTACTCAAGGCTGGGATCAAGGACGTGATGCGCGTTGGGTCCCGCTCGAAAAGCGAGCAGCTCGCAGGCCACAATCTTCGAGAGATTGCATCTAAGATTAAGTTAAAGGGCGAGAGCAAGGAGAAGAGCAAGAAGCTACGCCAGTCCGTCAAAGAAGCTGCGCATTCAGCCCAGAATTCACTGAGCCGTCTCGATGATCTTCTTGGCCATCACGAGGATGCCATCACCTCTTATCTGGAAAAACACAACCCCGACGCCTACTCCTATCTGTTTGCAAATAGCCAAAACGTAGACGAAGATGGCTTCATGATTGTTAACCGGCGGAAGAACCCTCGGCCTTTGAAAGCTTGGCTGGATGGCGATGGCGATGGCAGCGAAAAGCGGCGCGGCATGCCTGATCGGCCTCTCGATGTCTTGAGAGGTTGTCACATCGGAGAGATGTCCGTCACAGAGCGCCGCGCCCTCTATGCGTCCTGGATGGATGGCATCACTGAGGAAGTCTACAGAAAGCTGGAGGGTGAGCTTTCGTCTTACAATGGCGGTAAGGATAACTTGGATCCTATGCGCGACGAGGGAGATCTCCGTGCGCTGTCTGCTGCCCACGTGGTCGGCATCACTACCACTGGATTAGCGCAGAAGCGCAGTTTGTTCATGAGACTGAAGCCCAAGGTCATGCTGGTTGAGGAGGTCGGCGAAGTATTGGAGCCTCATCTCGTCACAGCTATGCTCCCTTCGTTGGAGCATGTGATCCTCATCGGAGACCATCAACAACTTCGTCCCCGGGTTCAGAACTACGAGTTGTCGGTCGACAACCCTCGCAGCACCGTCAAGTTTGACATCTCTCTCTTGGAGCGCAAAGTGTGCCCCGGGCCACTGGGCGACAGCGGAACTCTGCCCTACATCACCCTGCAGACGCAGCGTCGTATGCATCCTCTGATCTCCGAGCTGATTCGGACTGAATATCCAAATCTCGAAGATGACGCATCCGTTCACAAGCATCCCGAGGTGGTCGGCATGCGTCAACGCTGCTTTTGGTGGAATCATGAGAACAAAGAAGATCGGACGTTTGACGAAGTCCATACGACATCGCGGACGAATGAATCCGAAGTCGAAATGGTGGCTGCTCTTGTCCTCCATCTTGTCCGTCAAGGTGTGTACACTGCTGGTGACATTGCCGTGCTTACGCCATACTTGGGCCAACTGAGGAAGCTCAAGCTCAAGCTCGATAGCCTTTCTACTATTGTGCTCAGTAATCTGGATGAAGACGAGCTTGCCGAAGTCAGTGTTTCGGGGTGTGGAAGCGATGATGAGACTGAAGTCGTCAAGAGCCCGTCAGCAACGAGTCGCAGTAACCCCGAAGCGCTTCGTCTCGCGACAGTGGACAACTTCCAAGGTGAACAGGCAAAGGTCATAATCATTTCTCTCGTGCGCTGCAATGATGACCGCAACTGCGGTTTTCTTCGAACGCCGAACCGTATCAACGTCCTTCTGTCCCGCGCGCAGCATGGAATGTACATTATTGGCAATGCGGCTACTTCAGCCCACAAGGTGTCTATGTGGCGCGAGGTGCAAGAGATTCTGAGAGCCAAGGTATGTTCACAACGTTTGCTCGAGCACACAGTATCGCAGTCAACTGACAATCCTAGGGTGATCTTGGTGATCAACTGCAACTCTGCTGCCCTCGCCACCCCGAAACAGCTCTCGAAGTAGTCGGCCCGTCAGACTTCGACAATGTTTCTCCGGAGGGAGGGTGTCAGCGGCCATGCGAGAAGAAACTCGAAGGTTGTGATCACACCTGCGTTGCCAAGTGCCACTCCGATCAGCTCCACAAGGCTGTAGTCTGCGAGCAGCCTTGTGATCGCCCCAGGCCGACTTGTACGCATAAATGCAAGCTCCTCTGCAAAGACAAGTGCGAGCGGTTATGCAACGAAGTTGTTGCTTGTGAGATGGAGCTTGACTGTGGTCATCGAGTCAGCGAACTTCCTTGCTGGCAGTACCAGAATCCTTCCGAGTATCACTGCCGGGAACAGGTCGAGAAGATCGTCCCTAGATGTGGCCACGTCGTATCTGAAGAATGCCATCTGTCTGTCGAGGAGACAGCGTACCAGTGCAGAGAGCAGTGTGCTTCACCTTTGGAATGCGGCCATGGGATATGCGCTCAGAAATGCTCACAGTGCCGATTCAAAGGTGAGGATGGCGAGATCGTACAGATTGAGCACGAGCGGTGCAACAAGATCTGCGGGCGTGAGCTCACTTCTTGCGAGCACTCCTGCCGGATGCTGTGCCACGCTGGTGATTGTCCACCCTGCTCCAAGATGTGCAGTCTCCGATGCGGTCACTCGCGATGCACCAGGAACTGCTCAGAGCCCTGCAAGCCTTGCGGAGAGAGCGACTGCGCTTCAGCCTGCCCTCATTCGAAATGCACAATGCCTTGCGCCGCTCCCTGCAACTGGGTCCCCTGCTCGTACCGCTGCAAGAAGACTCTCGGTTGCGGTCACCAGTGCCCGTCCCTCTGTGGCGAATCCTGCCCACCGGCCATTCTTTGCCAGATCTGCGGACACGAGGACATCAGAGACGCTCGCGCAGACCTCAATACATTGACGAAATATGGCGAGCTCGACCTCGACGAGACTCCGTGCGTCTTCCTGCCGTGCGGGCACGTATTCACCTTTGGCAGCTTGGATGGCTACATGGAATCAGGACTCTACTACGATTTGGGTACCGACAACAAACCGATCGCTATCAATGGGCCTTCATTACCTTTCTGCAGCGACGGCTTGAAGAGTTGTCCAGATTGCCGCGCGTCAATCAGCAGTGTCGCTCGCTACCGTCGCATCTCCAAGCGCGCACTCCTGGACAGTAACATGACCAAGCTCATTACCCTGTCCAACCGGTCGCACCGATCGCTGGCAGAAGAACTCCAGAAGCAACAGTCCACACTTCGTGGGACCACCGACAAAGCATCTCTTCGCGGAGAAATCAACATCCGCGATCGAAATCTGGCGAATGAGCTGCAGAACCACAACACCGGGGGACGATATCGAGCGGCTTCCAGACTTCACGATCGGATTCAAGAACACTTGAAGCGAACCGCGAAAGAGGAGCAGCGATATCAGAAGGTCCGCGACCTCGTTGAAGAAGCCACCCGTCGCCATCAGCAACCCGGCGTGTCCACCACCTCCACGACTACACAAGACTTTGAAATTTTCGAGGGAAGCGTCCTTCAGGTCCGTGGTCAGCTCTTAGCATCTGCTCTGCTCCTACGCTGCGACCTCGTCATGGCAACAGACCTGGTCACAGTCTACGAGAAACTCCCCCTCGTGCGTCGAGCACTCATCACGCTCCTCATCGACTTCGGCAAGTACCGGCAAGACTGCATCGCCCTCATCCAGACGGCGGAGAAGTCAAAGCACGTGCTCCAGCAAGCGGAAGCACACATCTTCTGGGCCCAGTTCGCGGCGCTGGAACGCGCATCCAAGACCACCGCCAACGAGGCTCTGAAGCGTGATGCGATGGCGCATCTCGACCTCGCCCGGCAGCTTGTCGAGAAATATCCCGGTATCACCACGACTATCGAGGATGAACTCGTCGCCGTTCGCAGGATGTTGATGGATTCCAAAGTCGGCGACAGCGAGGTGCCAATGGTCGTCGCGGCGATGGAGGAGGAATCCAGTGGATTGGGGCATTGGTATCGGTGTGCGAACGGGCATGCGTTTACCGTGGGAGAGTGTAGAGGGCCAATGCAGACGTCCATGTGCCCTCAGTGCAGCGGACCCATTGGTGGCCAGCATGTTCAGGCCGCTGAGGGCGTGACGGCCGCTGACGATATTGAGCAACAGTTCGGCAACTTGCGGGTTTGAAGAGATGGAGTGTAGCGCTAGGCTGAATAACTTACCAGTGATGTATAGAAGACGCTGTTGCACGTGGAACGAGCTTGCAAAGCTAGCTTCGGCAACACTTGTGTAGATCAGCTGCAGAACGCGGAATACACTGAAGACTCAACTTTGATATTCTTTTCAACGTTTCGGATCTCATCTGAGATTACGTGCTGGTAATCCTCAGACTATTGAGTTCATACAGATTCATGCATTGTATCTCAGCAGATTCAACCAAACACAAGCAACTCATCACGCCGCGCTCTGGATCGGTATGGAGCTAATATCTCAAGAGTCTGGTGGGTTTCATATCGTACATTGAGGCATCCATGCCATCTTTGGGTATCGTTGTCGTTCGTAGCGGATCGCGGAAGTGCTTGAGCTTCTTCGTGGCAATTTCTCTCTAATAGTTGGTGGCGGTGCCTTGGGAGTAACCGTATGGGTTGACTCCTGTACCTTGGGGCTGGGTGTAGTAGCCGCTGTGAGCACCGTGTGCGGTGGTATCGGTCTTGTCGTATGGCACGCTGGCGGTGTTGCCGACAGTGCTGCCCGTGAAACCAGTCTCATGGCTAGGACGCATGTCCAGGCCCGGAGCGGCAAGACCACCAGTAGCGCCAAGCTCGGTGTCCCTGGTCGCGTCACCACCCTTGGACTTGCGGCCCTTGCGCTGCCACCACTTGCCTTTGCCGTATCCGGAGGTGTAGTTGTTGGATGGGCTCGGTCCGTAGCGCTTCTCTTTCTTGTGGTGACGGACAAGGGCGACCTGCATGGCGGCTGTGATGAGGAAGAGGAAGGCCGCAACAATGGAGACGGCGAAGGCAGCGGTGTTCAGCTTGCAAGCAGTGCGAAGGCTGACGGCGTAGGTGACTTGGCCACCGAAGCTGCCGCGATTACCACCTGGACCGTTGCCGAGAGGAGTCTGAACGTTGCCGCTGCAAGAGCTTGCGCCGTCTCTGGTAAGGATTGCAATCGCGATCATGGCGCCAACAAAGGCGATGTCGAGGACCTACGAGAATCAGCGAGTGCTTGATAGTGCGGAATCGATATAGACAACTCACAATGGCCAGGAAGGCAAAGACGGAGATTCCGCCGAGGCAGCACGTCAGGATGGTCGCGCAAATGAGGTACAGCACGGCAGCACCGGAGAGTCCCTCGACGGCCTTCCATTTTGTTGCGATGATGAGGTTGCGGTCGGCGAGGACGGAGAGGAAGTAGGAGTAGATTCCGAGGATGATGGCCGCGCAGCAGAAGATGAGGGCGTAGAGGAAGGTCTGGAAGAGGCGCAATGCGCCGCCTTTGACGATGCCCATGGTGGAGGTGGGCGTCGGTCGAGGAGGGTGTCAGTCAGTCGAGGGTGTGGCTATCGGTGCCTGGCGGGGAGGTGATGGCGGCTTGGTGCAGGAGAGCGACACAGAAGGGTGGACAGCACAGGTTGAGTGGGCGTTGGTGTAGTTGGAGTGGGTGGTAGGAGGTGTAAGGTAAGGTATGATAAATACGGTGTGTGCAAATGGGAAGAGGCGGATGACGTAGCGGCGAGTGACCCTTTGATTCGTCGCCGTCGCCCAAGCCACAGTCTCAGATGACACTAAAAGAGTGCAGCTTCCAATCTCCCGCAAACTCTCGCGACACATCATCCCCGACCGCCTCATCTCACTCCGGCGACTCTGCAGTGCGCACGACTCATATACCTTGATCGCGAGGCTTGTGCTTCGAATCCGCCACTCGCCATTCGCCAGCACGCCCGTTCGCTGCCTGCCACTTCGCTCGCCCCAACTCAATGCCAGCTCTTCCAGGATCACAGCCACAAGCCCCAACGGCAACATCTCTGCAATTGCCTCTCCCAATCCACTGACGCTGATGTCACTCGCCATGGCTTGTCACCTGTCAACAACGCGAAATCAAGGAACATGCGCCTCGCCAAGCGGTCGATCACCAGATCCTGGAGGAACATACAGATCCAGGATCACGTTTGAGGTCCAGGAACGCAAGTCCTGCATATGAGGTGATATTGTATTGTTTGTCTCAGGATCTCGGATACCCGGGGCGGGTAAGCGTTTTCCGGCGAGAGGGTACTGTGAACCATGAAGTCCACCTCCATGGAGTACAGGTACACAGCACAACAGCATCACGTTGATTGTGGCACGCCAACCGCCTTCAAGTACGTCTTGACTACTCGAGGCCTCTGGGTGCGGGTGCGGGATGCGTTAACAGCACGAGAAGAGAAGAGACTGCAGACTTGCGGAAGATATACCGACCAGGTCGTCAAAACACCTGCCTACCCTTGCCCTGGATTCCATCGGAGTGGTCGTAACTCATCTCAGTGTGGGTCAATCCGTGAGGCCGAAAACTGCAGGCCGCCTCGATCGAAAGTGCAAACTCCCAACACCTGCCCGCATTTCTCTCTCCTCTTCTGTGTTCGTTCCCCGAGCCATGACTCTCCAGCAACTCTCTTTCTGGTAAAGATGCATTGCCAGCGATTCATGCACGGCTCCCAGCACTTTGAATGTTTTATGCCCTATTTTTCGCCCGTACCTTCCACTAAGATCTTGACTTGGCGGGCCTTGTCGTTGATGAGCGTCAAGAATCCCTCCTCCTTCACCTCATCCATCTTGATCCTCTTGGTTATCATTTTGTGGGCCAAGTCCAATCGGCCATCGGACAGCGCATCAATGACTTCTTGCACGTCTCCTTTTACGTATGTTGCCACGCCCAGATACCGCCTCTCCTTGAATACAAGATCGTTCGGCCAGATGGAGCACCTAGAAGGGCATGAGCTTCAAACTGTGAAACAACTCTTTCTACGACTTACCTCTTCTCCCAGATGGCAATGTTTACATGGGTTCCGCGTGCTTTTAGGGAATTGATTGCGGTATCCAAGCCAGGCTGTACACCTGCCGCATCGAAGGTCACATCCACTCCTTTGTTCTTCGTTAACTCCAGGCATCGCGCTACGACGTCGTCTTTTGTGGGATCGAGTACGACGTGGGCACCGAAATCAGCCGCGAACTGTTTCCGCACAGCGCTCACCTCGGAGCAAATGATCTGCGAACAGCCGCGAGCGCGAAGGGCTTGGATGACGGACAATCCGATAGGACCACCTCCAAGCACCAGTGCGGTGTCCGTTCGGGTGAAAGGAGATGATTCGACTGCATGCCAGCCTACGGAAAGTGGCTCGACCAGCGCTGCAGGGGAGCGTTAGTTGCGAATCTCGGGGAAAACACCTGCAGCAACTCTTACCCGCAACATCGAGGCTCACGTTGTCTGGACAGTGGTAGAGGGTATACTCGGGCACGACAATGTGTTCGGAGAGTCCACCGCCCCAACCACTCAGCCCGAGAAAGCCATTCTTCCAGCAGCAATTCACAAGACCTTCCTGGCAAGCACCGCAGTCGCCATCGTAGATGATGGGAAGCACGACAACGCGACCACCAACCTTCCATCTGTCCGCAACACCCTCGCCCACCTCTTCAATGACCCCGGCGAATTCGTGCCCAAACACCAGAGGGACAGTCTCACCAGTCAGTGGGTGTGGCTTCGACTCGGGGCAAAGCGAAGGGCCGCCCATGTATTCATGCAGGTCGGAGCCGCAGATTCCACACCACGCTGGCTTCACTTTAACTTGGCCAGGACCGCACTTTGGCTCGGGGATGTCTTCGAAGCGCAGGTCTTCCTTGCCATGGAATCGAACCGCCTTCATGGTCCTGTCAGTCTTGGGCGCGGGTCTGTGCTCCAGGGCGTGATCTCCGTCTTGCGTGGTAGCCATCTTGTTTGTGGTCGACGTGCTCATGCGACTCTTTCGGGATGAAGTGATCGGGATGAAGAGGTGGAAGTTGTGGAACAGGAGGAGAGGAAATCGACAGCTACTTCACTTTGGGCAGGATCTATTCTTGAACACGTTGCGCAGACACAATGTGAGTTCACGGTATTCCTCTTCCGGCGCGCGCTGGGTGATTCCTGCCTCCTTTGCAACTTGGGCTGGAGGAGGCAAAGGAGGGGCAACCGGAGTGCGGGGTTGGCTAGCAATGGCAATCTCATCCGTCTCAGTCGGCTCTCCCGTGTCGGCATTCCGTCCTTCATCCATGCCGTGCCGTGTTGGACGTTGCTGCGTCGCCGAGTGGCCGAGTATAGAGTACTGGAGTTGAAAGAACAGGATAGGAATGGAGACGAGACGGATGGCAAGTATTTATTCTGCATGCATGCATGCGCCTACGCCGTTGAGAGCGACCCACCAGCGCGGCGCGTTGCCCCGGACATCGTTGCACCGATCCGATGCCCAGTGCATGCCCCGCCGCACACCTGGACATGAATAGTTTTTTTTGCGTGGAAGCTACAGCAGTCGACGTGGTATGGCAGATCTGTCGTAGGGCAATGCCACATGTATTCTTCTGGCTTGAAGACGTCAACAGCTTCTTCTGTCGTGTTCGCCGCCAAGGCCAGACACACGACACGCAATGACCGCCACATCCCATCCGTTGGCAGCACATGTACCGCCAGATAACTGCAGTCGGTACCACGATGCCTGACGATAGATGACGCATCTCGCCCCGGTGGCCGCATATAGCTTACTCTATTTGCCAACACGCTTCTCCCAAAGTCTTCCCGACGTTTTATCTTTCCTCATCGCAGCCATCCTACCACTATATTCCTCTTTATAGCTTCATTTCGCCACGATGGGCTACCCAGATACCGCCGAGGGCTTCATGATCGAAGACCAGAAGAAATGGCAGGACTTCAAGAAGCAGGAATTCAAGCTCAAGCCATTCGAGGACCGCGACATCGATATCGCCGTTGAGTGCTGTGGTGTCTGTGGATCGGATGTACACACCATCAACGGTGGGCCAACATCCCCCACTCACCAGGTCGAGGCAAATCTTGGCTGACAGTTGGATGCAGGCGGCTGGGGTGACTGCCCACTACCAATCTGCGTTGGCCACGAGATCGTCGGCAAGGCTATCAAGGTGGGCAAGGACGTGAAGACGGTCAAGGTCGGCGACCGCGTCGGTGTAGGAGCTCAGATCCAAGCCGACTTGACTTGGTGAGACTTGGAAACCACAGAGCGACTGCATGGCATTGGCGGCTGATGTGTCGAAGCAACAACTGCAAGGCAGACCAGGAGAACTACTGCCCCAACATGGTCGACACATACGGCGCTCCTTACAAGGACGGCACGATCGCCCAGGGAGGCTTCTCCTCCCACGTTCGTGCTCACGAGTACTTCACCTTCAAGATCCCTGACAACATCGAGAGCGAGGTCGCAGCACCCATGCTCTGCGCTGGCCTGACTGTGTACAGCCCTCTCGTGAGATTGGGCGCCGGTCCGGGCAAGAAGGTGGCCATCGTAGGACTGTGAGTGCAACGTCCTCTGGCGCTGCCAAAAAAAAACACACATACTCATTCATGTTCTAGTGGAGGTCTTGGCCACTTCGCCGTCTTATGGGCAGTCGCGCTCGGTGCCGAAGTCTACGTCCTCTCCCACAGCCCGAGCAAGAAGGAGGACGCTCTCAAGATGGGCGCCAAGGAGTTCATCGTGACCGGCGAGCAGGGCTGGCACGAGAAGTACCCCTTCACCTTCGACTTCATCCTCAACACCGCCGACGCGATCCACAAGTTCAACATGAAGGAGTACTTTGGCACTCTCAAAGTCATGGGCCGCTTCCACCAAGTCGGATTCGGTGATCATCCGCTTCCCGTAAGCTTCTAACATCAGCGCCTTGGAAATGAGATCGTCGCTAATGGTTCTTCTCTCCCGCAGACGATGATGGCACAGGACTTCGCCCCGACCGGCTGCTATTTCGGTGCCTCGCACATCGGCAACCGCCCCGAAATGCTCGCCATGCTCGACCTGGCCAGCAAGCAGAACATCAAGTCGTGGATCCAGACCACCGACGTCGGCGAGAAGGGCTGTGCCGAGGCCGTGGACGCCGTGGCGAACAACAAGGTCCGGTACCGATATGTCCTGACCAACTACGAAAAGGCCTTTGGCAAGCGCGATTAAGCGACTGAGGAGGTTTGAGCATGCATGATTCGCCAAAGATCTCACCAAGCAAGAGCTAGGTATCGTATCGTGTAGAAGCCACGCCACAAAGTACGGGAGGCACTCTTGTCTTCCTTGCCATGAGGGAAGACCACGACCTCCTGGAACATCTGGATGACGTCACCATAGCTAGAAAAGAAGACGAGTGAAGATGCACAGGATGTGAAAAAAAAAAAGTTTAGATCGATTCCGAAACCTATTACAGAAATTCTTCTTGTGACTGTCGATGCAATGTGATCCTGTTTTGTTTTTGTACAATCCCCTCAAGCCGTCATATCCAGCACAATGCGGCCCTGTAGCTCGCCGCGATCCATCTGCTCAAAGATGCTCGTGAGATCCTCCATCCTGGCCGTCTTGAAGTGCGTCTTGACGACGCCACGCTGGGCGAACTCGAGCGTTTCAATGGCCTCTCTGCGGTCTCCGACGGCCACACCGCGGATGGTCTGCGCCTTGGCGACCATCAGCTGCGGATACGCGGTTGCGATGGCCTTGAGTTCGCCTTCGGGGAGACTGTAGGGAGGGAGCGGTTGAGATTAGTGGATGGGATATAGGTATAGGTAGGTGGAGGAGGCAGGCACCAGGGTGTGCCTTTCAAGGATGAATGGGAAGGAAAACTTACCCGACGCAGACCATTGTACCGCCGAATCTGAGCATAGTCATGGAGCTAGAGGGAGCGGGGGAGGGTTAGTATTGCCACATGATGATTCCTGCAATGCATTGTTGCGGTTTCGAGGCGGCTCACCTCGCATAGGCAGCATTCGCCGCGGTGAGGACGAGCACGGCCTGCGCTCCCAGGCCACCCGTCGCCTGCTTCACCTCCTCCTCCGCATTGCCCTGGGTATGGTCGATGAAGACTTCCGCACCACACTCGATCGCGAGGTCCTTCTTGTTCCCGGCGTCGATGCCAATCACGCGGATGCCCAAACCTTTCGAGGCGATCTGGCAGGCAAGATGGCCCAGGCCACCTCCTGCTCCGAGGATGGCGACCCAGTCGCCTGCCTTGGCGCCGGACTTCCGCAGGGCGCTGTAGACCGTGACGCCGGCGCAGAGCATGGGCGCGGCGGCGTCGCTGGGCAGGGAGTCCGGGATCGGGGTGACGTAGCTCGCGGGTCCGAGGACGTACTGCTGGAAGGTGCCCGGGGTGTAGTAGCCCGAGACCTTCTGGTTGAAGCAGACGCCATCGTGGCCACTCAAGCAGGCAGGGCAGGAATCGCAGATTGCGGCGATCCATTTGATCCCGACTCGGTCGCCGACCTTGACGGTGGACGTCTCCGTTCCCGGGCCCATCTTGACCACTTTGCCAATGCCTTCGTGGCCGCCGACTTGACCGGGTTGGGTGGGATAGGGCAAGCCGGCCCAGCGGTTGGTCATGACGCCCAGATCGCTGTGGCATACGCCGGAGTGGGTGAGGTTGACGAGGACTTCGCCGGGACCGGGCTCGGGAGTGTCGATTTCGACGACTTTGGTGGAGACCTTGCCGGGCTCGTCGTAGATGACGGCCTTGTGCTTCTTGGGGATGTCGACCATGGTGGGTGGGCAGCTGGCTCAGCGACTGGAGGTTGAAGACTGAGTGTATGGATGGATCAGGATGGAAAGGCAAGCGACCTCTCCGCGAAGGAGGGCGGCTCGGAGGCGAGGATGGACTTTCTTATAGAGCAGCGCAGGTTCGGCCTCGGCGCAGTCGTTCCTGGGTGGACGAGACGAGCACTAGAGCTGTCATGGCTGTGTGTGGAGGAAGCCACACTTCCAGCTGTTGCGGGGTGCAGTGCTTGGGAGGGGAAGCAGACCCATTCTTTCACCACATCACAATGGCATCGTCCTGCGCGCGCGAGTCGCGAGACTCTTGGCCTCCTTCACGCTCTGCACCACGGGGGGACCTCCTCTGGGGCACAGAGATACCGCATGCTGCTGTCCAGGCGCGCCGTCGTGCCGACTATTTCCATTTCCAGTGTCCCCAGCATGATGAGCCGGCCCGGCCTCGCGCAGCTACGCTCACCACGTCAGGTCGCCGCCGACGTCAGATGATGCAGGCAGTGACATGGCACAGAGCTCCAAGAGAATATGAGATATCAGAGGATGAAGTCGAAGGCGAAGAGGAAGAACCAGGAAGTTGCCGAAGATCACCCGACAACGGCCGACTGTGGACCAGGATGCCGATACTTCACACGCACCGCTTCCACTCTCACTCCACTCTCATTTCGCTCCCATTTCACTCCCATTGTGATGATGGAAGTGTTCACTTCCATTGAGATGATTGCACCTCTCACCCTCATCGTCATGACTGAAGCTCGTGGCGAAGCGGAGTGTGCTTATTGGAAGAGATGGCTTGAGCGCTCGACTTCGTGGAAAAGACGAAGCCGAAGAGACTTCATATTTGAGGAACTCTCTGCCGTCCTCACTTTTCTTATTATTATGATGCATCGCTTCACAGCCGACGAGAGTCGCACCATGCCCATGTGCACGTCTCGACCGTCGCCCACGTTTCAGAAGCTCGAAGCGAGCCGTGCGTGGTTAATCTATTCGAAGTGGACTAGCCGGACAAGTCACCAATCCATACCATTTACCGACTTCTGCGCGGCAAAGCACCTGGATATCGTTACTTCCAAAGCGACCAAGGCCGGTACGCGACTTGACGATGGCAACCCTCACAGTGGTCCACGCTGAGTTGCAAAACGTACAAGACACGGTCGACACCCCGTTGTTACGCAAGCTACCTTGCCTCTTCTCTGCAGCCCTTCTCTTGCAACTTTGTGCGTCTTTCGCTTTTCAACTGCATCTTCGCTGGCCGAATCCGTTCATTCTTTCCCCTTCTGTGCTCTTAAACAATGCAGTACCTGACTGCCCTTTCCGCTCTTGTCGGTCTCGCGCTAGCCGCTGGCCGCACATCTGCTCCCGATGGCGCACTGGTCGTCGGCTCCGGCGCCGACTATACCACGATCCAAGACGCAGTCAATGCCCTGTCCACTTCGTCTTCCGACGAGCAGAGCATCTTCATCCAGGCCGGTACCTACAAGGAGCAAGTCTACATCAAGGCGCTGAGTGGGCCTCTCACGATCTACGGCTACACCACCGACACCTCCTCATATGCCAACAACAACGTCACCATCACCTACGGCCTCGGCCTGTCCGATGTCGACAACGACGACGAGACCGCCACCCTGCGAGTCTGGACCAGCGACTTCAAATTATACAATGTCAATGTCGAGAATTCCTATGGCGAAGGAAGCCAGGCATTGGCCCTCTCCGCCAACGCAAAAGTAAGTGTTCCGTCAAGAGTCAAATCGTCTGGAAGTTGTAATGCCCTTGGCGCTAACACAAGACCTTAGAACCAAGGCTACTACGCTTGCAAATTCCTCGGGTACATCCATCCCCATCCCCATCTCTCCCTCCCTCCCTTCTCTCTCTGATCTTCATGAATTCATCCCAATTGTTAACTGACGCAACATTTCAGCTTCCAAGACACCATCCTCGCCAACACGGGCGCCCAGCTCTACGCCAAATCCTACATCTCCGGCGCCACCGACTTCATCTTCGGCCTCTACGCCGCCGCCTGGTTCGAACAGGTCGACCTGCGCCTCCTCTCCGCCTCCCTGGGCTACATCACCGCCTCCGGCCGCTCCTCCGCCGACAATTCCTACTACGTCATCAACAACTCCACCGTCGCGGCCGCCTCGGGCGAGGCCGTCGACAGCGGCGCTTTCTACCTCGGCCGCCCCTGGAGAGACTATGCCCGCGTCGTGTTCCAGGATACCAGCATGACGGACGTGATCAATTCGGCGGGCTGGGCGGAGTGGAGTACGAGTGAGCCGAACACGGATCATGTCACCTTTGCCGAGTACGGGAATACCGGAGCCGGGAGCAAAGGGACGCGGGCGAGTTTCGCTACAACACTGAGCGAGCCGGTTGCCATCTCGGATGTGCTGGGCAGTAATTATACCAGCGCCAGCTGGGTCGACACGGCTTACATGGCTTGAAAAAGACGACGGAAATTGTACAAAGGTCTATTTCTGTGTGAATATCATTGCTTTTTTCCCCGTTCCGGGAGAGGAGAGCGTTGAGAGGGCTTCAATCGCACTACTTTGCCAGCAAGTACTCTCTTCCCAGCAGCGTCTTCACAACGCCATAGATACCACTCACAGGCCAGATGCCCCATACAGCGCTTCGTAGCCAACCAGACCAGGAATCCTTGCCTTGATTGACCCTGCTCAGATCAACCCTCACCTTCTGCCACACGGTGGGAAGGTGGGTAGCGTGATATTTCTCCCGCAGAGCATCGTACCATTCCTTGTCGTAGATGGACCAGAATTCATCCTTGCAATCTCGTCAGCAAGAACGCGCTCCACACAACAGGAGCACACCATTGTAGGCTTACCTCCGTATAGAAAGCCTGAGCATAGAGCCACTTGATCCCTCCCAGCGCCCTCAGCTTGCCTTCCAACTGCCGATTCTGCTGCACAAACTTGGCGAAATCCGTCGATCCAGGTCCCCACACACCCACGTTGATGAAGGACACCGATTTTCCATCGCCGACTTCCTCCTCCGGCAGTCTGGGATGCAGCGAGACTTCCTGGCCTCTCTTCAGGGGACACAGCCACAGCGGCCAGAAACCAAATCGGTCGTTCACGAACTGGATAAATTCTTCCACGCCACTGCGCGGTAGCAGCAGATCCTGCACAATGTATTTCGATGCGTGACCCGAGGCGTGGAGGGCGTGGTACATGACTCGCGTGTGCATGAAATAATCCAGTGCCCATCGCGTGATGCGATTGAAAGGCGTCAAGAAGTATTGGAAAGCGTATTTTCCCGTCCAGAAGGCTCCGCGATCGTACCTGAAGAGGTAGTCTTTCACGGGCGTGACTTCTGTGATTTCTTCAAACCCATTGTTCGTCGTGCGGTCGACGTGGATGTAGAACCAAGGATCCTGAGCGCGACTGAAGCGTTGAAGTTTTTGACCGGGAGCAATGGTATCAGTGAGACGGCCGGAGACGATGACGCCCTTGGTCATGCTATATTGAATCCCATCGACATAGTCATTGGAGGAATCGTTTGTGACGACATCCATCTTGGACATGGCTTCCGAGACGCTGCGGACCGGGTGGTAGGTGAGTTCGACATATTTCTTGGCCGGGATGAGTTGCAGTTCGAGGAGGGTGGTAACACCCAAGGTTCCAAAACTGCCAGCCGCGCCGTGGAAGAGGTCTTCTCGCTCCGTTTTCGATGCTTTGACGATCTCTCCATTTGGTAACACGATTTCTATCCAGTTCACGATGCAATCGAAGAAGCCGTATTTGAACCCGCTGCTTTCTCCAGCCGTACCCGCGAAGCCGCCACCAACCGTTACTATACAGCCATGTGTAAGTCACAGATCCAGGGGCCAAGGCGATGAGGTTGAACACTTACTGCCTAGATTGAAGAAAGTAAGCTATCAAGCGTGACAATTGAGCGGAAAGAATCGTACCTGGGAACTCCATAACCACAGGAGGAAGTACTCCGTAAGGGAGGACAGCATCCACTAGCTCATCCATTGCCACATTTGGCTCGACCAGGCATGTCATCCGCTCGGTGTCGACTGCAAGGACATGGTTCAGTTTGCTCGTATCGATGGCCTTGTTCAGATCAACCTTTCTCTGCTGCGTCGTGTTCGTCGAACCGTGGTACAGTCTGAATGGCACTTTTCGATCGTAAAACGAGGCAACTCGCGATGCAATGGCCTTGACTGCGTCCTGATGCACCTCCATGGTTGGTTTGGTCGGATAGCCCGGATGAGCGGTGGCGACAATGAAGGCGACGACAAATCGAACGGCAACAGACAATGCAAATAGTAAGATCAAAATGTCGAGTAGCTCAGGAGAGGAAAGTGATGTCGAGATTTTGGGAGTCGTGCAGGATTGTGAGTAGTGAAGGAGCAGCTCGATGTTGGGAAGTGAGAGCCGGCAACAAGAGAAGGACCAATCACGGAGCGCGAAGTTGGGTCCGAGCGTTGTTTCCACCTTGCCAGCCACCGTCTCACGTCGACTTCTTTCTGGGCCACAATCAATTGTCAATCAATTGAGCAATCAATTGTAGCAAGCTGTACTTGTCCTTCTTCAAATCCATCTTGATGGGAAGCACGAACGCTGTTTCCTCTGGCGTAGTCCTCGGAGACTGCAAGATTTCAACCAGCAACGACTCCTGTCGACTCTCATTTGGTGGCAGGCAAGCCATGTTTCTTGCCATACTTGAAAACCTTACCCTCCATGTCAGGTCCAATGAACAGCCAGGCCAGAGAGACGATCCAGCTGAAGACGGTGTCAACGAGCCAATTGTTCCGAGGACTCCCGCCCATGGCACCAGCTCTCAGTGCATGACCGATGAACTGCGTCGTGATGAGATAGCCTCCCTTCTCTAGTCCGCGCACTGCAGCTCGAGCGACCTCATCTTCATTCTGAGCTGGATCGTCTTCCTCCAGCATCTTGGTGACTTCATGCTTCGTCTTCTGCTCTTCTTCGTGTCCCGGTGAGGTGATTGTTCCAGGGCATACGCAGTGGATCTCAATAGCAGCCGGAGGACCATTCACGGGATCTTTCCTCCGTGCGCCGTTGTAAAGGTTCACCTCGGAGCGAAGAGTATCTGCCAATGATCTCATGGCTGATTTGGGAGGCGAGTACGGTGCATATCCAGCTAAACCAGCAAAGCAGACAACGCTGGATGTCATGATAAGGTGGCGTGGCTTTGCGATTTTGGCATCGGATATATCAGTCTTGCTGGAGGAGGGCTTGAGCCATGCTCTCAATGTCGATTGGGCCAGAAATGCTGCTGCGAAGTAGTTGATATTCATCTGCGACTTGAGGAGATCCGGAGGAGTGTTGAGAAAGAGATCAGGGTGCGCCGTTCCAGCGTTGGCCCAAACGACATCAGGAGGGTTGCCGTTGTTCCATGCTGTGATTTCCGAGATGATGCGCTCGTTCTCCTCCGGCTTGGTGGCATCTGCGCTTATGGCCAAGAAGCGCTGTGATTGAGGATTCCGTGCAGCAGCCTGAGAAGCACTGTCAGCTCCGAAAAGCACATGGCTCTCGTATAGACAGCGAAGTACCTTGATATATTTCAATGCATCGTCCAGCTTCTGTTGGTTACGTGCGACAATCACGACATTTGCACCCTTTTCTGCCAGAAGCTTGGCCAGCCCTCTACCCATCCCCTGGGAGCCTCCCGTGATGAGAACGGTCTATGCAGGTCAGTTTCGCAGTTTATGCTGGCGTTCGCATAGTCTGACTTACCCGGCCGTCGACCTCGAAGTGATTCTTCCGTGAGAACACGCCCATGATGTCCAATGCAAAGATTGCCAAGAGGAGACCGAGGCAAGTCGTAGCCCAGAAGTATCCCAACGCCATTGATGGCTTTAGTCCATGTTATACGGTGTGAAGTGAGCGAAGAGAACGTTGCTGCCAGAGGCTCAGGGGCGTCAGGTTGGAGAACTAAGTGAGTGAGACTTTTGCGCTAGAAGCTGACGGTGACAGAATTCTCCGCTCGACATGTGAACCCGAGCCGGCGCGAACGAGATCACAGAACCAGCTCGCATTATTCGACCATTTACTCCGACAACGACTTGGAGCAACAATACGAATCGACAAGCAAAAAATGGTCTACTATTTCAAGAGCACCGCCGTCGATCCACCGGCCTTCATCTACGTCGGCAAAGACAAGGTAGAAAGTACGCACGGCATGGAAAATCCGACCACCACACCTTGCCGGAAACCCATACTGACTTGGCTAGAGATGAGGACCTCATAGCGCACGGCTGGCCGCAAGACGTCTGGTTCCACGTCGACAACCTCTCCTCCGCGCACGTCTACCTGCGCCTGCCCGCAGAGCAAACATGGGATTCCGTCCCGCGCGACCTCCTCACGGACTGCGCCCAGCTCACCAAGGCCAACAGTATTGAGGGCAACAAGAAGGACAACATCACCGTCATCTACACCCCGTGGGCGAATCTCAAGAAGACGGGGGATATGGCGACGGGGCAGGTGGGGTTTCACAACAATAAGCTGGTCCGGAAGGTGCATGTGGAGAAGCGGGAGAATGCGATTGTGAATCGCTTGAACAAGACCAAGGAGGAGAGATATCCGGATCTGAGGGCGGAGAAGGAGGCGGTGGAGAGGGAGGATCGGAAGGTGGAGAGGATCAAGCAGCAGGAGAAGGTGAGTTGACTCGATTGTGGACGAGTAGGTAGGTGCGATGCGTGGAGAAGTGCTAACGTTGCTGTGATTTTGCAGAAGAAAGAAGATCAGAAGCTGGCCGAGGAGCGGCAGCGATTGAAGTGGCAGAAGGAGCACATGTACGACGATGTGCACACGGAGGAGAATATGGTCAGCAATGAAGACTACGATCCGGATGACTTCATGTGAATGGGCAGGGATGGGATGTAGAGCAGTCTTCGCTGAGACTCCAAAAGGCGCGATCTCAGCTCCCACGAGCGCCATGTTGTATCCACAGTCAAAAGGAAGCGCGTAGACATGTGGTTCCACTGTGTGAAGACGCTGCAGAGCGTTCACGCCTCGAGCAGCCAGAAGGTAGTTCGGGTATGTGTTAGCATATGATACAACACTCCAGCCTTTGTCTCAGCTTAGATGGAGAGCACGCGGAAGTCTGTGGCTGCGCATCCCTCTGATGACTCTCCGCGACTATTCTTCTTGAACTGCCTCCTCCCACCCGATCGCCAATGCTTTTCTCGCGCTCGACCCAGACGCCGACACAGGCTGTTCGTTCCACGCTCAAATGTAGTCCCTCTCCACGAAGCTCTGGATCATGCCCTCTGGAGTGGCATCGTACTCCTTCAGGACCACTTCGTCTCCCTCCAGAAATGTGTTGGCTTGCACAAACACTTTCCTGGGTTTGGCTTGCCGCAGAACCTCGGGTCGAAGCTTCGTGGCAAACCACTCGTCGACATTGGTATACTTGTCGTACAGCGCCTTGCCCGCCTCGAAGTCTGCCGTGGCCTTGAAGACCTGGAGCTTCTGCAAGAACCTGTTCACTGCAGGGCGCCCATGGGATTCGATCTTGTCTCGATCCAAGCGGATGACAATATCCGATACGTCGTCCTTCGAGTAGTCCAATTTGCAAAACTCCGGCCCGGCTTCGAGGAACACTTGCAGGATTGCGTAGCGAGCCTTCATGTGTGCTTGTCCCCAGTTCCGTGAGTTGGGATCCCAGAACTGCAGGGCTGCCACTCCAGCGCGAGCCATTTGAAGATAGCTGGTATACAAGACGTCACCCGCAACACCGTTGATGTCTTCTTTCCCATCGCCGAAACCAAAGATCGACAGGATTCCATAGTCAGGGCAGAGGCTCATCGCAACGCACTCGGCTCTGCACTCCTCGAACGAGGGACCCATTCCCCCAAAGACAGTACCCCAAGTCTCTCCCGGCTTGTACCACGTTGCGACAGGCTTTCCGGTCACTGGGTTCATCGGTGGGGTTTTGTGGTCGAAGTTGTACTTGCCAGGTTCGGTCTCCTGCAACAGCTTTCCACAGCCATGACCGAGGAGTTCGTGAAGACCGACCTGGACCTCGAATGCTTCGTTCTTGTACTTGTCCCATACTTCTTGATCCTCAGCACGGATGAATGGAGTCGGCTCGTTCGGTGCATTCGCACTTAGGACGTTTCCAAGGGAGACATTCTTGAAGCCCTCAGTCTGCCTCACGGAATCGTAGTTCTATACATATCAGCAAGAGCAGATGTGGCCAAGTTAGACTTTTGTGGGTATACTCACTGGAATGTTTATTCCAGCCGGAATACCCGACCCAGCGAACGTAAGAACCTCAAGCGACGTGAAGTCCGGCGACAAGAACTTGTCCTTTTCGAAGTCCGCTGGCCACGGAAGCTTAGGGATCTGAGCGGGCGCAGAGTCGACCAGCTTTCCAAAAGCTTGCGTGCGTTCCTTGTTGATCATGGCGGCGAAGCCCTCCCATTCTCCACGAATGCCGTGGGGATCTCTGTAAGTCTCGATGAAGCCAATGTTGCACTCGACCATTGGGCCCCTGTCTTTGATCCATTCTCTCTGGGAGTCAAGATGCGCAAACATCGAGCCGTCATGGAACGACTTGACGTATTGGGCCTGCATGGCATCTTCTACTTTGTTGAGGGCATGTTTCTTCGCTTCTTCGAGGTTGCGAGCAATCTTGCCCATCTCCACCTTGTGATCTCCATACACCAGCGACAGCTTCTTGCCCGCCACTGGACCTTTAAGAGTCCACTGAGAATCTTTGAGATCCTTGGTAGCCGGCTCTGTCACTGCAGACGCAATCAAGAGCTCAAAGTCTCCCGACCGAGTCTTACGTAGTCTAGTATTCTCTGGCATGAGCCCTTGATCCTTGAGAAAGTCTGAGACGTATTCGATCTCCTCACGTGTGATGTCCGGAGAGTCTGGGTAGTAGGTGCTGACGTGCCCGTTGTCGATGTACCCGAGATGCATCTTCGCGATAGAAGACGACTCGTACAGGTCATCCTTGATCTTCTCCCAGAGCTTTGCGGCCTCCGGTGTCGTGTGAGCAATTGCGGCGAGCTTCTCTACAGCGACTCGAGGAATGAATTTGCTGTCTCCGAACGACTTGAAATTTCCAGAATTGCCCAGGAACTGCGCAGCATAGCTCAGGAAGTGCTTGACATCCTCCGCGGATACACCAGCGTCTGCCTGGAGCTTCTTCCAATCGCCCTTGTAGTTTTTGTGCAACGCGAGAATGAAGTCGTAGATCGGCTCTGATTCCGGGCTAACCTGGCGGAGATTGATTCGAGTCCCAGCCCATGCACCTCTAGAGATGTAATGCGCATACTCCACGACAAGTCAGCCCTGCGGATGCACAATCTACTCTACTTGATGATGGTACCTTCTTCTCGTGCTTCGACAGAGCATCGAAGTGCGGCTTAATGGCGAGATTCACGATCGTCGGTGGGTCGTCCGTGAGGTACTGCTTCAGCGTGGTGCTGTCCATTGTTGGCAGTGGGACGTGCTGATGGCGATGCGAAGCTCAGTTGTCTGTGATGTTTGCACTGGGTAAGTTCGGTGTTGGATTTTAAGTAGGCGTAAGGTAGTCACGCAGACCTATGTGGGGTCGGCTGCCCTTGCATCAATTATTGCCTGAGTCGCGTGCCGTCTTCATTATTACATATTGTGCTTGCTCGTCCAAGCATAGAAGGTGCACAACAAGGTCTGAAAGGACAAATACTACTTCCATTTTGAATGCTTCTGTCGAATGCTGACTTTCGGGTATTGGGATCATTAAATAGACATAAGCCGTGCGCCAAACAAGCAACAAGTAGTCCAACAAGGATGTACATGAACGCTCTTGGGACCCACAGCCTCAATTACCCCTCATACTTTTTGACTACAAGATCGTCCACAATGCGAACCAAACATCTCTTTACAGGAGCGCAGCGAAGAGAGCTCCGAGACCAAGAACGGCGCCAGAGGCGATCTTCACATTGTCAGCTGCACCAGAAGATGTGGCGCTAGTCGAGCTCGAGGTGCCTGTCGCAGTACCGGATTTCGAGGCCGAGGCGCCTACAATTGATCTTGTTAGCACATGGGCGCATAGCACTTGCACAAGGTTTGGTGCGAGTCTCTTCTACGAAGAGAGCTGATCTCGGGAGTCCTAATTGTGTGGCAAAGGTTCAAAAAACATACCACTAGACGCGCCCGGGTTGGAGTTGGAGTTAGAGCCCGAGGTTCCAGAAGCAGTTGCGACGCTGGCCGAGCCGGACACAATTGTTGCACCGCTTTGGACAGCACCGCCGATGACGACTGTAGTGGAGGTTCCAACGCTGACAGAGAAGGAGGAAAGGGAAGAACCGTTTCCAATGTAGACCGTGTTGATTCCGGTGGGAAGGCCGGCGGGAATGGTGGCCAAGGCTGGCTGCGTGGTGATGCCAGTCGCGGCGCCGGCGAGAGTTGGCATTCCAGTAACAACACCAAGGCTGTTGGTCATGCTCAGGAAGTTGGTGAGGGTATTGGAGTAGGTGTAGGTGCTGCTAATGGTCACGGAGCCAGAGATCTCTGGGACCACCTGGTTACGCTGTCAGCGATTGCGCCGATCTAACCCATGCGTGCAGATGCCGATGAACGCATGGAGATGGATGAAACGAACAGTGGGTCCGGTCGTGGTGGGTTCGGCCGAGGAGGACGAGGACGAGCTTTGAGCGTAGACGGCAACCGCGAAGGGCGCGACGCAGAGGGCGGAGCAGCGCATGATGATTGATGTAGTCTGAAAGGATTACGGTCGATACACAATGAAGTCGGCGAATGGGAGCGTTTGTTGGTGGAGAAAGCGTATGGTAAGGTATGGAATGGAATGCTGTAAGGTAATGTTTTGCGCTGTGATCGGCGGAACGAGTGAAAGTAGTCGGAGCGGAGCGAGAGACAGACGACTGGCGATGGCACAGATGGCGATGGCGATGCGCCTACCATCCTTGCGACTATATATCGGCCTGGCAGGCGCAGGCGCGTGCGTTACGCGCTAGCGGTAAGCAGGGCAATAGTGTGATAGTGTGTGCTTGCCAGGGAGATGAAGGCGGCTCCTCCCGAGCCTGGTCTAGCCTGTTGGGCTGGAGCGCGTGAGATTCCTTCACCCTGCACTCTGGATGGCTGCTACTTGAAGAGGTACGAATGAATGCTGATGTATCTGCTTTGGACTGCTGCCGAGGTCTAGCTGTGCCGTGCCCGGAAGATGGAGCGCGTACGCACGCGTCTGCCTCGGAGCCTAATATAGCAACACCTGCTTTCCGCCACAGCGCGGACGCAACGGCGAAATCCAATACGAGCGCTCGGAGGCACCCATCTGCCAAAATGTCTCACGGCCTCTTCACCCGTCTCGACCACACAGGCCTCTGTCGTGCTTTATTATGGTGGAGTACGCCTCAGACTCTGGACCCTGTGCTGGAGTAGCGAGATCACACTTCCTTTCTCGGAGCCACGTGAAATTTCCTGGTTTCTCTCCGTCAAGCTCCCTGCCCGACAACGCCCTAGGAATCAACTTTGCTTTATCATGGAGCCTCGAAATGCCGCCAGTCACCTCCAGGATAGAGAACTCGTGGATACGCAGGCCGCCGAATGTCCTGTCAGCCGGTGGTGATTGCTGGTCGCTGGCGTAAGGTACGGCGTTTTTCCACAGCAGAACGATATCGTCTGCTAGAGGCTGGTGGCTTGGATAGGGTTCGGTTCCATGGATTAGCTAAGCATTGGCCCGGAAAAACAGTGCCGCCGCTCCGCCGATATCACCTCTGCTTCGCAACATATATCGACCGTAGCTCCCACACTCGTCGCAAGAAAGCCAACCAATTCTTCCCGCGGGACATGCGACAATGGAAGGCTGCGGAAGCGGTGTGCGCATTACAAAAGGCAGCTCGATTCCTGTTTCCTCCGTCTTCTCTACTTTCCACTTCCTCCCCTTCTCTCACACCCGCGAAAGAATACTTGCCATTCTTTCAACGTCTTCAATCAGGACGCCATCTATAGCAACATCGCGGCTCTCACGACTGCGGTAAGCAATTCTCTCGTCGCAATCTGCCCAGATGGATGCAGTTGACATCACTGCAATTCGTACTTCCTTCAGGACACCCATTCTGCTTATCATATACGTGTGGAACCGGCGGCTGATTGCACTCAACAGAACAGTTGACTCGTCGCGAAAATCAGAATGGCGCCTCATGCGAACGACAGCAACGGCTTTGCCACCGGATTGAATGCTGCCGAGCCTCTGGCATTCAACACCAATGGCTTCACCGTAGATTCACCCAACGTCGCCTACGATGGCTCCAACATCACCAGCAAGTACCACTATCGTACAACCGAAATCAAGCGTGTCGATGGCAAAGTCTTCGCGAAGCCAAAAGACACGGTCTACAATTTCAAGACGCAGCGTCACGTCGGCAAGGTGGGAGTGATGCTTGTTGGTCTGGGTGGTAACAATGGCACCACAGTGACCGCAGGTATTCTTGCCAACCGCCGCAAGCTCGTCTGGGATACTCGTGAAGGTCCTCGTGCGGCCAATTACTATGGCTCGGTCGTCATGGGATCAACAGTCAAGCTGGGAACCGATGCAGATACTGGAATTGAAGTCAATATCCCCCTGCAGAGCATGCTCCCAATGGTACACCCGGACGACCTCGTCATTGGTGGCTGGGACATCAGCGGCATGGACATGTCCGCCGCTATGGATCGTGCACAGGTCCTCGAGCCTTCTTTGAAGTCCCTTGTGAGGAAAGAAATGGCAGGCATGAAGCCTCTGCCCAGTATTTACTACCCAGACTTCATTGCATCCAACCAAGGCGATCGTGCGGACAACATCATCCCAGGCTCGAAGGCTTGCAACGAGCACGTCGAGCACCTTCGTCGGGACATTCGTGAGTTCAAGACTTCGAATGGACTGGACAAAGTCATTGTGCTGTGGACCGCGAACACCGAGCGCTATGCGGACATCATCCCAGGAGTCAATGATACTGCCGAGAATCTCATGGACTCTATTACCAATGGTCATGCAGAGGTGTCGCCATCGACCATGTTCGCCGTCGCAAGCATCTTGGAGAATGCTCCGTTCGTCAATGGTTCTCCTCAGAACACCTTTGTGCCAGGCTGCATCAAGCTTGCCGAGAAGCACAAAGCCTTCATTGGTGGCGATGACTTCAAGTCCGGTCAAACGAAGATGAAGTCGGCCTTAGTAGACTTCCTCATCAATGCAGGCATCAAGCTCACATCTATTGCGAGCTACAACCATCTAGGGAACAACGATGGCAAGAATTTATCCTCACAAAAGCAGTTTCGCTCCAAGGAAATCAGCAAGTCCAATGTCGTCGATGACATGGTTGCGGCGAACAACGTCTTGTACAAGAAGGACGAACATCCAGATCATACGGTCGTCATCAAATACATGCCAGCTGTGGGGGACAACAAGCGTGCTCTCGATGAGTACTATGCCGAGATATTCCTTGGAGGGCATCAGACCATCAGCATCTTCAACGTCTGCGAAGACTCTTTGCTCGCCTCACCACTCATCATTGACCTTGTCTTGATCACTGAGTTGATGACTCGCATTGAGTGGCGTAAGGAGGGCGAGGAGGACTACAAGAGCTTCCACAGCGTCTTGAGCGTTCTCAGCTACATGCTCAAAGCACCACTGACGCCGCCTGGTACGCCTGTTGTGAACGCGCTCGGCAAGCAGCGAAGTGCACTTATCAACATCCTTCGGGCTTGCGTTGGACTGGAGCCGGAGAATGACATGACGCTGGAGCACAAGTTGTTTTAGAATGAATTCTGCAAGAGACAATGGTCCTTTACTCCGGCGTTCGTAGACTCTCTTATAGGTTGATAGGACCGCAGTTCGATACCTTAGGTGATGCCTCGCAACTACCTTCCAAATTTGCTCTCAAAAGTGGGCTTTCGACTTGCTGAAGGAACCTGGAACGGAACTTAGCTTGGAAGTAGGTGTCGGGTGCTTCCTTCTGCACTGTCAGAAACCTGCCAATCTCATCATGCAGCGGAGTTCCGTCGAGATAGGCCTTGCAGCCAAGCGGAGCTGCGTCGTCTGAACTCCGATACGATATACCAGATGCTCGACTTTGTTTAGGTAATTGATATCCCGATAACACTTCTCCTCCTTCGCTTCACTCCACCATTTCCCACATTCCTACATATTCGCAGAAGTAGGAATGTCCGTCTTTCTTCTGACGGCGCTGGCTGCTTTGGCCTCATCTCGAGAAATCAGCTTCCCGCCCGTGGCCGGCCTTCAATCTCCCATTGGCATTGACACTCCAACCCTGGGCTTGGACATCTCCCAGTCACAGTTCGCAGGCCTGACCACATATGGCAACTTACCATATGTTCACTGCCTCGCTGGTGATGGCGCCGATGTCGAAGCTTACGATATTGCCATCCTGGGAGCCCCGTTCGACACCGGAGTCACAGCACGTCCTGGAGCGAGGTTTGGCCCTACTGGCATCCGGCAGGGCTCAAGGAGGATTGGTCCTGATTTTGCGTGGAACATCTATACGGGCAAGAATGCCTTCAGACAAGGGCTAAAGATTGTTGATTGTGGGGATGCACCCTTGACTGTCTTGGTGTGTACAGTTCGCGGCAGTATGAGTTAAAGTAGTAGACTGGGCACTGACTCTGCTGGCTAGGATAACACCATAGCTCTGAAGCAACTCGACAGGGCGCATAAGGTATAGAAGCTCCTCGCCGTAAAATAACTTGAGCAGAATTGTGTTGCTCACCACGGCACAGGTCATATCTGCGCGGACAGCAAACGCTTCAGATTTCAAGACTCCGCGCATCATTACTCTTGGAGGAGACCACACGACAACACTACCTGCACTGAGGTCTGCTTTCCACCACTTCGGCCAAGTCTCTGTGATCCATTTCGATAGTCATCTCGACACGTGGGATCCGGAAGTCTTGGGCGGAGGCATCTCGCATTACGCCAGTGTGAATCACGGTACTTTCCTCCACATCGCCCACGAAGAAGGACTGATTCGCAACTCTTCCATCCATGCTGGTATCAGAGCACCAACATCGAACCCGAAATATGACCTGGCCAACGACAAAGCTTGTGGATTCCATATCTTGAAGGCCCGGGACCTTGATAAGATCGGGACTACCGGCGTGATCGAGAAGTTGAAGCAAAGAGTCGCTGGCTCCAAGGTGTATATCAGCGTTGATATCGATGTTCTGGATCCTGCCTATGCTCCTGCGACGGGGACTGCCGAAGTGGGAGGATGGACGACTCGTGAACTGTTGACGGTTCTTGATGGACTGAGCGGCATGGAAGTGATAGGTGCCGATGTCGGTATGAGTTGTATTATTATCGCTCAAGGTAGAAAGTATCACCGCTGACTTTCACGCCCTGCAGTCGAGGTAGCGCCCGTCTACGACAACAATGGAGAGACGACAGTGCTAGCAGCTGCTGAGGTACGTTATCGAAGAGCAAAAGCTGCCCCGAATGCATCTCCTGTGCCTCGAGTCCTTCGACCGCCTCCCGACCGCCTCCTCTTGCTTTACTTTCTCGAGACACTAGCTGATCTTTCACGCCTCTGTCTGCAGGTGGTCCATTCTCTCATCCAACTCATGGCTGACAAGCCTGTGGCACCCTTGAACCGCGATTAAGGCCATGTGAAGGGGGTAGAGAATTACGGAGAGACTGACTTGTCTGGAGAAGTTTCCAACCCTTCAATAACATCAGCCAACATGCTGTCCGTCTTTGAATGTAACGAGATATCTAAAACCCGCTTAATAGAGGCTCTTACAGCTAGTATACAATGATGAGTAATAAGCTTCGTGAGATCAACGACTCCCCACCCTCCAGACCCCGGCACTTTCTCCAGACCACTCTCTATCGCTGCATTATTAGTCCGATTCACACGACTTCGCCTTGCCAACCAGTATCACCGAGAGCGACGACACCATCATGTCTTTCGAGCCAAAGCACAAAGTGGACCTCGATCCACCCAAGGATGATCCGATCAGCCTCGAGTACTTGTCGAAATGTGACGGTATGCAGAGAGTCTATCCATCCGCTTCGGGAATCCGGAATCTGACACTGGTCGGTTACACCAGGAACACATGATGGCTATCCCACATATGTCGCGATCAAGGTCCGTGTCCCCCGCCTGTTCCGCTTCTCTGATAGTCCTCTCCCCCAGCGGCTGATTTGAAAAAAAGGGCACTGTCTTCGACGTGACAGGGAACAAGGCATATGGTCCAGAAGGATCGTACAAAGGTGGGGGTTTTCCTGCGTGTGAGTCTTTTGGTGGCGAAATGCTGATGGATGTCTCTTTTTTTTTCGAAAAACAGTCTTCGCTGGCAAGGATGCATCCCGCGCGCTGGCGCAATCATCACTCAAGGCCGAGGAATGTCGCGCGGACTGGTACGATCTCTCGGACGAGCACAAAAAGGTCTTGCACGACTGGTATACGTTCTTCAGCAAGCGATACAATATCAAGGGCAAGGTCGAAGGCGCTACCAACACGGGCGAGTAAGAAGCCGAAAGTCGATTGCACTTTTCAATCCCCATCGTGTGTGTAGTAGTGTACATGTGGCTCCCAACGTTGCAAACGAACAGCTTTCCCCCATTCGATTCTCTCTCGTTTCATCAATTACAACATCGCAGAGCAAAAACAGCACTAGCATAACGCATCAATCAACGCAACAATTCCAAAAAAAAAAAGCACTCATTTGGGTATGCCCGTCTCCAGAAACGCCAAGATCCATCCGAGTCCGAGTTCGTCAAGTCGTCAAATTGAGAAGGACGGTGTCATCCATTACAGCCTGAGCTGAGCCGTCTGCTGGCGGCGCATCATTGCTTCGCGTCCGCACTGATGGCACATCTGGTTGGCGCTGGCCCATTCGCGGCTGATGGACCAGGGACCCATGCAGAGGTGGTTGACATCGGTGCGAGCGAAGTGGCAGTATTTGGTCAGGCGTCGCCCGGCGTGGCCGCAGAGAAAGTGGATGACTTCGTACTGGAGCGCCTCCTTAGCCATTGGACATATATCACAGCCCCCGGTTTTAGAACGGCTTACCTGGCACATTTTTGCTTCGTGGACCTCAGGATTGGTTGTAGACGTTTTGAAGAGTTTGTCGACGAGCGATCTGGTTGCGGGACAGAGTGTGAGTGATGAAATGACATTGCTGATATCTTGGACGGTTGCTCACGGTTGTTGTTGGTGCTTGGTACAAGGTGGAATTGACCTCACTCACGTGTGTGGAAGGACAGAGGGTAGCCACCAACAGGACAGAAATTTCCACCACAGAACGAACAAAAGACAACGCAAGCCCGTTAGGAGGAAAAGAGATGAACTGGTTGGAGGAGTGGAGTGTTGCAGAATGCAGCGTTGAGGGAACACTTACGTCCTTTTATCTTTGCCCTCCAGAAGACTCGACAGCGCACGAATCTGTCGTAGCTCAGGCGATATGTCTCCACCTTCTGTTTTTTCACAGGAGAGGTCTCGATTGCAACACCCCTGCCCCCTCGCCGTTGTTGAGGATGGCCGGCCGTCGAGACTATTCGACTGGTCTGCAGGTTGTGACCATGACGCATCCTGCCTCTTTGGAAGCCGTGACCGGGCAGCGGCGACGTCAAAGCTCTCGTCTTCACGACGGCATCTGCACGCTTAGTTGATATCTGGTTGCGAGCTGTGGAGACTGTGATACGAGCGTCTACTGCGATGAGGCAGGACGAGCCTACCACCGTCAGAACAGAGTTAGCAGCATCACACAAAGGTTAGTCGAGTGCCCGGAAAGCGTGGCGAAGAAGAGATGCACTTGGAGGAAAGAGGATAACTCTGGTCTCTTATACGAGCTATCACATTTTCACCGCTTTTCGCTTCGTTGCCTGCAGATGATTGCCGTCCTGCAGGCACTCGTCGGAAGTTTTGTGAGCTAGGAGGGAAATTTGACGTCCCCAGATTTCCGCTGTCGGTTGACCACAAGAAGCCGTGCTGTGTACAGCTGCACGACCGAAGTGAGTGATGTCCTACCCGGTCATGGCACTTTGACGGCCCGTCGAGACGCATGCTGTACTGATCCGAGCGGGTGCGTCCCGCCCTATGTACGACTGTGGGGGCTCGAGCTAGTGCCTATGAGCCGGCATGCGCGGTACTGCAGATATGCGAAAGCCATAGGATCTGGCTCGGTCTGCAGAGGGGAGAAGTCGACTCTACATATAGGTGAATGCACCAGGCGGTAGTGCTCGTCGTGCGTTATACTGACGTTTCCAGGTGCTCCCGTACACCCCGTAAGTTAGTTTCGCTCGAGGCCTCTTGTCGGGATCCGTAGGACGAGCTCCGCAGTGTATCATGGCCACACATATGTGCTTGAGCGTTGACGTGTAGCACTCCCGGTCTGTGCTCCTGCAGTGGTCAATTTTTGCGTGGTGGGACCGAGCTGTGGAACGACTGACGGATTTTGATGTTGCTACTACTTCGAACCCTTCTTGCGAGCTCGCATAGCGCGCTTCTTGCCTATTATCTGGTTCCGCCGGGCGAGCTTCTCATCGACTGGCTTCTTTGAATCACGGCTGGGCTTGTCTGACCGATCTGCCGCCGCCTTCGAGGATCGTTGCACATCGGAATCTCTCTTGCGCTTCCGCGAACCGGGTTTCTCTCCTCTCCCCTTTGTATTCGAGAATTTCTTTCCATCAGCGCGATCTTGCGTCGCCAAGCCCTCTTGGACTGCTTGGCTCCTTGCCCTCGCCTTCTGTTCGGCCTCCTTCCGCCGTAAAACGACTTGGGCGTTTTCAATGGCAAACTCAACAATCAGTCTCTTCTTGCGATCTTGAATGTCCTCCCGACTGAGATTGCCTTTTCCCTCCTTGACTTGGTACCCGATGGCGTGCCCATTTAGCCAGCGAAGACCCATCAAAGCATTTCGATGCGTGTAATACTCGATGAAACCGTAGCCACGGCTTCTCCCTGCCCCACTGTCTTCAGAGACCTTGCTCCCGCCAGTGCTTTCGAACACGACCTTAGCCTGCTTGACCAGACCCTTGCCAGACTTCTTGCGCGCTTTCTCCGCAGCTTGCGATTCTTCTCCACCCCGAGCCAGCTCCTCCGATGACAGCTTCTGTCTTACACCTTCCTTGACGTCGGTGGCAAAGCCTACCACAGCCTGCCGAGCCAGCTCTTTCAGTTCTTTCGAGCCAACACTGCGCGGGATGTTGCGTACTGATAGTCGTGTCAAGCTGAGGTGCAGCGATGGATTGCTCTCGATCAAAGTCTTCCGCTGCTTCGCGCTGGCCTCACGCATCGCTTTTTCGGAGGGCGACAGTTGTTCCCACAGCTTCGATTTGGAGGAGATTGTACCCTCGGATAACAAATACAGCCGTCTCTTGTCATTGTCACGTCGCGTGCGGTGAGCTGCACCCTCATCCGTCAGTCGACTCGCCTCGGACTTGTCCACTGCACGCGATATCTGCAGTACACGGCCGTCCATTGTATACTGTCCCGTAGGATCTGCGTATTCGTTTTGTAGAATCGAATGAGTCGGTTGCACAGGTTTGACATCCTTGCTACTCTTTTCTTGCGAGGCATTTGTCAACCGCACTGGGGCTCCACGTAGGCACGCATCTGCGTCTTCCTGGTTGTAGAAGCAGACAAATCCCGTTCCTTTTGAGCGTCCGGTCTCGTGGTCTACGACCACCCGAGCGTAGCGCGTGCTACCAAATTGTGTGAAGTGATCTTCCAAGTCTTCGTCGGTGCAAGTGAAAGGGAGGTTTCGAACGAAGAGTGTGAAAGAACGGTCGTCAGGGCGGTGATGTTCTTCCTGCGCCTCGTCCTCGTCTTGCATATCAAGATTTACTCCGTCTTCATCTTGATTCTCAGAATCCCTCTCCGAATCTTCGCTACCGCTCTCCCCATCGCTGTCCGGGCCGTCCTCTTCTTTATCGTCATCCGTTAGAACCCCATCCTCGCCGCTCTTCTTGTCCTCCACTGTCTGCTGATCTCTCGCCATATCCTCGTAAACCGTTTTCTGGACAGACCAATCGACAGCGACAGTTCTCCCATCAATCTCTTTGCCATTTACGCCTTCAATAGCCTTCTCCGCATTCTTCTTGCCTCGCATAATGACAAAGCCGAATCCAGCCATCAGACCAGGACCCTTTTTGGGAATGTACGCCTGTTTCACTTTGCCATAGCTCATAAATAGCTTTGAAAGCTGCTCAGGCCTCTTGATCGACCATGGGAGGTTCCGCACAATAAGCTTAGGTGGCTGATGCGGCTCTTCCTGCACCTTTCTGGCATGCCCAGCCGCTTCACCATCATCATTCCTGTGACGAGGTTCTGCAACCTCTATGCGCAGCTTCCGACCGTCGAGGGCATGACCATTGAACTGCCTTCTAGCGCGAGCGGCATCTTCGGCGTCGGCAAAGGTTACAAAGCCATATCCACGGCACTCCTTGGTCGAGGGATCGACGACGGCGACAGCATGCTTCACGGGATACGAGTCGGAGAACAGATCGGTCAGAGAGTCGGAAGTGGTGCTGGCGGGCAGCGAACGAACGAACAACGACCGTCTCTGCTGAACCGCCTTCTCCTGTGCTTCTGCCGTATTCTCGGCGGTGTCGACGCTGGCGGTATTCGCTGGTAAAGTATCTTGGTCGCTGACGGTCGCAGCATTGCCGTTCGACAGTCTCTGCTTCTTCCTTGCAGGACCCATTTTTGCCAGTTTGGAAGTTGTGATGTTGCGATCGGACGTTGAACAACTTCTTGAGACGAAATTTCAGAGGTGGTCTCGGTTGATCAGCCCTACACCGCAGCTAGCGGCAGCAACCGAAGCGAAGCCGAATGCTAAACGCTAGCGCCCGTCTTGCCGCCAACCTTGAGCTCGGGAAGTCACTCCGCGACCTCACCCCATATCACACTGAAAGCATCACCTCCAATACATCAACTCGGTGGCTTCAACATGGCACGGAATCTTTGGTCTGGTTGATTCACCACAACAAGACGTCCGAACAATGAGCGGCTTTCAGTTCCCACCACCTCCGCCTCCACCAGCAAAACCTTTGCAGAATAATCCATCCCACGCAGGCGGACGCGGGCGCGGGCGAGGCGAGCGAGGCAGAGGGCGTGGTGGGCACGACTTCCGAGGCCGTGGCAGTCGAGGTGCAAATGCTTTCTTTCCTTCGCGCGGCGGGCAGCATGGCCATCACAACTACCAGTCGGGCTCGAATCCCGATGCGCAGCAGACTTCCAGCACCCCCGCTGTACAACCATCTACTTACGGCTCTCTGCCCAGTCTACCACCTGGATCTTTTGTGAATCCCGCATTTCATCCCCCCAACACATTCGACTATGGCACCACAAGCAATCACATCCGTCAGAATACTGTCAGCGCAAATCACATCTATCACCAATCTCCGCAGACGGAGGGATCCAAACCATTCGGAGCTTCATCATCGCCTTCACGGACCGTCGCTGGCCATAAGCGTAAGCTAGACGCTTTTCGTGGCCTCTTACAGGACAACAAGAAACCTGGACCGTCCACTGCTCCTTCTGTGCCTGGTTTTGGCACACCAATTCTTGTTCAGCCGCCGTCCACCGGAAACAAGCAAAGCGAGAAGCCTGGAAGGAAGCGTACTTTCAACGTCCTAGGACTCACCCCGCAGAATCATAAACCTCAATACTCTTCAGATAGCGATGTTAATGACGAAGATGCGGACGAAGAAGCAATGTTCGCCGAGTTAGGTACTAACCTGACGTTCGAACATGACGGCAAGGTCATGTCGCTGAACACTGTAGCTGACCTTGCTTCATGGAAAGAGGAGAGGAGCAGAAACTTTCCCACCAAGGACCGCATGGTCGCAAAGGTGGAAAAGAAGCGGCAAGTGGGACTAGAAAGACAAAGGCTCCTCATGGAAGCTAGCCGGGCGCTACGATCTAACGAGATGCTGGGATCCAGGGGTCACCAGCGCAGCAGCAGCAGTCTAAGCACTGCGGATGCTGTAGACCGTGCTGATGGCGATGATCAAAACACGAACGCCGGTGTTAGGCACACAGCACCGCCTGAAACGGAGTTAGAGAGGGCCAAACGGCTCTTGGCTGAGCAAACAGCAAGTCTTGAAGCGCTGCGCGAAAGGGTGTCAGCAAGCGAGGCACGACTGGCGAGGGCGTCACGTAGCTCACCGCCTTCTGGTCAGGGGGTTGACGGTTTGCAGCGCGACAACTCAGTAGCCCATCGGGAAAATTACGTCCAGAATGACTGTGCATCGTCGGGACGAGGTTCCAGATCGGATGCGAATCCTAGACTGGATATGGGCACAGGTGTCGACGGTGAAACTTTGAAGCGCGAGAGTGGAGAAGATTGTTCAGTCTCACTAGCCTCCTCCCCCGCCACAAGCTCGGAATCATCGTCAGAGGGAGACTCGGACGATGATGCTCCGCCAGAGGAGATTACCTCTAAAGCGCCGGCGAAAAGACAAAAGACGAAGCAGATGGTGTGCAAGTATTTCGTTGCGAGTGGACATTGCAGGGACGGGGACGCTTGCCGATTCAAGCACGAGCCTCGATCTGAGCCCACGGGCCCTCCCAATGCTGTGGAAACCACACACCATGAGCCATCACAGCGCCGCCAACGCCAATCTCAATTCGACTTCACCAACACACCGAGTAGGAAGGGTATACATGATCTCTTGGTGGAACAAGAGCAAAGCCAGCAGAATCAGCTGGCCCTGCAGGTGATCAAATACCTTGGAGATGTCAGGTTCTTCGTAGAGAATACGAACGCCGACTAAGCGGTCGCGAGCATGCGTCCACCGTACGTCTTGTACCGCTAATATTGCTAAGCGATACTGTAGGACCGCATGATGCTCAGCGCAGGATGGTCGCCATGTAAGAAACAAATTTTTCATACATGTCTCTCCGCTTATCCGGTTTCATCGCTTCTCTCATGCGTCGCTAATGCATATACGACTTTGATGACAGCCGATGTCAATCTAGAAACGTAACGCGACGAAGAGAGCCGATGGAGAGATGTCCAGGGGCGGACGTGAAGATGACATAGTCGGGGATTCCGTCGCGATCGCGCATATGAGCTATGTAGCCCAACATCATGAGTGAAGCGTCCTTTGCAGTGCTAATGGGAAAACTAGCGACTTTGCACCAAGAATTACTCGAGACCCTAGTTCAGTTCCCACTGGCCGCTCACTTCAAGTCTCGCTTCGTATGTTCTGTATCATTGGTCCGCGCTCAAAGCTCACGTCGCTGCCTGCACACTGAACTATTTCTTTCCACTTGCCTCCACTCAACCTCTTCTTCTCTCACTTCCTCCAACTCCAACACGGAAGCCCACACCAATTCAAGACCATACTCAAACACACAACTATCGGAACCTACACAGGTAATTCACACAGTGCCCTATTGCGAGAATGATCACCGACGTCGCCTATAGTGCATCGCCATGGCGCCCAAGAAGAGCGCCAGCGAGCAGACCTTCGATTTTGAGACCATAGCGCTCGTCATTTACGCCATGCTGGAGTCTGGCGTCACTCTCGGCGTCAACCACTACGGCCTGATGTCCGCTGCCGACCCAAAGGGCCGCACCGCCAGCAGCTTTGAGCATTCGTTCCGGAACGTCAAGAAACGTGCCAAGGAGTTGCAGACCACCAAAGGCAGCAACCTTGGCACGTCGGCTTCGTCAAAGTCGCGCGGAGGAGCCGGTGGCTCCAAGCGCAAGAAGGCTGCGAGCGAGATAAACAGCGGAGGGAGCGCCGACGACGAAGAGCAGCCGCCATCTAAGAGAGTCAAGCCAGAGCCAAACAGCGAAGACGACGCCTCCGACGATGAGCTTTGAGGCGATCGCTGCATGCGCTGCTTCCCACAACGACAATTGCATTACAACTTGCACTTCAGCTAGGGGACGCAAGGATGAGACACAGCGACATGCGAGAGATCATGAGGAGCTTTCTTCCAGAGTGAATTGACGACAGCGACAGGGCAAAGCACCCAGAGCGTATACTTCTAGCTAAATTTCTGAGAGTAATGGAAATTTGATTACAACTTCGCAGTCTGCACATGCTGTGACCTTACTGATGGATGACTTTCGCGCGAAATGCTACTGGTGAGGTTGGTCCCGTGCACGGACCGCCCAAGGGAGCGTGCCGGTCGAACCTCACGCTCCCTCTACAACGGCCTGGAGAAACGATTGAATGTAGGCATTGAGTCCCCACAATACCAAACATGCAGTCAGCAACGAGGACAGCGGCGCGCTTTCGTGCGCGCCGTCTACGACCCCAGCAATTGCAGCGGCAATCGCGCCGTCATGCCCATGATGCCCACGGCGGCTCCGCCCACGATCACCACCACGATGGACCTGTGAACGAGAGCTTTGGTGTACGTTGCGATTCCACGTGAAGAGAGGATGCATTCAAAGAGATCCTGGAATGCAAGAGCGAAGATGCAGAGGAAGACCGGCACTGACACTCGCCCTCACAGAAAGGCTTCTACATCACGCTCGCCGCAATTCCTGTCTCCCTCGCAATTTACAAGCTCTCCCGCCAGGGTACCGATGAGCAGCCCTTCTTCACACGCTTGATCGCGGATACCTACAATTCCTACGCGATCAAGTGGGCCGAGCGAAATGACTTCCACACGAAGGCGGTAGAGCAAGCTGCTGCGGACCGAGTGTTATTTCTGAACGAGAGCAATCAGAATGTCCGACATGTGGATCTGAGGTTTCCAGAGTGAGACGCTCCCAAAGTACCACATGGCTTGGAAACGGCTTTGAGAGAATTCAGCCATCGCTGACTGTTTATCTTGCAGGCAATTCAACGCCGGATCACCGTGGAACGTACCAGCGGGACATGGTAGCGCAGACTTGAGCGAATTGATTGCAAAGTACGAGAAAGAGGCATACGCGGAGAATGAGAAGAAGCTACAGCAATTGAAGGAAAACAAGATACCTGCAGAGCAGCCTTACCAGGGCTTTGCGAAGGTCACACCAGCGGCTAAGGACAGCTAGAGCTTAGACAGGAGATGTGCCGCTGTTCCTTTGGCTGTAAATATGGCCCGCTGGCGAGACGCTATCAACACAGTTCACATGTTCAGGCTCTTTTGTCACATAAGGGTGCAATTCCCCCCAGAAGTCGCCCAGTGTAATGTTGAGCATTTTGACATGTGCGTGCTGAGGATATGATGGCACACACCTCGAAAGTCAACGCTTGAGCTAACCGTGATTGCTGCCGCTCTGTGCATTCGTCGCAGGATACAGTTTGAAACCCCGGGATCTCATGAGCTTCGTCCAGCCCATGCACTCATGGCATGTTCTGCCAAACACAATCCGCCTAGCACTTGTACAGACCAGCTTTGTTTTCATCCATCTGTACAGCAATTCCCATAACGCCACCCAATGCCGCGCGATGTCCCCGTCCGGTGATAGACTCCATACTGTTTCTCCTATCCACTCCCCCAGTGCCCGCTCATGACGTAGCTCCTGCGCTCTTCACGGTTGTTGTGTTCGGGGCCTGTGGTGGATGCGCTGGTGCATCGGGTATAGGTACGTCCGAGAAGTCGTCCTGTCCTATGGCTTTGATCGTCCATGTGTCTGCGGAAATTAGCAAGACATTGCCATGAGTACAAGACCTCTGAGATGCAACGCACATACTCCGGCTACAAAGCCGAGGATGCAGACGCCTGTTATCGCGTTCCGGACGAGGTACGGTTGTCGTGCGCGGTAGAGGGCTGCAGAGGGGCGGTTGTATTTGTCGTAGTAGGAGGACTGGGGGATCCTGCGATTCGTTAGCATCACAATCGGTGGAACTTGTCAGGACATCTAGATGTATACCTTCCTAGAGGCATATTGATAGCTTTGGAGCGCTCTGTCAGGACAATAATCTGGATGCGATCTTGGCTTGCGGAGACGGTCTCAAGTTCTGCTTACGTAAATGCGCTAAGTACTAGTACCTTAGCAACTCAGGTAGCTGCGCGGGCGCCTGAGCTCTTCACGACTTCGGACCTGCGTTCAACCTCACCACCCTCCGACAAACATTCGATATTGGGACTCGTTGCGCCTCGCCAAGCATCCGGAACTCCACTGCCTCCATCCACGACGCGTTCGCGCCAGCAATGATCACGCGCAAAAGGAATTGAGAGACCCGCGGGGCCTTGTAGTTACATAGAGCTCACCTGCTGCTTTTGTTCGTGACCCGCGCAAACACGCCAAACTGAGCCTCAGTCTGAGCAAAGCAGCTGCCATCACGGCGCCACATCCTGCCCGTGAGCTCAATCATGGCGTCACCGACAGAGACGCTGAAGTCGCTGAACTCTGCGCGCGACATTGTGCTCAAAGACCACACCTTGTATACCCAAGTAGTGCCGGGCATCATCCAAGTCATCTCACCTGCTGCCGTGCTCGAGCTCAGAAGATGGGGCGCGGACTTCCTTGCAGAGACGTTCGCGTCGCAGGCTGTGACGGCGGAGGAGAAGCAGAGTATGGCTGCGGGCGTGCTCGACACCGTAAAGGGCTACCTGAGCCGGAAGGAGGTGCTGGGAGAGGACGAGGATCCTACCGTTGTCAAGAGTGCTGTACAATGCGCTGCAAGCGTATACCCATTCGTCTTCAGGCACACCATCGCAGAGCCAAAGGACACTGAGACTTGGGGGAAAATGGCCGGGATCAAGAGTAGCATACTGCGCAGAATGGATACCGCGGATCCAGGTGTGCGAATATGCTGCGTCAAGTTTGTGGCATGCGTGGTCCAGACACAGACTCCTGGCCTGATAGCAGACCCCAGGCGGCCAGAACAGAACGAAATCAGTCTGGCACTCGTACCCCGAGATCACCCTGTGATCCCCCCGTCCAATCTCGAAGCTGAGGCATCAGGTTTGTTGGACAGACTGCTCGGCGTACTGCAAGATTACCCGACCGATCCACTGATTGTCACTGCGTTGCTCAACTCGCTCGCTCCTCTGGCGCATCGTCGCGCGACCATCTCTAGCAAGATTCTCACTGCAGTGATAAGCTTCAATCCAATGAAGCTCGCCAGCCGCCAAATGAGTGGCAGAGACAAGATCGCAATCCGGAGTATGACGCGCACCGTGATGTCGTTCCTGATGAACTGCATCAAACGGAATCACAATAATGCCTTCTCGGCTCGAATACAGCAGCAGCTGGAGCGGCTCAGGCACGGCTTGATCGAAGTGTTCTCGGATAATCACCAGCACAAACGCCCAGCTCCAGACGAGCCAGTCGACGGATTGGACGACGCAAAGCGTCAGAAGCTAGATGCCGAAGCTACCAACGGTATAGCACCCCTACAGCAACGACCGCCAACCTACCCTCCCCTGCCGCCTGGACCTGTGTCTCTCGCGCAATTGTGGACACTGACCACCGACCCACATGTGTCTTCATTCCACGCGGAGCGTCTACCAGCTTCTGTATTACCACAGCTTGTACCCGCTCTTGTTAGTTCCCTCAGTCACGTCCAGATTAACGATGCGATAAACGTTGTGCGCTCGCGATGGTTGCACCTCGGGAAACAGAACTCAGCCGCTCCGCTCGATTCGAGACCTGCTCTCAGCGACGAAGATGATGACGACTATGACCCATTATCGTCATTTGGCGGGGAGGCAGAGCAGACCATGAATCAGCTTGACCAAATGCCTCCTAATGGCGTTGCCAACGATGTGGCTATTGGGCCCTTCAACCTCCCCACTGCACCTGCCATTACAGATCAAAATCGGCCGGACTACAACAAAGCGTCATTGAGCCGAATCTTCGACACCGTCGCCGAACATGACCGAGACACGAAGCTGAAGGGCAGATCTGCTTCCACTGAGCACGGGTTCAATCGTTTGATCACTGTGTCGACGTCTGGCGACGGAAGGGAGGCCTGGTTAACGCTGGTGACAAGACTAGCTACGCGTGCCTCGTTCAGTCCTGAAGGCAGCAACGATATGCTGAAGGAAGAAGGCAAAGGTGGCGTTGTTGCTAAGAAGGGCCGGGCATTTGATCTACCTACTGGAATAAGGGAGCAGCTTCTCAACTATGTCATGGAGAACTTCCGAGGACGAATCGATATTGCTATCATGTGGCTGACTGAGGAATGGTACTCAGACGTCTTATCGCACAAGCAGCGCATGAACGAGGAAGCAGAGGACCAGACGAGAGATTTGCCCCACTACTGGCACTGGACGTTACGGCTCTTCGACGCTATGATACCATACTTTGATGTGAAGGATGGCAGAATCCTAATACGTTTCCTATCCGAAATTCCTGCCATCAACAGCTCCGTTCTACAGAGGGTGAAGAAGGTCGCGGAGGATCCGGAGCGAGTACAGATCAGTGCGAATGCGCTGCTCTATTTGATCATGTTCCGTCCACCTGCGCGAGACATGGCACTGAATTGTACGGAGGAAATGTGGAGGGAAAACAAAGACGCGAAGACGGCCGCAAAGAAGATCCTCATCAAGTACCGGTCGAACGTGGTGGAGGAAGAAGCTAAGACAGAAGCTTTAAAACCGGAGACGTAGATAAGGCGCGTTGGAAAATAACCGTTGTACTGCAGCAGCGTTCGCAGGTATTCCTGCCACTGGTGAACGGTGATGGGTAAACGCCTTGTTCAAGTGGTAGAAAAGGCAGAGAAGCGAACATCATGGCCGTGAGAAATCAGCAGCTAGTATGAGGACCACATACTAGGTAAGACAAACCAGGATCATCAGTAACAGCAATTGCGCTGCAATAGAAATGAGTCTCGGTAGCCTCCGAATAGTTCATGGGATCCGAGAATATCGAAGCGATTTGACTACTGCTTCGGTTCTGCCCTTCGCGAGGATGAAGAGTTCGGCCAGGCCGCGATCTAGGGGGCAAAGTGGCAAAGATCGTTTGGGTACTCATCCGTATCGATTCTGCATTACCAAGTCGACCCTAGTCTGGTATAGAACATGTCGCATGGTCTATGGTCTAGTGCAGGAAAGAAAGAGACATGTTGACATGTTGAATCAGAGCGCTGTGCTCGCTCCTCCATTGAAGCTTCATGTGGCCCATCAATATTTGACGGCGCTCACGGGAAGCGGGCCGCGGCGTAGACTGGGAAGACCCTGGACGGGACGGTTGCCGGGGCGCTAGGGAAGGTTCCGGTCACGCGTGAGCGTAGACGATGTCGCGTTTCCACAGCACTGCATCATATCACAATATCACCAACAACTTGAACTCAGAATCCAACTTTCTGACCTTCGCGCCTCCACCCCCCACCCTCTCGCGCATGCACAGCGCGCACTTTTGTTACAAGAGACAGCCCTCTCTTACCGATATTGGCTGCAAAATTGAGAGCGATGGTGAATCTAGGTTTGTTTCCGTCATCTACGATCGGCTCCCGCTCTGCAAGAGGAAGAAGTGAGGCATATCGGTACTAATCTCCTAGCACTTTCAGTTGAGAAGCGTACGTCTTCACCCATTTTCCATTCTTACCGCCATTTCTTATGCTTTGTGGAAACCCCCCACCGGATGCGACTTCCACCTTTTTGGTTTCTTCGTCCGCCGTTGCCAATCGGCCAGATGCCTGGACTCTGGGCCTTACGAAGCAGCCCGGGAACTGCAACTGCGACTGCGACTGCCACTGTTACTGTCACTGCTACGCCATCGCCATCGCCATCGCCATTGCCATTGCCAATGCCATTGCCAGTGACAGCATTTCTTTCGGTGTCCGAAGCCTGTCACGCCAACCACGGATACATGCCATCTTGTGACTTTGTAAGTGCTGACTTTGTTTCGCATAGTATCCGGCCGCTCGTGGCTGAGCACGCCGTCTAGCAAGAATTCGCAACCACAGTATACAGCAGCACCCCCGTTCACGGCGCTCCCGATGCCCGCTCCGCATACCAGTATGAACATCCACATGTTCAGCAGCTCGCCCAGTAACTCGACTGCCCAGAATGGCAACCCCTCTGCCCCTACGCCAAATGGCAATCTTAGCGCGAGCAAGGAGCTATCACCACAGCCGAATGGAGTCGGCCAGCAAGCATCGTCGCCAGGCTCACCCAATGGAGACAACTCTCGGTGGAGCTCAGCGATCGGACCAACTACGACAGCCACAACAGCCAAGTCCGGACGCGTTATCGAGAAGCTCATGACCGACCGAGACAACCTACAGCGAGAGATGCGGACTTTACAGACGAAGAATGACGAGCTGCTCCGTAGTGTTCAGGCGGAGCGGAAGCTGAAGAATGATTTGCAAGATGACAATAATACTTTGCGGCACTCACAGGAGGTGGACAAGGCATTACTTGGGCGGCGTGATCGCCAGATCAACGATTTGAAGAAGGAGTTAAAGGAAGAGAAAGAAAAGAGACAGGCGGCAGAGACGCGGTCCCGCCAGGTAGAAACGGAACGTGACGAAGCTGTTGAGGGGAAGAATCGCGATGTTGGACTTGCGACGGAGCGTATGATGCATTCAGACGTCCATGCAAAGATTCTGGAAACGAGCCATCGGCAGCTGAGGAGAGAATACAAAACAAGAACTCAGACTCTGCAGACTGAGATGAATGGTATTGGGCAGAAGGAGCATGAGAACCAGCAGAAGTTAGTCAAGCTGGATATCGTGTCTGAGCAGATTCGACAGCATAATGAGCAGATCGACAAGACGCATGCAGACATGATGACTTTGTGGGACGCTATGAAGGAGGTCATGGGACAGCGGGCTGAGGAGATGGAGCAGGAGTATCACAGCCGGGAGGAGCGTGCGACAAAGCTGAGCACGGAAATGGCGGAAGCTCTGGATGAAATGCGCCGGGTGATTGGAATCAAGAAGAATACCAATCTGGACGAGTCGGATTAGCGAGGCCTCGTGCTGCAGAGGCGACTTATAATGACAGACGACGGGCATAGCACTGCATTCTGGGCGTTGGTTTTGTTGCAAATACCACTCGATTGGTGGCGAAAGGCGCGAATGGGTCTGGATAAGTTGTGGCGTCGCCCACGAGGATGATTGGGAAATTGGGACGATGAGAATGAAGCCTCTGTACAGTATGGACAAACGACGAATCCAGGTGCCTTGATGAGTAAGTTGTACTTGGCCCTTGTATGAATAAGTTGAGGCGATACAGCATCTTCGCACGTCGGAAGGTTACTGAAGATTATTCCAGCAACCGCTATCGCTGATTTCGGCTCGCTATTGCTCTAGATCTTGCCAGCATGCTCGGGAAGATAAAACTTGAAGCTTGCGTCGTTTGCCAAGCAAAGCCATGTGAAAGGAGAAGGCACGCTAGCAACAAGGGTCGCTCCTTCCTCTGCAATTCGGCAGCAAGCGACTAGCGGGATCATCCGCGACTTCCCTCAACCCATTTAGCCACGCCATCCTACGTTACCTACTGCAAACAGTAGATACACTGTATCGTGCCAGTGATAAGATGGGCGACGTAGCGCAGTATTATCACGGGTCGCTGTACGCCTTCAACGCCGATGCAGTGACCGCGATCGTGACGAAATTCGCACGTGCCGCCGACAACGTCGCGGTTCGATGTTGGTACGAGCCTTCGCAGGATTTGTTCGTCGTCGAGTGCCCGACGACTGTGGGAAGCGATGCAAACGAAGTGCTGGAGCGAGAGATAAGGGCTTATGTCGAGAAGGAGCTGGCGGCCGCGGATCGAGAGCAGGTACGATTATCTCACCGGACTCACGTATCTAGACACTGACGGAGCGCAACAGAGAGCGCCCGCCATCCAGAGATTTGCCGACAGCGAGTTCGACGCCATTGATAACTTTTCGGCAGCCGATACTGAACAACAGTCCTGCGTCAAAGTTACAACAGCCCCCGCCACGCATCTGGTCAGAGCCAAAGATCCTGTAAGCGGCATAGTACACGCATTGTCTCACCCTTGGACACAGCTAACAAGATGGGCAGGACAAGATGCTGATCAGCGCGTTCCATCTGCACGAGCTTCCTTTCCTGGATCGAACTCTCGCGCCCCGTAGTCGGCGAGTCACAAAGCTCTTCAGCGTCGGCATCACCTGGCGAGTGGTTCGCTGGGACAGAGACTGTGGCCATGTGTTCAACGGCCGCATCGGCGAGCCAAGGCCAGTCAAAGCGAATCTGGATCTCGAGATGCCCGCATTTGAAACGCTACAGGACGAGCGAGACCTGTCCACAGTCAGTGTACGTCTACCTTACAAGAAATGGGAATTCGAGGGCCACCCAGTGACAGTCGAGCAATGGCGCGCGGGAATGGGACGAACCAGACAAGTGTTGCCAGATGAGAAGCCAGCTATGCCAAAGGACGCGGAGAGATTTATGGCCGATCACTCGAGTGGTTTGGTTCGTGCTCGAAAGGATTCGTCGGACGATGATGAACGCAACGACAACTTCAATGCTCTACTGTCTGGTCGTCGTGCGCCCGAAGATGATACCCATTCGTCGAGCTCGGAGGCAAAGAGCAGGGACAGTGAGGACGATGAGCACGATGAGCACGATGCGCCTGAAATGTCTTTCCGTGAGCTGCTCCCGAAGGACAAATACGAGACCTTCCCGACTTACGGGAGACAGTTCGCAAAAGTCGACTCCATCGGTCTGACTGCAAACGCAAGGGACACCGCAGAGTGGGTGGATAGACATCATAAATCACATGGAAAGAATGGCCGACGACTAAAGAAAAGCGACGCGCTAACTTACAAGCCCTCAGAAGCCCCCGACGGGAATTCGATTGACAAGGGCGTGGAGTGGCCTCCAATGGCTCGCAAGAGCCTGATCTTTCGGGAATCTGTGAAGGCTCCACCCGGGTTATTGCCAGAGCAAGATCTCCATACTGTCCAAAAGGCAGCAAACAACACCGAGACCGACGAGACGCCGCGTCTGGTTGACTTCAGTGAGAACCCTCTGAAGGCGCAGGTCACACCCCAGCAAGGTTTCGTGAGACAAGCTAAGAGCCCGTATGCTGCTCTGACTCCGGACACGCCCATGGCTGGGAGCAGCAAGAGCGCGGATGATGAGATCGTCGAACGTGTCAAGACATTGCCATCAGATTACGGTATTAAGCGCAACACAATGCGTCAGCAAGCCCGCAGAAAGGCCAAAAAGGGAAAAAGCGTGGCGAATGTTGCTGGCAAGTCCAGTACACCGAATGTCGCGTTGCCTCTCCCCGATCCCGTGCCATCTCCTAAGCCGAAGCCGAAGAACGTCGAAGAGCGGCCATTTACGGGCATTCAGAAACACATGCTGAATGTACGTACAAGCAAGGAAGCTGCAGCACAGCCTGGCATAGCGATGACCACATCTTCGCGCCAAGACCTATCGTTGTCGGAGACATCATTCGAGAGTATTACCAGTCCCACTCATACCTTCGGCCAGTTTCTACAACAGACAGAAGCTCGCTACTCTGGATCCGAGAGTGACAGCGAAGATGGAGAGCCTGCCCTTCCGTTCAAGTTGGTGGCCCATGTGGGAACACTTCTCACAACACCGAGCAACAAGGAAATCGAAAACGGCACGATAAGTGCCGGGCTTTTGCAACGTGAGTTTGCAAAGGCATCGCATACTGCAAGAGCAGATTTCTTGACACGCTTGACGACTTCTACCTCGGATGTCCACTACCTCCTGGACGCCACTTCGGACCAAGATACCTTACAGAAGGAGGCTTTCTACGAGATATTCGTCCGCGCTACGACGGGCAGCATGCTAAAGATCACAATTCCGTCAGGAGGGAAGAGCAACTTCTACGTCGAATCTCACGACAAGGTGGTCCAAGAAGCATTCGCCCATTATCCAATGCACGTGTGGGATCTTCGCTTTCGTGTTGTCGAGGCTGGTGGCGAGTGCGAGAGTCCACCTGCGCTGAAGGACTTGGTCCAGTCTCTGCAGACCGATGAGGACGCTCCGTCCTTTCTAGGCATGATTCGGTCGGAACTCTTCACTGTGGAGAAGGTCCTAACGAAGCGGGTGTTTGCGCAGAAACTTGAGAGGGGAGTGGGTTTCCGCCTTACGCAGGTATGAGTTTGCTGCAAACGCGGCCTGTCTATGCCTTGTGCAAAGCTGCAGACTAATCTTTCTCTAGGTCCAGAATCTCTTTCTCGAATCGCTCGATGATCAATACCACAACTTCCGTGCTTTCGCGCTGTCGGAGAAAAGTATGCTCGACAATCAACGTGTCTTCTGGGAGGCTTGCTGGGAGACTGGAAATCTGAGGAGTGCAGAGCTCCTTCAGGCAAAAGCTGGTGAGATGATGGGCGTCATGGACAGTGTAGGTTTGGAGAACCAGGGCCCGCTCATTCCAACGCCAACTGCAGAGGCGGATGAAGAGGAAGACGAGGACGACCCTGACGATTGGTTCTGGTAGATATCACTGCTTTCGAACGATGGCGCGCCGGCTATCTTCGTTGTAGTAGAATCACATGGCCACCAGTTCGGACCCCAATTGGTCCCTGATGGCAGGCTGACGAATGTCCGCTGAAACTAAATAAAGACTTCATGATGAACTTCATCCCGGCTCGTACACTCCAATATCGGCATGAGCCTCCTGAAAATTCACGTCGGTATGGATGACCGGTCTACCAAAGCTGCTTTATGCCCCAGTCAGTAGGCTGAATTGAGTGACGTGGCAGTTCTCGCAGCGAGATCTACTGCTTCTTGTTCTGCGCATAGATGAAATTTGCGCCTGGTCTACATCAGTCTTTGGCCATTCCGAGTAAACACGTTTGGTAGAGTACCTACCCACTACAACCAAGCCGTTTCCTTCGGCCCACTCTCTGAGTCCCTTTCTTGGCTGGCCAAAGCCCCAGTGTTGTCGGTCTGCTGGCGTGGTGAGATTAAGTGGCTCGTGAGTGCCATTTCTAGGCGACAATGCAGCGAAGACGTATCGATGCTTTCCCGTCTTGGATGGAGGACCGGGAGGCTTGTAGGGCATAATCTCCTTTAGAGGTCTCGAAGCGACGAGCCCTTGGTCGGCAGAAGTGAGAGGAATATCCGTTGCGATCCAATGGCACATCTCGCTCCAGTCAGGATTGTCACGGCTCCGGGCATCTGGGTCCGTGAGAGCCAGGGTGAGCTGTGGGAGCCCCCGAAATGCTTCTGCAAATGACAGATCTGGCAATTCGTCTACGAGGGAAACGTGGGGAGTCTTCTGAACGCGCTTTGGCTTGATGGTGTTGCCGATGCTCGCTTTGGCTTTCTTCCAGGAAACCGAGACTGTTAGGAAAGGCTGGAACTGGTCGAGAACGGTCGGTATGATCTCCGCTTGCTTGAGCCTGGAAGGGGTATAAGTGTACCATTTCATCAGCTTAAGGAAGAGGCATACTGGGAGATCAAATCGAACTTGTCGCCCGGCCGCGAGAGTGGCTGCTGGTCGTTCGAGGGATGTGCGACCACCGAGGCCACGGAAAGGCCGAGAAGGACGATGGTGGACTTCATCTCCCTCAACTCAAGATCGTGCGCTTCTCAAGGAAAATCGGGGAGAGTTGGAGGCAGAAAGAGCTCATGAGGCTGGAAAGAGGAAGAGGTCTCGTGCCCCCGCTCAAGATGGGCCAAGCAGTGACGTTTGTCTGCTGGACCTCTCCGGTTTCACAGCGTGAAGAGAGTTTCTGGGGTAGAGACACAGAGACGGTAGCGACGATGCTTTATACAGGCGTCTTCACCGGGAGTGGTGGTCTGTCGGTTGATAGTACTGCAGGTTGGCACTAGGAGAGTAGAGTAGAGCAGAGCAGACATGGGCAGGCGCTGGACAGTGACCTGAGTCTCAAGGTCTGAAGATTTGGTGGCGTGAAGGTCGGTTGGAAGCAAGAGACTTGCAACCAATCGCGCCTGCTGGGCGCAATGATGCGATGGGAAACTAAAGCTTTCACATGTTTTGATGAGTCAGTCCTGTCAAGTGAATTGGAATAGAATGTTGAGCCGACGTCGAGGGACGTGCACGGGAATGGGATGGGATGTGTTGTTTGGTGCCTCAGGCCGCAAGCCGAGACGTCAACACGCGCAGGACCGAGCAACTGGGAAGCGGAACTGCTTTCTTGCCTCTCTCTCTTGTGCTCTCTCCCACCTCGGAGCTCCCGCTTAACTCTTCCACAACGCCATCGCCAGCAGACCAGAGGAGCAATTCCATCCTCCACCATCCTCCAAGAGTCTGCGCCTCCCGTTCGACAACACTCCCACTGGAAGCCGGCCCCAGTAAAGGGAGCCTCGTTGCGCGAGGAGCAGCGTGAGCTTTGAGGCCCCAAACAGAGTCGCCGGGGACGCAAGACAACACTTCGACAACGCGCAGCACGGCTTGGGTGCTGGACCAGCAGCCATGGCGGCGCTCGGCGAGGACCTGCTCAACGTCGTCAACAAGCTTCAGGACCTGGTCTTCAACACTATCGGCAACGACTCCCTGGATCTCCCTCAGATCGTACGTCCCGAGCGAAGTTCGTCTACGCACCGCTCAGCACTCCTTACTGATAACGCCTAGGTCGTCGTGGGGTCGCAATCGTCTGGAAAGTCCTCCGTTCTCGAAAACATCGTGGGAAGAGATTTCCTCCCCCGTGGAAGCGGAATCGTCACCAGGAGACCTCTGATTCTCCAGCTCATCAACCTTCCCTCCGAACGCAGCGACAAGCCTGACGATCATGAAGTACACGTACCGCACACACCTGCATCCGTGGCAGGTCAAGATGAGTGGGGAGAGTTCAACCACATGCCAGGGCGCAGATTCTACGATTTTCAAGAGGTGAAGCAGGAGATCGAGAACGAGACATCGCGGATAGCGGGCAGCAACAAGGGGATCAACAGGCAACCCATCAACCTCAAAATCTACTCTCCGCATGTACTGAGTCTGACGTTGGTCGACCTGCCTGGTTTGACCAAGGTTCCGATTGGAGACCAGCCAACAGACATCGAGAAGCAAACAAGGAACCTCATCACCGAATATATCGCGAAACCAAACAGCATAATCCTCGCCGTCTCTCCAGCTAATGTGGATCTTGTCAACTCAGAGGCCTTAAAACTCGCGCGGCACGTAGATCCCACCGGCAAGCGGACCATTGGTGTGCTCACCAAGCTGGATTTGATGGACCACGGCACGAATGCCTTGGATATCTTGTCTGGGCGCGTCTATCCGCTGAAACTGGGGTTCATTGGCGCCGTCAACCGATCACAACAGGACATCCAAGGGAACAAGTCCATGTCTGATGCCTTAAATGCGGAGCGCGAGTTTTTCCGTATGCATCCAGCTTACAGGAACATCGCTACACGATGCGGTACCCAGTTCCTGGCGAAGACTTTGAATCAGACTCTGATGCAGCACATCCGAGAACGACTTCCGGATATCAAAGCGCGCCTCAACACGCTCATGGGCCAAACGCAGCAGGAGCTAGCCTCGTATGGAACTGACGCGTTCACTGGGAGGGAGCACCGCGGATCGCTCATTCTCCAACTGATGACTCGATTTGCCACCTCGTTCATTTCCTCCATCGATGGTACATCTTCAGAGATCAGCACCAAGGAGCTCTGCGGTGGTGCAAGAATATACTACATTTTCAACTCGGTGTTTGGAAACAGTCTCGAAACTATTGACCCGACGCAGAATCTCTCATCTCTCGACATTCGGACCGCCATCCGCAACTCAACCGGGCCGCGACCTTCTCTGTTCGTACCTGAAATGGCCTTCGATCTGTTGGTCAAGCCACAGATCAAGCTTCTCGAAATCCCTAGCCAGCGATGTGTCGAGCTTGTGTACGAAGAGCTTATCAAGATCTGCCATACATGTGGTTCGAACGAATTGTCGCGATATCCTCGGCTGCAGGGCAGACTCATCGAAGTTGTCTCCGATCTATTGCGGGAGCGACTTGGACCCTCGTCATCTTATGTAGAAAGTCTCATTTCTATACAGCGCGCTTACATCAACACCAACCATCCGAACTTCTTGGGCGCTGCAGCCGCAATGAGCAGCGTGATGCAGGACAAACATGAGCGAGAGAAGAAAGCTGCGGCTGCCGAGGAGAAGCGGAAACGGGATGCCCGTAAGAAGAAGGAGCAACTCGAAGGTGTGAACGGAACTCACAATCCTGAAGAGGACGAAACGGAGCAATCGAGTGTACTACCATTGAGAAACGCGGCCAAGACCAAGGAGAGCCGAAGTATGAGTCCAGCACTTGGGAGAGATGGTCACAGAATTGGCCATAACGCAAGCGCATCGAACGGTGCTTCTGGTGGGGGCAAAGACTCGTTCTTGAACTACTTCTTCGGTAAAGAAAGTGGACCCAGTTCGGGAGCGCTGCCAGGACAAAGTGCGGCCGGCGCATTACACACTGCTGCATCGCGGCACGTAAGCCAGAATATTGAACCCAGCATAAGCGCCAGCTTCAGGCATGGTGACACGCGGCGCCCGCCAGTACAAGAAAAGCCCGACTTTGAAGAACTAGAGAAGGATGATGGTGCTTTGGTAAGGCAAGATTCTTGGAACATATACGTCTCTGTACTAATTTTGACCTGCAGGATGATCCTACCGGACCGGCGCTCACCGAGCGAGAATCTCTCGAAACCGACCTTATCCGCCGTCTGATCAGCAACTACTTTAATATCGTGCGCGAGACCATTGCCGACCAAGTACCAAAAGCGGTCATGCATTTGCTGGTCAATCATTCGAAAGACGCTGTCCAGAACCGTCTGGTGTCCGAGCTATACAGGGAAAGCCTGTTTGAGGAACTACTGTACGAGGATGACGGCGTGCGAGAAGAGCGGGAGAAATGCGAGAAATTGCTAAGCACATACAAAGAGGCCAGCAAGATTATTGGCGAAGTGCTATGAGCAGACGGTGCGTGCGGCTGGGTCGTTCTATTTCTGTGTGGGTGTTAGACTGTACTACTCTCAGCTCGCGCGAGCGCTCCAGCGTTGACAGGACTCTGCTCCTTTCTGGGCAAGGGAGGTGGACGGTGGGAACCTCCTCACATGTGCATAGATGGAAATGGTGGCTGGAGAATGACAGCGATTGTAAGATATACTACTCATATCACCATCTCAGCTTCAGGATAGCTGAAAGAGAAAAGACCCCTCCATCGCGACTTCCTTCTCAAGCTGTTCCCCAGCTTTCATGTGAAGATCGGCAAATCTCTTGGCGTTTCGCCGCTCATTTACCAAGGCAAGGCCGCACAAGCTGACGAGACTTATCATAGACCCCCAATCTTGCGGATGATCGTTCTGTCCTTACGGTCTGTCTATGACAAGCTGATTGTCTTCAAATGTCTATTGTTCAAAGACGTGCTTTGATTGGCAGCAAACCGGCTTGCTCTCAGCATGCAGCCATGCGGACGTGCGCTAGCCAAGACAGAGCAAGGTGAGCTTTGTCGGTCTCAATTCTCTCAATGGAACGCGCATAGGTGAGTTTCGGCTGCGGATGCCTGGTACTTCAATAATGGGTCCGTCCACTTTACTTCACTCGACTCGGTCTTCGCCTCTTCGAAGAGAAGAGAGCGCTTACGACTCCCACGACATCTCCCAACGGACAGACCACTCGCATCCGCCATCGCGCCATGACAGAGACACAGGAGGAGCACGCACCGCCCGTGAAATTGTGGCGAGGATGGACGCAGGATGAGCGCATTGTGCTCAAGCTCCTCAACGATGCCATCAAGCTGAACCCGGGCAAGAGAGAAGCGGTTTTCAACCGTGTCTTCGCGGCCGAGAGCGGGCGCGGGAAGAGGGATCGGATTGCGCTGAAAGCGGCGTGGGGCGAGCGCACGAGGAGCGCTCGGGTCCATGATGCTTGGAGGGGAATTCTGGAAGGGCCGATGAGTGAAGATGAGATGGTGAGGTGGAGAGAGCTGGAGGCGCGAGTCAACAGAGCAATGAAGCAAGTCGAAGGTGCTGGTGGTGTGGCAGCGGTATACGAAGAGGAGGAGGAGGAGGAGGAGGAGGAGGAGGAGGAGGAGGAAGAAGCGACGGTGGCGTTGGACATGGGAGGACACGACCCGGGCGAATATCACGACCATCAAGAGCCCGCGGCCGAACCACTGGATCTCGCGACGTTCACGGAGACGCCCCTTGAGATGGTGCACAGCTCTCAAGTGGAATGGGCGGGCGCTCAGCCGTACTGGACCGAAAGGGAGGTTCATGCCCACACCGTCCTCTCGCACTCCTCTCCAACCTACAGACTGGGCGGCAAGGTCTATCGCATCATCGACATGGAGGGCAATGCAAGAGATCTCATGATGTGCATAGCTCAGTTCTGTGACATCTGCAACAACCAGCTTCCGCCGGCGGCGGCGGCGGTGGCGGCAACATACCACAGTCCCACAGACGGCTATCCATTCGTCCACACTACCGACGTCAGCAAAGACCACGAAGACGGGAGATTGTACTTCGCACCCTGTCAATTTCCCACGTTTGACCGGGAGAACAGTCCATTCTCGAAATCCTTTCCACGGAATATCGTGTACAACGACGGTGTTCCTAGGATCACGGAGTGCTGCATCTATGAGCAGTGTCAAGTCTGCGCGGCGCCGGCGTTGTTGAGGAGAGTGTCCAACTCCCAAGAGGGCTGGGACGGAGGCATGGTGGACATTGGCGGAGGGCGACTACGCTATCTTACAAGAGGAGGAGGAGGCATCTAGAGCAATCGCAGCGAGGATCCCGGGCATTGACAATGCGCTGCGCGTCAGTTGGAAGGAAATGAGAGCAAGCTTGGGTGGCATCAAAGACTTGAAACATTGGCCGGATCAGACGCAATTTGAGCCGTACTTTACTTCGACCAGCGAGTGAAGGACACTGTCTCTTTTGGATCTCTGCTCCCATCACCCACTCCCAGTCATTCCAACTCCATTGCCGTCTTACTCTATGCACGGGTTCTAAGATCATCAAGTCAGCATTCTTCGATGACAATTCGAATTTGCTGAAAGCATGGCGTAACACACAAACTGCAGCGTGTACTTTCCAACCTTGCAGTTATGCGCGAGGTTGTCATATCCCGTCGCATTCCCACAATTCGTGCTCTTGGGGGTGGTGATGCTGAATTTATCGCCCTTGAACGGATCTCCATCCAGCGGAGAAACGGTCCACCAGAGCGTTCCCATGGTCACAGACGTGCCGAGTATCAATTTGGGGTTGTTGACGTCGTAATAGTCCTTGGATCTGGTGACGCCCAGTACATCTGCGTAGACGGTAAGCAGGCCGAGTTGTGAGCTGTAATCAGAAGGACAGACGTACTCCCTATTCCCACAATAGGTCTGACATAGGCCGTGCCGGTCTTGAGTTCGAAGACAGGAGGAGTGTTCTCGGTTTCGTTGCCGTCGCTGACCCAGAGCGAATTACGGCAGTAGTTGTTCAATTGGAGGAGTGGTTCGTAGTCTTGCCCCAACACTGGCGCTGCCAGTACAAGCGACAGAGCCGGGATCATCAGAAGGAGACGCATTTTGTTTGCTCGATGGTGAGTGCCGTCGTTGCTTGGTGAGAGGAAACCGAGCATCGCGGTGGAGGCCTTTATAGTAAATCGTAACCCTATTTGTTATAGGTGTAACTGGACTGCGGCCAAGGGTCGCACAACGAGTGCAACATTCAAAACCGGGAGGGCTTGGAGGCTTGTCCTGCTTTTGATGGGGACATATGTGGAATTGGCACATGCTCAGCGACACGTTCCGCTGTGTCAAAAGGTGATTGCGTTTTTCTCGGCAATTTGCATCGTTTTGTGCCTTGCATGCTCCCTTACATCGGCGGTGCTCGACGTCCTCATCAGTGTTCACAATGCCTTGGTTATCTCGTGAAGACAATCTACCGCATGATGCATGAGTGCCGGGATTGAAATCTGCAACGGTCAAAACGAACGTGACAGCTTGGAGGTAGAGCCGGAAGGAAACCAGAACGTTGATTCAAATCAGAGATGCGCTATTCTTCTTCTCCGCCCCCCGGATACTGTTGGAATGTCCACTCATGATCCATCTTGGCGTTGCCGACGACCGGAAACGAAGGTACATTCAGCCTGCTTTGTCAAGCGTCTGCTACTTGCTCTCTGGCCAGAGCCGCAGACTGCTTCTCGGCGCCGGGATGCTGTGCCTGGTCATGACTCTCGTGTCTCGTGTCCTGCTCTCATCCCTGCTTCGCTTTCGTTGCCGATTGTTGCGCCTCTGCAGAGAGATCGAGTGTCAGTATCCAACTTCCAAGACGGACAACCACCACAAGCCACAAACGTGACGTGACGTGACAGCGAGTCTCTCTTCGTCCCATGACGCACCTCTCCGTGTAGCATCCTCGAGTAACGTCGTGTCTACTGCTGCTGCTGGCAGGTGCACGTATCGTACCACGCTTCCCCGGATGAAGACATTCTTCACCGAACTCTGTGCCTGCGAATCAGCCTCTTCTGCCCTTATTTCCCGCGGCTCTTGTGCCCGTAACAACACAGAATTGCACTTGTCCTCCTCTTCCTTCTCGACGTTCGGCGACTGACCAAGTGTGGGTATTTCAACTCTTCTACCACCGTGATGTCGTCGAGCTTGATGTTCAAGTACTGGTCCACGCTCTTGAGGGTGCCGCGAATGGAGATGTCGTTCTTCAGCTCAATTGTCACTTCGTGGTTGACGAGCGTCTTGAAGAAGCTGAAAAAGAGCATTGTGGCGAAGGAAAGGAGGCCAATTGGTGTTATTGAAGTTGGGGTGGCATGTTTCTCGGAGAAATCGCTGTCACAAGCCGCAAAGCAAGATGCATCGAACGCACGGACCACAGCTAGCGTGCTGCCGCTTGAAACGTAAGTAGTGTTCTGGCGGGAGATGACTTTATGTTCAGTAGAAATCATGTGCTGTAGTGGGTTGAATGGATCCGCGGGTCGAATATGAGAGATAGTTACGGCCATTATTACTAGGTTATAGATGAACACCCACAAAGTCTCAGGGTGCCCTTTAGGCTGCCTTTCTCGCCCAGCCGACCAAGCATCTCCAACCAGCCTGCCCCTTGCCGCCCTCTTCCAATGCCTTTGCGACCTCGTGCAGGACCTTCTTCTCGCTACGGCCTGTTTCGTTGTTGAGCTTGATCATCCACTGCTCCCACATTCTCGCACCAACTAGGCCGGTCATTGCCCTGACATCCTTTGTGCTGCCAGTGAGCGGTGGCTGGAACTCCGACACGGTACCATCGACGCTGATTGATCGCTCCGTAGCAGAGACTCCTCCTGACGGCTTGCCAAGATCCGACCAGCGTGGGACCGCGTCTGCTACAGGAAGAACCATCCAAGCACGCTTGATCTCGCAGAAACCAGCTCGTTTCAGGCGAGGCAAGAAGTTCTTGCCAGAGCACGGGTCGTAACCACGGGTCTTCAGGCTGAAGGAGAACTCTACTCCCAGAGCTTGGGTTGCCGCATCGGCGTGGACTAGCTCTGCATCGAGCAGATCAAATTCAAGGTATCCGCCTGGCTTCAAGACACGGAGACACTCGCGCAAGGTAAGATCCCATTCATCAGCTGCATGACCCTTGGGCCATATAGTCTTTAGATGAGAGTAGAGGTTTCGCGCAGAGACCACATCAAAATACTTGCTCTCAAATGGAAGCTCCCAAAGCTTCGGAGAGGTGGTGACGAAATGGTTGCTCGGTCCTTCAAGCGAGGCAACGTGTGCCTCAGCATCAGACGAGACAGTCGTGTAAATAGCCGCATTTGGATGCTCCAGAGCGACAGTCCATGCCCAGCTGCAGTGAGCTTGTCCTGCAAGATCAAGGACGCGGACGTCTTTGCGGCCTTTGAAGCTCTGAACGATGGGGCTCGTCAACAGCTTGCCGCCGTTCACTTCCTTCTGAGCGTCGATGTGCCAGGAAGAAGACTGTAGTTGCTCAAGCGCCTGCCTCTCGCGGTCAGCCTGGGCAATTTCTTCCTTCTTCTCGTCCTCTGCAGCCATTGGCAAGAAAGACGAGATTGGGCGCTGAGGCGAGGGTCGCTCAGCATTCGTGATTGCATACTGGCCCGTCAACTGATCGGTGTGCTGCTTTTGAAGGCTGACTCGCTTAACTTGCTCAGCCTCAGCTCTGGCCTGTCTGTGTTCGAAGACGTCTCGTGCGCGTTGGGAACGTTTCGTGTGCCGCCAAGCCTCCCAGAACGTACCATCGTGGATTGGAGAGATCCGCTTATTCTCCACAGGGCTGGCCTCAGTCTCCGGGATGGTAGGCATGGCCGGCTTTTCATTGAAGCGCACCGATTTCTTGCTTGGCGAGGAATGCTCGGAGGAGACGGGCGATGTTTGCTCAGGAGTCGTCGGAATGGCATCCGCGACGTCCTCGAAATCGGTGCAAACCTGATGGTCTTCACAAACAGCCTCCATGTACGCCTTTTGCGCAGATAGCCACATTTGAGTGCGGTCGACATTTGCAGAGGCGTTCTGCTGAATAGCATCGCTGTATGTTTCATCAATCTCATCGACCTCATGAATCACATCGGTGGGCGAGAATATGATCTTGCGGGCGGTGATGGGAGCTTGAGTACTGGTCGGAGACGCGACAGAGACGACGTGCTCCACAGGGTTTTCCGGACGCGAGTTCCAAGGCAGGTTGTAGAAAGATGTGGCGGTGCTCGTAGGAAGGCCAGAAGAGTGTGGTGATCTGAAAGGCACACCGTAGAACTCACTCGCGGTGCTTGTGGTCGGCGCATTGTCGTTGACTGTCCAAGCCTCGCGGGCCACGGTCGAGTCCAGAGATGCAAAGAAGCCGCCAGGTGAAGGAATTGAAAGTGCTGACAGCTCATCCTCGGCATCATTAGGGTCAGATGGCGCAAGGCAAGAAGTATCAATTCTGAATATTCCTGTGACTGGTGGCGACTCAAGAATCTCTCTCATCTCCTCACGAGCTTGGTCAGGGCTCTCAATCACACTGTCCTGTATGTCGTCATGCTTTTCTCCACTTATTTGATGGAGCAAGTTGATGGCAGATCGATCGAGTTGAACAGGAGGTTCCCAAGCATTCTCGCCGTCAGCAGGCTCCTCAAGGTCCGGAGTTGAAGGACAGCTTGACGCTGCAAGCTCTTCTGAAGTAAGACTGCCGTCCAGAGAAGGTGTCGAAGAGCTGCTAGGGACGCGGAAACTGCGCTGTTGTAGTTGTGATAGGACAGACGGAGACAGGTTGACCTGAATGGGTGGCGAAAGAGTCGATGCGGACTTGAGCTTCTCAATTGTAGGCCACTGTCCTGGCGAGGGAATGACGATGGATGGGTACCGGGACTTTTCCTCCTTGCTAACCACTCGTTTCTTGACGGAGGTCGACAACTTGATGTGGACTTCTTCTGATTCGCTTTCTGATATGTCGTAAAGCTCGTCGAAGCTGTTCGAGCTACGTTTGCTCCAGAGTGAACTTTGGTCGCTCTCGGAGTCAGAGCTGCTGGAGATCGGACTGGCTTCTTCTGCCACTGTGGCAAGGATGTTCGCTTTGGGTGTCGGAAAGTCATCGCTCAGAGGCGAAAGGACGAAGGCCTTGGGCTGGAGCATTTGGGGTGGTGCTCGCTTGAGGGAAACTTGGGGTGCGTCTTCGATTACGGTATTACGATAGCCTTCGGTATTGCGGACCGGCGCAGAAGGCTTGAAAGCCACAGGTTGCAGAACGAATTGTGCCATTTCGGGGGTCAATGGTCGAGTAGTTTGTGCGGTATGCTGTTCGGTGAAACAAATGACTGTATACCGTCCGGCGGTGAGTGTGTACAGACTTCGATCAACGAAGCGCTAACGACTCGAAAACAAGACGAGAAACGCAAAGAGAGAAGGAGAGTTGACACACACCAGAAACACGAAGCGGTGCAGTAGATCAGAAGAGAAGGCGTCAGCAGGAAGACTTGCGGCACAGCTCCTTCCTTATACAAACCGAAACATTCTGGCGAGCTTGCGGCGCCAGTCGATGTCGTACCAAGAGCAATTTTGGCGCGCCGCAGGGCGGTTAGCAGGATTCCGGCACTCATGCGACCTCAACGTGGCCATGGCTGGCGCTAAAACTGAGCCGCATCGTGATCCACCGAGGTGGTAAGGTTGCAGAAAGACAACGGATGGATGAGAGAGAGCGCCGCGGGTTCCCTGCAGCCTTGCTTGAGTGGGCGCTTAGGTGACAGCCAATTGAACCACATGGACGCGTTTCGCAGCATCCGGACGGCGATTCGCTGTTCTTGCGGTACTGCAGTACGTCGACATGTGCCGTGAGCTGAAATAGTAATGTCCGAAGTCCAGACGCATGAGATGGGTTGGTGGTGTTGGTGGTGGTGGTGATGACGAAGTGTAGAAGGAGAGTAGTGAAAGCTGAAGTGAGGTGCCTCGCGTGCTGCCGGGACTGACCGGGCCGTGAGGACATTGGCCGTGGACCACCACCATGACGTTGTTCTGGGAATCATCCCGACCCGACTGCAGAATTGTACAGGCACGCTGCTCCATCGTAATTAGTCTTCAAGTCAATTGCGCATCTTGCCCTTCGCCCAAAGTCGTCCGGCCCGGCCTACCGAAGAACCAACCAACACAGAACCGTTCACGCAACGCTTCCGCGAAAAGCCCAAGTAGTTGCTCTACACGCCCTCGAGTGACCATGGCGCCGCCAGCGATCATTGCACCCTCAATCCTCAGCGCGGACTTTGGCGCCCTGGGAAAGGCATGCTCAGACACGATCGACCAGGGCGCAGATTGGCTCCATGTGGACATCATGGACGGGCACTTTGTGCCCAACATGACATTTGGCGCTCCTGTGGTCACCATGATTCGGCCGCACGTTGATCGACCCAAAGACGCATTCGGCAAGGGCACGTTCGACTGCCACATGATGATTGCTGAGGTACGGCGGATGCACATGGGGGCGCAGCAGCTCGAGTGCTGACTTGCACCGTAGCCAAAGAAATGGGTGAAGGAATTCAAGAAGGCGGGCTGCGACCTCTACTGCTTCCACTACGAAGCTGCCGTGTCTTCAACAGCTGCAGAAAGCCCTGAGGAACAGAGCGATAAGAAGACGAGTCCGAAAGAGATGATCAAGTACATCCACGATCAAGGTATGAGGGCGGGAATCGCAATCAAGCCGAAGACTGAGGTGGATGTGTTATATGACATCCTGGACAACCCGAACAAGGACGAAGTGCCTGATGTGAGTACATGTAGGCTGGATGTGCAGCTGCGGTGACGCCTTGCTGATAGCGTACAGATGGCCCTCGTCATGACAGTAGAACCGGGATTCGGCGGCCAGAAGTTCATGGCTGACATGATGCCCAAGGTGGAAGCGCTTCGCACGCGGTATCCCAACCTTAACATCGAAGTAGACGGCGGCTTGAGTGGAAAGACCATCGACACTGCTGCGGATGCAGGCGCAAACGTGATAGTGGCTGGCAGCGCTGTCTTCGGCGCAAAGGACCCGGGTCACGTCATCCAAGCCCTGAGGGAAGCCGTCGAGAAGCGTCGATGACTGCCAGCAGGCAAGCTCTGATGTTCGCAGCGATCTCGCATGAACATTGCCAGGAGAGTGGATCAAATCCACCACCTGCGATAATGCCATGATGCACGCAAAGGTTGAGTCGTGGGCCGGACATGTGGTAAATTAAGAGCCGAAGCCATCCGTGAAACACGTGGGCAGGCCGAAAATAGTATAGACTAGCTAGACTAATTGCATGCTCCATGTGAGTGAATGAATGTTACTCTCGCCGCATTCTTACAACAACTCCAGCGGAGTCTACAGTTCTTGCCCGCCCTCTTGTCATCGCTTTTGTAATCGCTTTTGGTTGTCAATAGGGCGGAAGGCTGCAGAAGGGGCGAGCTGCATCTCGAAACAAAGAACGCCAATCTCCTTGGCGCGTCTGAAGCCGGGACTGGAGCTTGTCCCGGTGAGATGCGAGAGGCTGGTGCAAACGTGTTCGCACCCACTTCCTTCATGTATGCAAATCACAGAATACTCCTGTTACATCTTGGTATCGCTACGCCAGCTGCGAGAGTATCGCGGTGCTGTTGCAGGGGAGCATTGGCCTGAGCAGCGTGGTTCAAGGCGCTGTGGGGATTATTGGGGAAGTGGAGACGGCGACCAGCAGCGCACGCGACTCCCTTCCTGTTAGTCGGCCGTTACCTCAGAGTGCCTCTAGCGGTCGTCATGGCCAGGAAAGACGTCTACAGCGAGGAGGCTCGTCCTCTGACCGCTCCCGAAGACGACCCAAACAGCCCCATCGACGACAACGGAAGATCATCCGCCTCTTCGGCTTCGACGGCGTCCTTCGTCTTGGAATCGATGTCCGACAAGAGCGCCATGCAGGCCAAGGACGCTCTCTCTCCCGACGGCCCTCATCATGAACCAGAAGAGATGGACATGGAGGAGCAGATGGCATGGCAACGATCTGTAAAGCCAGCAGACAAGAAAGCCCGCCGCATATTGTACATCCTGGCCGCCATTGGTGCTATCGGCTGGATCGCTGCACTCTTCATGTTCATCGGGCAGGACCGACATGTCCCCTATTCTGCGCGTCCACACGATCCCCATGCCACTAGCACAACGGGGAACGGCAAGAAGGTGACACTGGACAGTGTTCTACGTGGTGACTGGAGCCCGCGCCAGCACGACATTCGTTGGATTCCAGGGCCCAAGGGAGAAGATGGTCTCTTGCTGGAGCGCGGCGGCTCAGGGGGCCGTGATTATCTTGTCGTAGAGGACGTACGTTACCGCGGCGAAGACATCTCGGCGCAGAAGCAGCACAGCAAGACCCTGATGAGGTCTGGTTACTTTCGGACTGGCAATGAAGATGTCATCGTTGATGAAGCCTGGCCAAGTGCGGACCATAAGCACGTTCTCGTCAGGAGTGACTATGAGAAGACCTTCAGACACAGCTCGACTGGTCGCTATTGGATCTTTGACGTTGCTTCTCAAACCGGACAGCCGCTCGACAGCGGCAATATCAACGGCAGAGTCCAGCTTGCTCAGTGGAGTCCAAAGGGTGACTCCATAGTCTTTACTAGAGACAACAACATGTACATTCGCCATCTTGACACTGATCTGGTGATTCGCATCACGACGGACGGCGGAAAAGATCTGTTCTATGGTATCCCTGACTGGGTGTACGAAGAAGAAGTGCTTGCATCAGGAGAGGCTACTTGGTTAAGCGGTGACGGCCGATTTGCATGCTTCTTCCGGACAGATGAAAGCAAAGTGCCCAGTTTCCCGGTCCAGTACTTCTTCAGCAGGCCCAGCGGCAAAATACCCAAAGTCGGCGAGGAAAACTATCCTGAAGTGCGACACATCAAGTATCCAAAAGCTGGTGCACCAATGTCAACTGTCAGTCTTCAGTTCTACGACATCCATAGGAATGAGGTGTTCTCCGTGCCAATCTCCGGCGACTTTGCTGACGACGATCGAATCATCAGCGAAGTTGTGTGGGCTGGCGGTTCGGGGAAGGTCATCATCCGCGAAACAAACCGAGAGAGTGATTTCCTCAAGGTTGTGCTCATAGATGCTGTTAGTCGGACTGGGAGGACTGTTCGCGAAAGGGACGTGATGAAGTTGGATGGCGGATGGTTTGAGACGACTCACACTACCAAGTTTGTCCCAGCAGATGCCAGCAAGGGTCGCTCTCATGATGGTTACATCGATACGATCATCCATGATAACTATGAACATCTAGCGTATTTTACGCCTCTGGACAACCCGGAGCCGAAGATGCTGACATCTGGAAAGTGGGAGGTCGTGGAGGCGCCCTCCAGCATCGATCTGGACCACAACATTGTCTACTTTATTGGCACCAAAGATGGAAGCACACAGCGACACCTCTACACAGCAGAGCTCAACGGAAACGCCAGCAGCGTCAAGCCTGTGACAGACACTTCCGAAGTGGGATACTACGAGGCCTCATTCTCGGCCGAAAGCAAATTCATGTTACTCTCCAACAAGGGTCCTGGCATACCATGGCAGAAGGTGCTTTCCACACCAACAAACAAAAATTCCGGACTGGATGTTTCCATCGAGGAAAACAAGGCGCTAGAGCAGCTCGCGAAGAAGACGGAGTTGCCTATCGAGATATATCAGACTATCAACGTTGACGGCTTCGATCTCAATCTTGTTGAGCGGCGACCACCTCACTTTGACGCAAGCGGCAAGAAGAAATATCCCGTGCTCTTCTACCTCTACAACGGGCCAGGCTTCCAGCAGGTCGACCGCAAGTTCAATATCGACTTCCAATCATACGTTGCCAGTTCTTTGGGCTACATCGTAGTGACCTTGGACGGTCGTGGAACTGGCTACATGGGTCGCAAGCACAGGACCATTGTACGTGGCAACATTGGCTACTGGGAGGCTCACGATCAGATCGAGGCCGCCAAGATGTGGGCGAAGAAGAAGTACGTCGACGAGGAGCGCATGGCGATTTGGGGATGGAGTTACGGTGGATTCATGACACTGAAGACCATCGAGACAGACGCCGGCCAGACTTTCAAATACGGCATGGCTGTGGCGCCCGTGACCGATTGGCGCTTCTACGACTCCATCTACAGCGAGCGATACATGCACACGCCGCAACATAACCCCTCTGGCTACGACAACGCTAGCATCTCGAACATGAAAGGACTGTCCAGCAACGTGCGATTCCTCGTCATGCACGGGTTCAGTGACGACAATGTGCATTTCCAGAACACATTGCAACTCTTGGACCAGCTCGATCAGGCGAACGTGAGGAACTACGATGTCCATGTTTTCCCCGACAGTGACCACAGTATTTACTTCCACAATGCCAACACCGTTGTGTATGAAAGTAAGTTTGGCATCCGTATTTGGCGAGGAGATATTTTTACTGATTGACTGTCTTGTAGAGCTGCGGGACTGGCTAGTGAACGCCTTCAACGGCGAGTGGCTTCGCACCACCGACCCTACGCCGTTGGGAAGATATGAAGGCCTGCCTTGACCTCCCGCTTTGATGCTACTTGTCACGACGGGTTTCATCATCCATGGGCGAGAACACGGGTACCATTCCTAATCTGTGCAGCCATTTTGGGACCAGAGCTACTCGAAGCAGCGAAAGCCTGCAGCACTAGCCCTGGAGGCACGTTTCGAGCAATTTCGAGCAGCGACTGTTAGAGCAAGCCGCGTTTAAAGACCAGGCCGAGCCCACTGCTTTCGCCAAAATATTGGTCGCATGCCATCGCGAGTTGTAGCAACTTTGCGCAGACTGGCAGCAAAGCATGCTTGAGCTCGCTTGCGGTCACTTGACCGTCATCGATCCGAGGAAGAAGCAGAAACAAATGATTATGCAGTCACAGGAACAAATAGACAGACATGTACATATGAATGCGATCAATTTCCGCTGTTTAGTGGTGGACCACTCGCTCTCATGAGCCTGGATGCACACGCCCCGGTCATTCGTGACTCGGGTGAATGCGGATATGAGCAGCCTTGCGCAGTGCGTAGAGCTCATCGGTATTGGATGGAGCTCGCTGGATGGCATGTCCTGCTCTGCATGTCAAACACGCGTTTCAAGACAACTTTCTCATGGAGACGGATAGATCATTTGATAAGTTTGCGAGGGAATACACTCGCTGGAAAGCCAAGACAAATGCAGATGCTCGCGCGAATCACCACACAGATCAAGGAAATAGATATGTAATGTACGTGTAATTCTCGTGTCATTTTTCGGCTATCTTGGGTAGCACCTGACTAAGTGCGATGAAGTCCTCTAGCCTTGTAACCACATGCAGAACGCCCAGACCCAGTTGATTTACTTCAATGGGATGAAACGCGAGGAGTGGGTAGCACCGATACCTGGACGACCGTGCTTGACCGGCTTGCTGGAAGGCTGTTAGCGATGTTCGACGGAGGACTACAGGTGACACATACTATGAGATGGAGAACTCTCCGAGGTAGTGGCCGACCATCTCAGGCTTGATTTCGACCTGGTTGAACTCCTTGCCGGAGTAGACACCGACGACCGATCCAATCATCTCTGGGACGATGATCATGTTGCGGAGATGGGTCCTAACGACATCTGGCTTCTCGTTGGGCTTGGCCTCCTGCTTGGCCTTGCGGAGCTTCTTGATCAGACCCATGGGCTTGCGCTTGAGACCACGGTTGAACCGACGGCGAGCGCGGGCGTGAACGACATCGCGGAGCTGCTCGGAGGAGAGATCGAGGAGCCTGGTGGAATGTGTCAGCCAAAGAACTCGAGAGAGCTCATGGCGAAAAGAGTGTATGTTGTCCGTTGTACTCACTCGTCCAAATCAATGCCGCGGTAAGAGAACTTGCGGAACGCTCTCTTTCTCTTCAGCTCTGTTGCAAATATCTGATCAGCATATGTCCTCCTTCCAACGCCCCTTGGTGGCCTGTCCACAGGGTTTTATCCATCTGCGACGCCCACGACGAAGGGCACGACAGTGTGTGATCGCATACCGGCAGCCTCCTCAGCGTTCTGCGACTCGTTAGCATCGTGGCAAGCGGTTGTGGCGGATCGAGCAGACTCACGTATTCCTCGTCAGCCATGGTTGCGGTGGTGGGCGATGGGCGGATGAAGTTTGTCGAATGTCGCTGACTGAATGATGTCCAGCGGATGGAGGATTTTGGGCAGGTGCGCTGGGGGAAGGCTTGGCAGCTGAGCGGGTTAGCCCGTAGCCGAACATGTACCGAACATTATTGACGACCTTGAATACCATTAAGCGTATCAAGCGACACTCAGATCCTTCAGTATGCATGTTACTAGATTCGACGAAGAGGGCATGACATTAGTTTCTTGGGTCTGCTCACTTCGGGAGAGCGCTGCGCCTCTGCAATACACCTTGAACTACACTTTTGGAACTACCTTACGAAGCCACACTACGAGCGAATCAGTAATGAGCGTTACCGAAAGACGGCTCACGTATGAACATCATAGCCCCGCGAGACTTCATTCGCAAGAATCCTTTCGCGCATACTAGAAATTGATTGGTGGCAATGGCACTGAAAGTGACACTTGTCGCAGCGAATGCAAACATAAAGGCCAACAGAAAAGGGGCAGGAGGATGGGTTGGCATCGCCGAACGAATCGGCTTCATTGCACTCGAGATATCTGCGCGCTCATTCCCAGCCAGCAAAGCCTTTCACACGCGAAACAGCGTATGGTCCCTCGGCTTGTCTTTCGCATTATCCCTTGCCGTCAGCCTGCCCAATGCATACTCGATTTCCCAATGCGAGACGCTTAGTCGAAGAGACCGAAGCCCATGTCCTCGTCAGACTCCTCCTTCTCTTCCTCCTTGGCTTCCTCCGCTGGGGCCGCGTCGGCGGCACCACCGGCGGCAGCAGCACCGCCAGCAGCAGCAGCTGGACCAGCACCGCCAGATGGGACGGATGCGAGCTTAGACGAACCCTCGGTGATCAGCTGGAGCACAAGTCAGTAAGAGAGCCCATATCCAAATTATAGGCTTTGTCAAGCCATCCCAAATGGAAGTAGTACCTCTTGGATGTTCTTGCCCTCGAGCTCGGAGAGGAGGGTGCTGAGACGCTCCTCGTCAGCCTCGATGCCGACAGCGCTCAAGACGCCCTTGATGTCCTCGGCGCCTGGGGTCTCGTTGCCCCCGAGCTGGAGAAGAAGGTATGCCGCTAGGTGCTTCATTGTGGTGGTTTCTGCAGGGAGTGGTTAATACTGTAGTGTTTCGATACGATCTGGGACTTGCGACGCACTGGAAGGGTTTTGGGTGTTGGAGAAGGAGAGAATCAATCAATTTAAGCGCTGACTTGTGCGCGGACTGAGTTCTTAACCTTCGGCGGTTTTGGTTCGTGAAGTCGAAGTTCGCGGTGACAATTTGGGCCAGGTGGGTGGTGTTTCAAATCTTGGCACATGCACGGTGCGGCCCGTATTAGTCATGGTCCCGCGCCGATGACCCCGTCTGCTGCGAGCGGCCAAGTATTGAAACGCTCTTCATTGTTCGATCTTCTTCTACAGCACTTACAACAACATTGATTCCTCTCTGCCGCACTTGGGCGCCGACGCTTGAGTGTGATGATCTGGATATGCGCATTTTCTGGTCTTTTGCGAAGTCGAGATAGGGATTCTCTGCGAACGCGGACAACATGACTGTACGTTTTGGTGTCCATTCTCATGGTTATGACCACACGCTGACTCGCAGAAAGTCCTTTTCCTCTCTTCTTTCCTCGATCAGCGGCCAGCCTGCAACCCCTCAGCCAAAGACACCTACCTCAAGACCGAATGGTGCATCCGAAGCAGCTAGACCTCAGGCTCCGACAAACGCGGCAAAGCCAACCCCGAACAATGTGGCGGCAGGCGTCAAGCGCAAACCAGAAGACCAGGTGGCTGCTGGGAATGCGAAGGTTTTCAAGACGGAGGTAAAAGTGCCGGTACGGTCATCGGGACAGAGCACACAACCTGCCGCGGCCAAACCAGCGCTGTCATCTGTAGCTGGACCCAATGGTGCTTATCGCGGCACAGCACGGCCTGCTGGAGCGGTGAATCCCGCCAAGCCTATTTCGAAGCCAATTGCCAAACCAAATGCTGCGACTGCCTCGTCGACGGCAGCATACCCGACACCTGGGAGCCCTGCAACTCAACCGAAGAAGGGATTCGCTTCTATCATGGCGCAGGCTAAGGCCGCACAAGAGGCTGCCAAAGCTGCTGGTCATAGTGTGATCAAGCATAAGCCCGTGGAGAAGATGACCAAGCGTGAGCGTACTAAGATGCAGGAAGAGGCTGCGTTGAAGCAGAAGACTGGCGGGGCCGTGGGCAAATTGGCTGTCAACGATCGTAGCCGGAGCAATACTCCGGTGGATGCCAAGAATGGTCTACAGAAGAAGGCACCTGCGTCGACCTACAAGGGCACCATGAAGAAGAATGTCGAGAGACAGCAATCTACGTACAAAGGCACCATGAACAAGGCCGCCCCTGCAGCCGCGCAGTCCAAACTAGCGGGCAAGAAGAACAGCCTTGCGCAAGACAAGTATGGCGGTTACGCCAGCTGGGACGATCTAGACGAGGCCGAAGACGAAGAAGAAGAAGAAGAAGGGTACGACTCAGAAGGCTCATCCGACATGATGGATGCTGGCTTCGATGATATGGAGCGCGAGGAGACTGCTGCTCTCAAGGCAGCCCGCCAGGAAGACCAGGAGGCTCTGGAGGAAGAGGAACGTCACCGACGGGAGAAGCTCGAACGCAAGAAGAAGTTGCAGGCTCTTAGTAGGAGCGCTGCTGCGAAGAAGAAGTTCTGAGTTCTGTAAAGAATTGATGCACTCACGTGACATGAATTGGATAACCGGAGTTTTCAGCGCGGCTGGAAATACCGCATTATATTGCATAGCCGGATCCTTGTTTAGCGAATGGTGTTGGTGGAGTTACAAGTGTGATTAGGTTTGAATAACACTCAATGTGTATAAGCAAGTTACCCAACGGCACCGGCCTTCACTTTCACGGGTAGCTGCTGCGCCTGTTTTCCCGCCTCTGTGCCCTCTTCGCAATATACTGTTCTCGGGGTAGCCACACTCGCTCGCTCCGAGAGCGCCTCTTTCGATCCGATTCCCATCGAGTTCGTTGCAGGGCCCGAGAAGTTTCCAGCTCAGGCTCTTCGTCTCCTGGAGATCCCCGCCGGCGTTTACGCTGGTGTTTTGGATTGGCTGCTCTGTACTCGATCTTGTCCTGGCGCTTCCAAGCCTTGTACCTCTCATACTCCTTCTTCGCCTCGAGCAAGTCAATGCTAGCCTCGACCTGCAGCGCATTGTCGTGCACATGCTGATCAGCCAGAATCACGTGTAGTTCGCGATAGTGCTGCAGGTCCGGGAGGCCTTCGCATGTGAACGCTGCCCCCAAGCAGCTATTGCCGTCCTCGTCTTCCTCTTCTCCATCGATGTCGAGGAGCACTATTTCCTGAGCGAACATCCCAAGCCAATTTTTGAGCTCTGGGTCCAACACGCTTCTTTTCGCGAAAGCGAGGATGTATGTGAGAATATGAGTGGGAATATTTCCCGTCTGAACGCTACTAGGCTGGAACGTGGCCGCTATCTTCGCAGCTACCGTGATGAAATCTTTGGTGAGTGGCAGTTCCGCCTGGAACCAATACTTCCGCAAATCCATCATCGCCAACGCTAGCCGCGGATCATTGCGCTGCACCGTTTCCTGCAGTGGCGGGTAGAGCTTGTAAAGACCATTCGCGACAAGAGCGTCGAGCGAGGCTGTCCGTGAGTCCTTGCCTGGAACGACGCATTCCATGGAGACAACGACGTCCGAATACTCTCGCACGGAGCCATCGCTTCTATTTTGAAGCTCTAAAGCGCTCTCTTTCATCATCGACGTCAGGGTCTGAAACCCAACCTTTCCTCCCTGCGGCGTTCTGGCGCTGTCAACGTCTATGCAAATGATGTTGATTCCGGTTTCACCCTTTGCTTTCCGATAGAGGGCGACTTGCAACGCGAAGAGGAGCGAAGTCGTAAAGAATACGAAGAGGTTGTCGGGAAATTCATGCTTTTTCCAGAGCAGGTGGCTCTTTAGTTGGAGTTTTAGATTTGGGACGTTCTTTGGTCGACTGTAGTCCTTTGCGTTTGACAATTTTTGAGCCGCCGCCGGTGCAAAGAGAGTCTCTGCGTTGATTGCATAGGATTGGTCGCTCCAAGCTCGAAAGATATAGGGCATCTTGGTTTCGTCAGAAGGCTCGTACGCCGGTGGAGTGCAGAGCCAAGCTAGAAGTCCGATTTGGCGGTGTTTCGAGGAGCTTGATACGGACAGGCGCTGTAGATGGTGTTGAGCTAGTATTTTTGACGTAAACGTAACATCCTTCTTCAATGCGGATAGGGAAACTGAAATTCTGATGAAAGGTTGTTTCAAGAAGGAGCAGATGTGTGTTGCGAAGTGCATCGAAAGTGCAAATGGAAGACTAGCTGCGCTGACATGTGATTGCCAACCCCTGGACGGAAGTGAGATGTCATTTCGGTCCTTGCCATCTGCTCCTGATAGAATCTGGCCGAGATATCTGCCTGCAACTGAAGGCGAACTGAGGCATATGTCTAGATCGTTACTCCGCTTTGCTCTGCGTCGTGATTGCCGTGCTGCGGACAGGCTAATCTGTCTGTGACGACGAGATAGTGAAGCTTCAAGGTCGGACCAGATATCCGATTTCTTCGATCTGCTCACCTCCTTCGTAGAATAGAAGAGCTACCAGCAAACACCGGGCAGATTTGTCCGCCTATATTTGCAGTCAGGTTGTCTCCTCGTCTCTTCTGTTCTGACCTGCCGACATTCACATGTGCACCTACCGCATCATCAAATACGTCTGCGGCTGCGAAAAGGAGGAATTCACCAAGATTTGTGGAGGCTCTGACGAGCCTGGAGGTGGTTGCGATATTATCCGAGGGGCCACGTTTCGACCTGGCAAGATCTGTTCGAAGTGCCGAGGGGAGAAATATTCCAATGTATTGAAAGTTGGGTCGAATGCCGCAAGCGGGTTTGCGTGGTTGTGGTCGAAGTTTTAGAGGGTCTTGGTTGGACAGATCCGAGGTCCAGTGGCAGAAAATTGAGTAATGTCTTGGTGATTCTACGATAGGTCAGCAACGGTAAATGTTGGGAGAAAGTAGATATGGAATGAGCATCCCAATCCTCGCTTCTCATTTCTCTCTTATTTCTTTAGCGGCCTGGCAAATCTTTCGCATGTGCTACTGCCAACCTATCAGTAGATCAGCTGCCTGTGTAGAGGAAGCAATGGACTCGCCGTTCTCGTTGCGGGAAGCACGGTTTGAGTTGAGATTCATGGAATCTAGACCCGCTCGTTCTCCGAACTCTGTCTCGATTTGCTCTGCGCGGATTCTATACAGAAGTGGATAAGATTGTAAATGCGAGGGGACGCCGGCTTCTGTGATATTTGTAGGAAATGGATTGATCTCTGAGCATTCTGACTCCCTTTGGATGGTCTGAATGGATACTAGGTTCAAACCATTAGCAGCCGACACAGCGATCAGCAACGACAAGCGACGATATGCGGTGCTAGAATACTCGCATCGGCGTCGACGGTGCATGTCCACAAAGCTCACGAGACCTTGAAGGATACTGATCACCAGTTCCAAGTGAGCTCTGTTCAACATGGGAGACTGTTTCGGCTAGACTCTACAGCTGCTCGCTCGTGTATCCTACATATTTACAGGGCTTCTTGGAGGAGCTTGTTCATTTTGGCCATCTTAGAGGAAACGCTGAGGTCGATCGTACGGTCGCCAATCTCGACAACGAGACCGCCACGGATGTCTGGGTTGACCTGTAGACAGTCAATCAGTAGGCGATGAGAATGTAATGATGTATCTTAACATACCTTGGGCACAACCTTCAGCTTCTTGTTCGCACCGACATACTGGCTTTTGCTGACCGCAGCCTCGAGCTGCTTCACGATCTTGTTGTCCAACGGCGCAGCAGAGGTGATGGTCATCTCCACCTCACCCCTCGAAGCGCTGATCAACTGCGCAAACTTCTCGCACACACCTTCCAGAACGCTGAGGCGGTTGTTCTCGGCCAGAGTGTTCAGGAAGTTGCCGATGGTCTTGTCCTGGACATTGGTCGTCTTTTGAATCTCGGCGACGATCTGCTTCTTGTCATCGGCGGTAAGCGTGGGAGAGCTCAGGATGGTCTGGAGGCGGGCATCGTTCTTGAAGGTCTGGGTGAGGCTCTCGATGGCCTTGGAGACGCTGTCGAGGCTAGAGGACTTGGCGGCGGCGGTGTACTGCCAATGGCTGGGTTAGTGACTGGTCTTGTTCCATCTGCATCTTCTGCGGATTGTCACTGGCATACCAGAGCGGAGGCGTAGGTGCCATCGACGCCGAAGAGCTCGATAGGAGGCTTGGTGTTGGAGACAGGCTTTGCGGCCTCGGCGAAGGTGCGCGTGGCCGCGACCTGGAATCGAGGAGCTGCCACTCGGAGCGACCGAGCTGCGACACGGCCGGCGAACATGATTGCGGTGGTGTGGAGGGTAGAGCGGCGAATGAATGGGTGAGGGTGGACGTAGTGCTCGACACTCGCTCTCTCCTCCCGCAGCCCGTGCAGCTCTTCGCATGATGTTTGTGACCGCGGCACTTTCCGTGCTTTGCCGGGGCGGCCAGCCACACCCGAGATTCAGAAGTCTGTCAGACCTCACTCGACGTTCACACACTGCTGTCTCTGTGACGAGGACGCATCTCTCATGAGATATACCAGCGAAGATTATCGTGCGATCTTTCATACGACTCCTCGATTGCGCGAGCACCTTTGACGGCCCCCTTGATCGCAAACCTCGAGCAGAGCGCCGGTCGAGGTCCAGATGGTTGAGAGCTTTGGGACGGTTGAGGCTTGGAAAAGGGACAGGAGAATATTCGGTGAAGAGTGGAAGCAGAAAGCATGAGACATGCGATAGGGCATAGATATCCGAATCAGTACATGTCGGCGAGACTTAGTGTCAAGGGGTACTCCATGAGCCTCTCAACTCATCGTCCGCGTTTGAAAACTCAGTAAGCGCTTGGCTTGTGGGAACACATGGAAAGCAGACATCTCTTCGACGGAGAAGCTGCCATTATCTATCTAATTACGCGCAGGACGCTATCGTACATACAGAAGGCACCTTAACTATCCTCCAAGTGCGAATTTCCTCAACGACTCTTTGGTGACCTGAAGGCGCACTTAGGCGTTCTCTTCTTCGGCCGGCAGTCCGCTCGTGCTCTCCAGACTGACGCACCCACGCGCGCTCTCATTGAATTCTCACACCGTCTCGCAGAGGCCTCGCAGTACCGGTCCTCGATGTACACGGAATTCTATTGTAGCTACAGGAACAGCCTTTGCCTCTATTGTCACTAGACAATTTGTCCAATGGGATCCACAATCGTGCTGCGCCTCCCAGCCATGCCCATTTGCAGGATGCCAAATTCGGCCACTAGCGGCTTTCAGCATGGACCCTTCCTACGATTCTTGGCGTCGAAGTGTCAACAACACCTCCTCGCAAGCAGACCTCACGAGCTCGCATTTCGCGGAAACATAGTCGATTTAGACGTGCTGAGTTGGACAGGATATTGCGCGTCAGCGCGAATAATATCCACTCAGTCTTGCGCTTCTTTGGAGAGGATCTGATTTTCGCGCAAGCTTGAGCTCAGAGTCTCTCACTTCTTCTCAGAGCTTCACTTATTCAGCGAGCTCGAGCCACCATGTCACGTTATCTTCCTATTGTCGAATCGGTAGGGCTCTTGCTATTGTGAGAAGGGCATTCAAGAATTTCTTTTCCTCCGAGCAAGCTCTTCCTCTTTCCTCCACTCGACATCAACTTCCACCCCTGTTCAGACTCTGAAAGCTTCACTTCTCCTTGTACATTCCATTCACCAGCACACATTTCAGCATCAGCACAGGCTATATCAAGCGCAGGCGCTTGAAACTCACACCCATTCATCGGTAAGCACGCGCACACCACCAGCGCCGCCATTCACCTCCACTGACTACCTCAAGGCACATCGCAACCGCGCAACCAACATCAGCACTACATTCTTCTCCAACAACAGTCCGAATCTGTATCAGAGCGATAGACATATTCACTTCCAGCAGAATCAGTATCAGGTTCTCACAGGTGCGCCCTTCTCACCTCGTCGCAATTTCCGCCTTGCTACTTTTTACTGACATCAAGAACAGAGAACCTATTCAACAGCGCAACAACAGTTCCTTTACACCAGCCATCACCAGGAAAATGGGCTGTGACAAACTCGGTCACCGTCACTGCTGGCCAACCAGCGGTACCCTCGTCATTCAGCGCTGTGAGACGCGCTGCAATTTCTGTGAGGGACCAGCTGCAAAGAAGACCTGGAAATATGCGTGGTTCTTACGTCGCCATGTTCGCTCGGTGCACGTCAAGGACGGCAAGGGCAAATACCCGAACCTGATCGTCCCAATGGACTGGCAAGTCTCCCAACCTCGTTGTCACATGTGATCCCCGCTGACTTCTGCCAGGGACGAGGGCAAGCTTCGCGGCTCTGCCAAACTTCGCGCGGCCGAGATGAAAATCAAGCAAGAGCATCCTGAGCCTGTCTACTACGTTGATCAGCCACACTACGACGAGCAACAGTTGTACAGCGATCAAATGTTCGCACCGGCCTTCGGCCCTTCGATGGGCGGTGATCCAGACTTCAGCCTCGAGGGCCGGCTCATCGATCCCTCCAAGCTGGGCGAGAGTGGTCTGAGCTACGAAGACAACCCGAATGGCTACTTTCCGGCCTTCGCCAATGAGCCGGCTTCCGCTTCCGCTCAACATTGGTCTGTCGACAACATTGACAGCTTCTTGCTCACGAACTCTGCTACCGGCCTCGAGAGGGCCCAAGCCTTTGTTCAAGCCCAGGCTCGCGAGGAGGCTCGCATCCGCGAGGAGATGGGCGATATGACAGACGACAACATGGTCCACAACACCGCCTACCTCAACTCCTACAATGTGAAGATCGAAGACGAGACCGATACGGACGGCTACTGGGACAGCAAACTCGCCGTCGATGATGTTAATGGCTTGCCCAACGGCTTGCCCAACGACTTCTCCTATGGCTTGGCGGATTCAATCGAGCAGCCGCCACAGACCCCACCAGATTCGCCAACATACATTGGCAAGATCGACAACGATCCCGACGACTACCCGGCAGGACCTCGCTTCTTCATGAGCGACTACACTTCTGAGGCCGAAGATGCCGACAACGAGGCATCTGAAGACGACCACGCCGACGCTTATGCTGATGCCGATGCCGAGAACGATGGTGATGACAGTTTCAGCGTCAGCACCGAAGAGGACTTCGAAACCCGTCCGCTTGCCGAGGTCTTCGACCAGTACCACGTCAAGCCGTCGTTCTCCGACCACACGCGCATGCTTGGCCTACTTCACGGCGTTGCCGAGTTCATGGAAGATGCTGGCTTGAGTCTGGAATCGATGATGCCATGCGTCGAGGCCTTTGCACGCGAATTGGCCACCAAGCTTGCGAGGAAAGAAAAGGAATTGTACGAGACCGCTATACGGGCCAATATGGGCTGGTCTTGAACCCACTCACCCACTCGACTTGGCCTCCTGCAATGCTTGATCTTGCCATGCGACGACACTTTGTTGACGAGGCAGACATTGCTTGGAAGTTTCATACGCTTTCGTCACTACGATACCTGCCCTCTGTTGGTGCTTGATCTAGCCATGCGTCGGACCCTTGTCCAACGAGGCTGACGCCGACTGAGGGTCTACTTACATTACGCTTTACACCACAACGACGGCGACATCTTCGCAGGCTTCGCATTTGATTGGGAGAGGGAAATGAGATGGTGTGGTGCTATTCTTGGGACTTTATGAGTGTTTGGGCGAGAGATGCATTGTGATGAATACGCAGATACCTGTAGCTGTCTGTAGAGCATCTCCCTTGCCCTCCTTGAAAATGGTCAAAGCCTGTCATTGTCTCGTGTTTCATGCTTCATATTGCAGCTTTTCAAACATTTCGGAGTGTCTCGTCGTCATGTCGCCGTCGCCGTCGGTGATGCGATTCACTTTCCATCGTCACCCTGCATTTGCTGCCTCGACGGCTCGCTCGAGTCACCATTCGCGCCCAAAGACCTTCTCTCCTTCCCCTTGCTCCGACTCCCCTCCCATGCATCCGCCACACTGCCACCCAAGCTCGCCCTCTCCTTCCCTTTCCGCCCACTCCCTTCTCCGGACTTTTTGGGATGGTGAGCGAGATCCTCCGGCCACTTCACATCATCATCATCATCTTCGATACCAGCTATCAATCGTTGGATGTAGAGACGTGTCTGTGTCATGGTCTGCCGTGAAACCTTATCAGAGAAGAACTCTGTGAATGTGTGAAGGGCAAGAGTTTTACCTCGCATCTTTGGAAAGATAGCCAGCTTAGTTTCTCGTAGCTCTGGAGGATCTCTGCTGCCGCGTTGCGTCTCCGTAGAGAATCGAAGGATTCGGGAGACTTGGCTGTGCGCAGAGGGACTTTCGTTGAGGTGTTTGTCTCGCTTGGAGCCATGGTTGTCGACTCGCAGTGTGGATGACGAGGAATACAGTCTTTTGCTTGCTCGTTTCTGGAAAAGTTTCTTGATGTCGATAGTGGGATGCTTGATGAGCCTCAAGAAGTCTGTCGGAGTTGGAACAGGAGGTCACTTTTCTGGTCTGTAAGAACCCGTGGAGCGCTGCATATGAACCCATGGAAGGTTTGCTGGCGATGCATTTCTTCCCCGGAGATGCGATTGTGAGCGGATATGGCTCTATCGGTGAGAGTTGCTGTTCTTACGGCCGGAATCCATCCTCTTGGACAACGACGAGTCCCAGTCTGGCCTTCTCTCCTTGACACGGTCGAGGTGAGGTCGCAGTCGAGGATGGAAAAGAGTTCGTGTCACTCTGCGCTGGCTGCGGGCGACGCGAGCCGACAAAGCTTGAATCCTCCATCCAGGGCCTAACTCTCACCACACCACTCTGCATCCCACCCACGCGTTTGTCACTGAGAAGCCGGACAGCAATTGCATGGTCTAACAATCATCTTCGTCGCTGCTGGTCAGCGTGCACGCCAATATGCCTCCAAGAATCAATCCCTGTTCCTATCTGCCCCGACGGCTCCAGATCGTGGCCTCCCTGACCCTCTTCGTCCTCTTCTGCATCATCTTCCTGGGCACGTCGAACACCGATGACTTCGATCCTATGCTGGTCAGAGTACCGTACGGCCCGACGTTGCAAGAGGGGGTGCATCATGCAGTATCGGAGGCGCAACATGTCGTGGACCACATCAATCCCTTTGGCACGCCTGCGCATTCTCCGCCCCCTGAGCAGGCGAACAGCAGCAGCGGCGAGGCGAGCTGGTACAGTGACTGGAAGTGGAAGAATCCCTTCAGCAGCAGCGTAGTGTTGGATGAGGAGAGGGCGGTGCTTCCGCCATTGCAGAATAGACCGCCAATCTACGCATATTATGACTTGTCTGCCCAACGGAAAGACGAGAAGAGCAGAAAAGCAGAGTCGGATCTCTTACACATCTGGCGGCGCGCTTGGTGGGCACAGGGCTTCAAGCCGGTTGTTCTCAGTAAATCCGAGGCTATGAACAATCCGCTATACCGCATGGTGCAAAAGATGGAGCTCGATAGGGGGATTGAAAACGAATTGATGCGATGGTTGGCTTGGGGCAATATGGGTACGGGCATTTTGTCCAATTTCCTCGCACTCCCCATGGCGCCGTATGACGATCCAATGTTGAGTTTCTTGAGACGCGGCGAGTATCCCGCATTGACTCGATATGAAGGTCTTGGAAACGGTCTCTTCATCGGGGCCAAGGAACATGTTGAAGCAGCTGTCAAGGAGGCCGTCAATTCGCCCGCCCTGCACCGTGTCAAGCTTATCGAAGAAGCACTCCCTGCTGGGATGATGCAGTCCGACGCGAAGCACGAAGCAATCGCATACTACAGCGATGCAGTCATCAAAGCCAAGTACGCTCCGATCAAAGAAAAGCTCGAGGATTTGACGACTGTAGGGGACGGTCTGGCGATGCTGCCGGACTTGATCAACAGCCATCTGCATCAGACATGGCAAAACACGTTCACGAAAGGCGTTGCCGTACTGAAGCCCATGCCAGAGCACACCTCCGCGATAGTCGAACCCGCACTTGCTATCGCGCGTAACTTGACTGAGTGCGCCATTAGCCCCATGCCGGCATCGTGTCCTCCCAATCGCCCGAGCTGCAAACCGTGCGTCAGTACCTCGATGAAGATGAGTGTGCCAAAGGTGTTCAGGAACGACAGTGCACTCTTCACCATCGGCACGATGCCGCATCCATACACGATACAGAGCGTGGTGAAGTCGACCGACCACCTGGACCTCAAATTCATCCGGAGGGAGACTCAGCGAGACATATGGATCCAAGCGGCGACGAACGAGCTCATTGGCACGGGACAATCCTCGTTCGCCCGCCTGCCCGCCCTGAAAGACGCCGTTGCCTCTGAGTATGGCAGTTCCAGATCGTTGTGGCTCACCGCAGAATGGCCGTACTCGCCAGAGAGCCCGAAGGATCTCGAGGAGCTGGACTGGATATTCGGGTTCCAACTTCCGCGCGAAGCCATGCCCTCCGGTGAGAGCGAAACACCTGTGCCAGGGCCGGAGAGGAGACCCAAGCCTGCGAAGCCGGAATACGGCGAGGGACCCGTACCGACGGACTCGCAACTACAGAAAGAGGAAAGTCTCTTGGAGAAGGCCAAGATGTTTATCCAGAGCGCAGGGAAGCGTGGTATGAAAGCAGCAGTTGATACGAAGGAACAGATTGAAGCATGGAACCTGGCGGACACAGAAGCCTGGAAGTTCATCCGGGCTTACAACGCCAGAAGGCGCATCGAGCGGAGGCAGTGGGAGGAAGAGGAAGCGGTGTACCTGGGAAAGGGCGTGTTGAATCGATGGATTGATAAGATAACATAAGTAGAGCATGTGAATGTAGTAGTATCGAGCGTGGGCGTTCTGGGGCGAGGATTCAGGCTGGCGCCATGTGTGCGAATAAGGTAGTCGAAGTCTAGAAGGAGTACATTTCCCCGTCCTCATGATGTTGCGGGCCTTCGCGTTGATCGCCCGTAGCCCGTCACGCCCATGTCTCCGCGAGTGCTTTACAGGGCGTTGTGAAAAAGGTGGCTTTGTTCGGTTTGCCTCCTGCCGTCGGATATCTCACGAGCCGACGCGGTCATGTCATATTCGAAGGCTGCAGGCTCATGGCCGCACTTGTTGACGGAAAAGCATTAATCTGGGACACAGCAGAATAGAAACATCTGTAGAAACGAGGATAAATGTTGGCCGTGAGATAGAGGTAGCATACCTTATCATATCGGCACGCGAAGATTCCGAGACCACTGCCACAGCCCTACTCAGCCACGCGTGGTTCGATTTTGCTCCTTGACGCCGGCAGGTCCGCAATCGCTCACGCCGTCCATTCAAATCACATCCACCTCAATCTCCAACTTCTCCCATTGCCCAACAATACAACACCGCGATTGAAATCCAGTCTTGCATCATGCCAGAGAGCGTCCGCTAGAGGCATCGTCATTGGGATTTCGTTCCGTTTCGTTCCGTGGCGTCGCGTCGCTCTCGGTGTATTATACGATTGAAGATCTCCCACCTCCGCGACGATGGTTACCTCTTGGCAGGGAAGCTCCTCTCAACAGATGTCTCCCTTTGGCATGCAACTCGACGGCAGCCAGAATCACGAGGATTGGGAAGAGTGGCTGCGGTGGGATCCCACCGCCGAGGCCACTTCTCCCGATGATGGCACCTTTGGCTCAGGGTCCTCCAGGAATAACGACTCGCCCCTCCAGGACCCGCTCTTGCATGACTTTGGAAAGACCGACGATGAAGCGCTTGTACCGCCTTTGATTGTGGGCGACAATAGCCTGGGCTTTGGTACGGCCGATGACCTGGGCAATGACCCCTTCCTCCTCGGAACTGCCACCGATGTCGACCTGGGCTTCGGGATGGACCAGTCCGCTATCGCTACCTTCAATGGAATCTCAGACATACCGAAGCTCGATACGAACACGGCAGCATGGTCTATGCCTTCCGACGTCTCAGGCGAGCCCAATATCCCACTGTCTGCCGTCTCTAACGATCAAAATCAGCAGCCACAGTCTGCCATTTCCTTCACCGCTACCACCCCTAGTCTGCACCACAGTCCGGAGTCTTCATCGCAGAACCGCAACAGCATATCTTCTACTTCACCCGATCCACCAAAGAAGCGAGGCGGAAGGAAGAGGAAAGCAGAGACACAGCTGGAGAAGCCCACTGCAGACAGCGCAGGGAATGGAGACTCGCAGAGCGGTGGGGACGAGCCGGCGAACAAGACTTCGCACAATGTTATCGAGAAGCGCTACAGAAACAATCTCAACGACAAGATCGTCGAGCTACGGAACAGCGTACCGAGCTTGCGTGCGATGGGTCGCGCAAACGTTGGAAAGGAGTCGGAGGATCTCGAGGGCCTCACACCAGCGCACAAGTTGAACAAGGCCACAGTCATGGCTAAAGCGACGGAGTATATCAGACACTTGGAGAAACGCAACAAGACTTTGGCAGATGAGATGGCTACTCTCAAAGCACAGCTTGCCAAGGTAGAGGCTGCAATCGGCAAGTCCAGCGACAGGCAAGCTAGCATGAGCAACAGTCCGCCGTCAACATCTGTGCGATCGCGAGGAGCATCGTCGGCGTCTCAAGGCAGCGTGCCCAATTTCCTCAACGTACCGCAGGACCAGAGTCGCTTCGGTCAGCCGGTGATACAGCAGCAACACACACAGCAACAGGGACAGCCGAGCTACTCACGGCCTCCAAATCCTCCGGTCGAAGCGCAAAACCAGCCTCAGTTTGTCAACGGTAGAGGTGGCGTCATGAACAAGGTTCTTCTCGGCACCATGGCTGGCATCATGGTCATGGAAGGCTACAGCGAACAGCAGTCTTCGGGCCAAGACACATCCGACCGCTCCCTTTTCGCGGTCCCCACCGCTTTCTTCAAGCGTGCCTTAGATGGCGGCGTCTCGGCAGTTCCCAGAGACTTGTCACGACAGGCCATGCTGCCATTGCTGAAGATTGTGCTTGTTGTGGGAGCACTCTACCATCTTCTTGCCCCCTTTCTCGCATTCTCGCCGCGACGCAAGCAGAAGATGCGGACGTCAGCGCAACTGCCAAAGGCTCCCTCGCTGGCCTCGCCAGTCGAGGTACGCCGCAAGGCCTGGGGTACCGCCATACAGACTGTTTGGGTGCCGAAGCATTTCCTGTTGGAGGTCGTCGCGGTAGGCATGAAGATGCTTCAGTTGAGCCTACGGCGACTCATCGGACCGGAAGCCTTCGCACACATTACTGGTACCAACAAGGAGGAAGAAGCTGCTCGAATCAAGGCTTGGGACATCGCCATCGACGCCCAGCTAGCTGGCGGCGATGCAGAGGTATCTTACTACCGCCTACTGCTGACGCTTATGGAAAGTGGAACCCTGCCAGACTCGCCTGCGAGGTTGATGCAGAAGGCCGTCCACTTCCGCGTGTTCTTTTGGGAGGTTGCTAACGCAGGCTACGGCAACATGGTCGGCTTCAAACAGTTCACCGAGAAGGTTGGGAAGTTCTACTGGGACTCTGCAAGAAGGCTCCAGAAAGACCTTGTCCACGCAAAATCATGTTCAAGAGTCGGCAACGATGATGAAGTGGAGGTTCTGCCCGACCACCTTGCCAGACTTGTGGAGCTCGACTGTGACGAAGTGCTGGGCGACGAAATGATCCAGCGAGCCTGGAACTTGGCGTGGAACAAGCCTAGTGCTCACGGCACGATGGCAAATCCAGCCAAGGATAGCGTGGTGGAAGACCATGCCATCCGCTCCCCATTGGACGCTGTGGCCGCCTGGTACACTCACACCACTATCGATGACACGCTAGCCGACGCTTTCAGTGATACCGCATCAACATTTGACACGGAATACTATCTCGGACTTGCTTTGAGTGTTGCGCCGCCAGCTTCTCACACGCACGTTCGTGCACTTGCAGCGAAGGCAGTGCTATCAAACAGCAATCGCGAGGCCAACATCGTGGTTGCGCTGGAGGCCCTACCGGTCCTCTCGCCGACTGGTGGCATGAATCTGGTCAATCACACCCCTGTTGCACCAGATGTCTGCATAGCTTTGACCATTGCAAAGCTTATCTCGCTCTGCTCGCCTTCTTCGTCGAAGACAGCTCGCGACCGTGCACTTGAGGCACTTGCCAGACTCCAACTATCACCGGCCCACTTGACTCTGCTCACAGCGGTTGCTGCTTACCGGTTGCTTCGCCTGCTTCGCGCCCAGCGATATCTTCAGGCCAACACGGAGGCCGGCATGGAGGATCTAGCTGGCAGCCTCCGCGTCTGGGTGGGGACATCAGCAGGCCGGGACAGTGGGTTAGATCGCGAAGGGCGCGGCAAGATTGTCAAGCTGTGTTTGAACGTTACGAAGCACCTGGGAGGTTGGGATGATCAAGACAGTGGGTATGGGTCCGCGCCGAACAGCCAGAGCTCGAGTCCGCTGCGGGCGAATGTAAGCCCTGTCGTTCTCACCTGAAACGCGCGGATGCATTTTGTAGATGCACGCGCCGTAGCTTCCGCAATGAGCAGTCATGAAAATTAGCGTTAATAGATTAGATAATATTGAGGAAAGCACTTCACCTCTTCACGTTCTTCTGAAACTTTAGCCGTGCGCTCGTGCGGTCATTTCACAAGCCGAGAGGCTAGGTACTGTACATGTACCTTACTTAGGAAGAAGCTTTGGGGAGCGCCGTGCTTGTGACCGCTTGCAAAGACATGATCTCACTTCTGTGCAGCACAAACTTTCTATGACCTATGTACAACATAATGAGATGGCCGACATAGCAAACAACCTGCTCGAATGAGGATACTGGACTGGAACGATGAATAACGAAGCGGCAGACCCCGCGGGCGCCGCCATGGCCAACCGAGACGAAGCCATTCCCGTCATTCGCATGCCGTTCATCGAAGACGCAGAGACACCGGCGTGCTCAGGCTCCGAAGAGCAAGTAGAAGAGGCTGAGGGCAAGGCAGGCAAGCGGGACAAACTGAGGGAGCAGGCGAGCCGGATCAAGGACAAGCTGGACACGTACGGCTCTCCCGATGGCAGGCAGAGTCTCCAAGACCGCGTCTTCTCCAGCATCATCACGCAGATTATCGGGAGCGATGCGCCGGCAGAGGGCGATGAGGCCGGTGGACCTCTACCCAGAAAGAAGGACAGACGGTCGAAGAAGTATGTCGACCGGCCAGAGTTTGGACCACGTCTCATGACATACAACTTTCGACGCTTCAACGCACGCATAGGTGTTGTCTTCGTGCTCCAAAACAGGCTGATTCATCTGTTCACATGGCGACGACCTACTGCGACGCTTTCCTTCCTGGCGGTCTACTCCCTACTCTGCTTGAAGCCGCACCTACTACCTCTGGCCCCTCTGGTACTGATATTATTCGGTATCATGATCCCGTCTTTCCTCGCCCGGCATCCGACGCCTGCAAATGATCCTCGCATCGAGCCTAGCTATCGTGGTCCACCTACCGCTCCTGCCAGCAGAGTCAAGCCAGCGCCTGACCTCAGCACGGACTTCTGGCGCAACATGCGAGATCTACAGAATAGCATGGAAGACTTCTCGCGGCTTCATGATGCTGCGAATGAATACATCACGCCCTATACGAACTTTAGCGATGAGGCCTTCAGTTCGACGCTGTTTCTCTTGCTGTGTGTGCTGAGCTGCACGGCGTTCATAGGCAGCCGGCTGGTTCCATGGCGGTTCATTGCCTTGAGCGGGGGCTGGACCGCGACTTTGGCAGGCCACCCGAGGGCACAAAAACTGCTCATGTCCTCCCGCAATCTCAGCCAGTTTCGACAGCAGGTCGATCACATGCAGACTGCTTTGCGCAATTTTGTGGAGAATGATGCGCTCATGGATGACCCTCCAGAGCTGCGGCAGGTGGAGATATTCGAATTGCAAAAGCATCATCCCGAAAGCGACACGTGGGAGTCCTGGCTCTTCTCTCCCAGTCCATACGATCCGCTGAATTCCCAACGCATGTCTGGTGCTCGACCCAAAGGAACCCAATTCTTTGAAGACGTCCAGGCTCCGGCTGGGTGGGTTTGGAAGGAGAAGAAGTGGAATCTCGACCTCTTCAGTCGTGAATGGGTGGAGCAGCGGATTATCACTGGGGTTGAGATCGAGACGGAGGGCGAGAGGTGGGTATATGATATTCCGCGTGAGGAAGTCGATGAGCTACTGGAGTCGCCGACTAGGAACAAGAAGAAGCGAGTGCGAAGCATTCCGAAAAGCGGATGGGAAGAAGGCACGGGTCTTGGTCAACGGGGCGAGTGGAGGCGTCGTAGATGGACGCGGCTGGTGGAGAAACACTCTTCAACTGCTGCATCTACTGCGGACAAGGCGCCTGGCTGAATGACGGATATTTGGGGCCATTGTTTGACTTTGGCTGCATCCTTTCAGCCCGAGGTGCTTCGCTTAGTGTCCGGTTTCGTAAGCCCAGGCGGTATGATATACAGCCTCCGCCGTAGCGTCGCAGGTCGGCTCATGGTCACGATCTCCGTGCAGCATTTCCCCTTGCAGCAGTCACGCCGAAGGAGCTGAACATCGCTTTCCGCCGGTGGCGTTTGCGATGCGCCAAGATTCAACCAACAAGGCAGCCGTAGACTGATACGGAGTGGAGGCGAAATCGTCCCGTTCTTCTTCACACACACACAAGACAAGACACAGTGCATAGAACGTAGAACGTACGTGAGTGCAGCACGTGAGTGGCACAGGCATGCAGTCCGCGTCGTCCGCGGCCTTCGGCCAACGACTCACACGTCCATCGCAGCTCTCTGTCTTCCAAGCGCCGCATTGGGATGAACGCAACTACTAATACTATCATGTCTCGGGGCATTTGGCCTTGCTAATATATAACAATCAGGCGTTGTAGAGCTGGCGAAGAGCTTATCTGCCCACACGCAATAGCGTCCTTGGCGTCAGCTGATTCGTACCTGTATCGAGCCTCCTTATCTCTGCGACGCCCTTGAAGGTTCCAGAAGCCTTCCATTCCACGGGTCACACGAGCCAACAGACATCACGGCTCCAGGGACAACAAAAGCCCAGCAGACAGTTGCGCCGCATTAATGGTCTCTTGTCTAATGCACTGCGGCGAGATGCGATGGTCTTCCTTCTATGCACATATGTATGCGGCGAGGTCATGTACGGCGGTCCTGCAGCCAATCGCAGCGCTCCGGGACGCGACCCGAATCGCGACCACCCTACCGTACCCTTATCGGTGAAGAATGGACGGGACAAACAAAAACCGCAAACCAATTTCCTCTGGTTCTGGACCCTCGTATGGGCGTATGGGGTCGTTATTGGTGGATGCGTATCTTCAGGGCTGAATGGGGTCTGGCGAACTCACCCAAGGCATGCCAAGGCATGATCCCATGCTGAGCTAGTGGTACTAGCCGCTTGCTGTGAATGGTGTACTTTAAATGAGAGCACACCCACGTGTGAACTGGTGCTGGTGCCGGTGCTTGTGCTTGGTGCTCGTGCTTGTGCTCGTGCTTACATTCTTGGACAAGGAGACCTGCTCTGGACCTGGCGGCACTACACTTCTCCAACAACCCTCTCCGCCTGCCACTGCCTGCGCCTCTCGGTCGGCCATAGGATCGGACAAGAAGAACAGAAGCCATGGATCCGGAAAAGGGCACGTATGCCGTCAACTCGGCCGCCAAGGACGAATATGATCAAGCGAGAGTGGCTTCCGGCGAGATGGACGTGAGAAGAGGCTCTGTCGTGCTCGGCGAGGCAAAAGAAATGTACGGGGAGGATGCGGAGCGTAAGTGCTGGAACAACCTCTCAACCGACATCTGACGAGCTTCTTCGCGCTAATGGCAGTGATGCTCTCCAGAATACGGTTATGTCTCCCGTGGGCTCAAGTCGCGGCACATCCAGTTCATCGCCCTCGGAGGCACAATCGGAACTGGATTGTTCCTGGGTATTGGCAAGGCGTTCGTCATGGGCGGTCCTCTCTCCGTCCTCCTCGGATACTCGATGACTGGTATTGCAATCTTCGCCATGATGCAATGTCTGGGAGAAATGGCGACTTGGCTCCCTCTTCCTGGCGCTGTGCCGCAATACTGTGCGCGATACGTGGATCCTGCCATGGGTTTCGCCGTCGGCTGGAACAATTGGTATTCGAGTGCCCTCACGCTCTGTGCGGAGATCAGTGCCGCTGCGATTGTGATTGAGTTCTGGAACGACTCGATCAACCAGGCTGCTTGGATCAGTATCATTCTGGTGGTAATAGTTTGCTTGAACATCTTCGCCGTGAGCATCTACGGAGAGGCAGAATTCAGTGAGTGGCCTCTGCAAGGGTTTTCCGTGTCGATGGATGGCTAACAGCGTTCGAAATAGTCTTTGCATCGATCAAGATCATCACAATCGTCGGCTTGATCCTTCTTGCTCTCATCATCGACCTGGGAGGTGCACCCGGACAAGACCGCCTTGGATTCCGATACTGGAAGCACCCCTGGGCTGCTATGCGAGAGTATATCGGTACTGGCAATACGGGCCGCTTCGCCGGATGGTTTGCAACCTTGTCAAACGCCGCGTTCGCATACGGAGGTGTGGAGATGGTCGCCGTCGCCGCCGGTGAGGCCGAAAACCCACGCAAGAACATTCCCAAGGCCGTTAAGAGAGTCTTTTGGCGTATTCTTTTCTTCTACGTGCTCGGAAGTTTAGCCATCGGTGTCACCGTCCCAGCAGACGACGATAATCTCCTCAATGGTGGTCCTGGAGCCGGCTCTTCTCCATGGGTCATTGCCATTACCCGTGCCGGCATTCCTGTCTTGCCGTCTATCATCAACGCCGTTATCCTCACCTCAGCCACATCATCCGGAAACGCCTTCCTCTACACCGGGTCTCGTTACCTCTTCGCCCTCGCTCAGAACCGTCAGGCCCCACGCTTCCTCCTCTACTGCACCAAGGCGGGAGTACCCATCTGGTGTGTCCTCATCACCGCCTCCATCGGCCTCCTCACATACATGACCGTCTCCACCGGCGCCTCTTCCGTCTTCGACTGGTTCCAGACCCTCACGACCATCACATCCCTCTTCACCTGGGTGTCCATCCTCGTCGCTTTCCTCCGCTTCCGCGCCGCCTGCATCGCCCAGGGCGTCCGCACGGAAGACATGGTCTTCAAATCCCGCTTCCAGCCCTTCACCGCCTACGCCGCCCTGATCTTCTTCGTCATCATCATCCTCTTCAACGGCTTCGCCGTCTTCACGCATAACACGGACGGGTCGTCGAATTGGGGCATCCAGGACTTTGTGACGGCCTACGTCGTCATCCCGATCTATCTGGCTGTACGTTGACTCTCTTCCCTTCTTTTTTTTCAAAAAAAAAAATCTTTGCATTTCCGCGTATGTTTAAACACAGGCCGTGACTGATTTTTTTTTCTTGTTGCAGTTCTACCTCTTCTGGAAGATTGTCAAGAGGACCAAATTCATCAAGGCTGCGGAAGCGGATATCTGGACTGGCAAGGTAAGTAATAAGAGATCCATACACACCAAGAGAAAAAAAGAGAAAAAAAAAAGAAAGAAAAAAGCAAAAAAAAGTCATCGATTCTTTTTCTTTTCCTCTTCCCCCACCTCCCCTCTTTCTCTCTGAACGTCAAGGCTAACCTTTGGTCTTCTTCCTTTCTCCACACTAGGCCGCCCTCGACGCAGAAGTCTGGCCCGAGCAGATTCCACGGAACGTGTGGGAGAAGATCTGGTTCTGGATCGCCTAGTCAAGGTATCCAGATTGATGTCCAGTCCAGCAAGCGCGTTTTGCTTCTTTCATGATTTGAAGTTGGAGGGCCCAAGAGATAAGAAGAAACAAGAAACAAGAGCGGATTATGTATGATGCGTATAACGAAAAGAAAGCTGAGCAATTTCAAACAGACAATAACGTTCGGAACAGTATCTATCAGTCAGTTGTTCCCCCCCCTCTTTTGCCGATGACGAACAAGCCGAACGCTTTTGGCGATGCAAGAAATCTGAAATCTCCATCTCAATCGCCTTGGAAGGATGCTCCGGGTCGATGTGCTTCTGTGGCACGCGGGTTCCGACGCAATTTTTTTCGCCAACCTGAGGCAGGACGTGCTGTTTCTTCAATCCTCAGAGCTTCACTCCAAACGGTCTGCAGTACTGACGTGGAAAAAGAATCGTGAGATATCTAGGCTCAATTCGACCATGTTTCACATCACTGTCGTATTCTCATGCATTTAACGGATATGTTTTGTTTTTCAGGGGCGGCGAACCCCTCTCTCCCCCTCTCTCCCTCCCTCTCTCTCTCTCTCTCTCTTTCCACTGGTATCTGAACAGAGTTGATGGATGCTTTGCAGCAGGAAACTTTTTTAAACTAAACCAAGCAAAGACCCCCGCCGTCTTCCACCTTCCAAACCCCAGCAAGACCCTGCTTGACATCGCCTTCGAACCCATGCACGGCGCCGCTCTTCTTGCTCAGCAGACGTCGCGTCCACGTGTCGATGGCAGGCTCAGCCGTCTCGTCACGGGCTTGGCGCAGGAAGGGGATCAAGGAAGTACCTCCCGTACCCGTCAAGTCCTCCTTGCCCTCGTTCTTGCCGTCTGTGGAAACCGGCTTGGATCGATGCGCCAGGTTCACCTTCTTCGATTGCTCCCCGGAAGGCTTCTGCTCGCTCTCGCGTTTCTTGGCCGCTGCGCTCTGCACGATGATGTAGCGGCTGACAATCTGAATGTGCTTGTCTCGGAATGTACTCAGCATGGCCAGGCAGGCATCGAATGCCAGCGTCAAAGCACGGTCGTAGTAATGCTGCTCGACAAAAGCCCGGATGTTGGCCACGCGAGAGACCTGCTCCAAGAAGCGTGCGTGGGGTCCGGGCATGTACTTGCGCATTTCGTGAATGAAGTTTGAGTCCGGTGCCTTGGACTTCTTGCTGTCCGGTGGAGAGTCCGGTGCCTTCTTGGCTCCGGTAGGACGATGTCGGACGTCCAAGACGATGTCGAAGAACTGGATGATGCTGGACTGCGCGTTACTGCCTCCGCTGAATTGCACGTAACGCTGCTTGTTCACTGGACCGCCGTCGTCGAAGATGACGCCATTTGGCAAGCCGGCCTCTGCCATATTCTTACTGCCGGCCAGGAAAGGTCGGATGCGGTTGTAGAAGACATGGGGATCGCAGTTGTCATGCATGCGAGCGAGCATGGCGATCAACCCATCGAGGCGCTCCGCAAAGCTTCTTAAGCACTCCGTGACGGCTGCTTTGTCATTCTCTTCGGCAGCCTCCATCGCACGCAGCATCAGAGGGACAACGGGGCCAGCCCGAGCCTCAATGGCAATGCTGATGAGATAGAACCACTTCTCGTCCATAGACCCAGTAAATGTATCGATGGTGTCTAGATTCGCGAGTGTATCGGAAGGTTCCGAGTGGAAGATTGGTTTCCAATTCCACAGCACAAGGCCCGCATATGTAGCGACGGGTGGTAGCTGGAGACGCTTACAAGCCGCCAGGAATGGAATCGTGATGGAAGGCGGCACGCGCTCCTTCGGCTTGTTCCCTCCCCAGATGTATGCATGTGCAATGAATGCAAGCACGCTGTATGCCCTGTGCCATTCCGCATCATCGGCCAAGTGTTCGGTCGAGAGGACTGGCAGGTCGTCGACCACCTCGTGCAATCTCTTGCTCAGAATCAAGCCCTGCAGATTCTTCATGATGTACTCCCATTGGTGGTAGTATGGATTGGGGAGGCTCTCCAGTGGGGCCTTGCTCGGCAGGAAGCCATTGGTCGGGGAGACATTGTAGTCTTCGGGCTTTGGAAGTGGCAGCATGTTGATTCCACCAGACGCAGGCTTGCTACGTTGGAGACCTCTGCAATGGTCTTTGCCTAACGTTGCAAGCCCAGCCGTTCGGTATTGATGGAGGGGTGCTCTATGCGTGGAGGAGCGTTCGCCGAGCCGCGGGACTGTTGTTTCCCTAGGAAGCACGTGTCACGGAGGTCGTGTCAATTATAGTGTAGTGATGTGATGTGATGAAGACGTTCTTGGTGAGGTGGAGGCGGGGCGCATTGGAAGGAGAGGAAGAAAGTCGAGAGAGATTGTGTGTGCAGAGGGTAAAGGCGTGGCGTGGCGTCGCGTGGTGATCGTCGGATGGAGGGCGGGAGTAGTGAATCTAGAACGGCAAAGATGGATGACGAATTCGCAGAGAGTGGCCTCGGGGATCTGTACCGACCTTTTCGCGAGGTGAGGTCGCGGGGCGCGGATTATTATTGTCGTGTGATGCTCTTTTCTTTGATTAGAAAGCCGCCGCACCGCAGTCTCTTTCCTGTCAACTCCGCCTACTTCCGCTCGCCCTCGCCCTCGCCCTCACCCTCACCCTCCTCCTCATCAGCACCAAGCGCCGTTCGTAGTCGGCAGAATGGGCGCGATCCTTTCTGTTGGCGTGACATGGTATCGACTTGACTGTGTATTTGAGGTGTTGTATCCTTCATAGACGCCTCTCGTCTGGTCGACAGCGGTGTGTGCCGCGACATTTCAATTCCACTGCAGCCATCGTATCCAAAAATTCGACGCCTGAGCATGAGCCTGAGCTTGAGCCCGAGCATGCGCTTCAGCTTGAACATGCGCTTGAGTCAATGCGAATGCACGTATCATATGTTGAACAATAATGCTCGAGCGGTCGACCGGCACCCTCATTCATCTACAGAGCGTGTCACGTGCGCCAAGAGATTCTTCCACAACCGCTCTCTCTCTCTCGTGCACCGAGAAGAATTCTTCGGAGGTCCGACTGACCTTGCATCTTGGGAACATGAATGCCCCTCTAGAGACATGTAGAACCACGAAGCAAATGGGTTCACAGACGGGAATACAGGATCCCATGAATTGACCTCGTGGTGATGATTGTCAAGGTATATATATTATGTTTGGTCCCAGGACTTTATCGATCACGGCGAAATGGCCGTTGATGAATGGGCAAGATGGCCGAGTGGTTATGGCGTGTGACTCAAGCGAAATGCTTCTTCGATGCACTCGGGGTTTCTCATGGGCTTTGCCCGCGGGGGTTCGAATCCCCCTCTTGTCAATACTATGCTCACTCTCAGGGAGGGGTTGATTTTTTTTTTTTTTTGCGTGGCGGGTGATGCGGGGTCACATGCTCAATCCAAACTACTTGCTGTCTTTCAGCATTAGGACTTTCTACCAGAATATATCTTTTGCATTTGACTACACCAATTGATACTTCATTGCTTGAGGTTATCTAGATCTGGTTGAAGTACTCGTCCGTCGCAGTCGTTCCTGCAAGCATGAATCGCTCATACGTATGGCGGAGCCTCTTGTTGCCGAGTACGCCGAGGGCAACTTGTTGACTGATCGGCAATGCTGTCACTCGGCTCCTTGATGTCCTCCTTGATGTCCACACCATTCGGGCAGCGTTGGTCCGCCAGAGTGCGAGAGCCACCTGTTACATCAGGCTGACTTGAGGTGTCACTTTTGAAGAAATTTCAGCTCTCGTTGGATGTATCGTCGCCCATGGCTTGTCCGGTAAGCTGATGTCGCAAAGCGACGCAAAGCGAAACAAGCCAAGGCACGATGGACTAATAAATGGCGCAGTCTGTCGGGTCAGAACGGTGGTTGGACCTGCTTTCTCCGAGAAGTCATTTGACACGAGTCTATGGACGCGTAGTGCGGCTTGCTGTATCACAAACCGGAGTCGGAGATGCGCCGCCCTCGATCCGTCTTCCGGTTACAGAAGTCATGGGGACACAGGAGGACCAGGACAGCCTTGCGAAAGATCCTGTGCAGGCGGGTCTGTGTCCAAGTCTCACGGAGCCAAGTCGATCCCAAGACTCGCTGTGCGCAGGTTGGCGAGATTCCGTTCACAGTAGTAGTCCGCGTGGGCTACCTCATCATCAGCGTTGGGGCGATGGCAACTATGGCGGAGGTTAATTAGATTGGGGGCGACGGATGATGCTGTGGGAGATGCAGGAGTGGGCTTGACGACCTATATAGATGTTATATGGGCAGTACCTGCGCGATGCGGCGCGATGCGAATGCACAAGAGCGGACGTGTCGAGGGCTGCACAAGGCCGGAATGGTCGGTCGAGTGCTGCACAAGTTATCATGATCACAGCAGGACAGCAGATGGAAAGGAGGGAGGCACTACTACTAGCTGGCACGGAAGATGCAACATGGATGGACATGCGCAGTGGACATGCACATGCTGGGAATGGGGGGGAAGAAATGGCCTGGAGTCCCTGTGCCGGCGCTCGTTGGCGTTGCACATGGGGTGCTTGGCTGCTTATTCTTGAATGGAAGGGTTTGAGAGTGGGCTCACAGGCTCGTGTATATACCTTGGGGATCCGTCGGGCGGAGGAGATTCGACCAGGTGCTGAGACGCTGCACACACGCGATATCGCCACCACCGCTGTTGCTGTTGCTGTTGCCGCTGCTGCTATTGCTGCTGTTGCTGCTGCTGTTCATGGTCTTCACGTTGTGGTATTATTGAATTGCCGTCGATGTGGAGCGAGCGGACAGTCAGTCTGTGGTTGGAATTGGCGGCCTGCGGCATGACCTCACCATACGCGACCGACGGCACAGGCACAGGCACGAGTGCGAGTGCGAGAGAGCGAGAGCGAGACAAGAGAGAGACAGAGGGAGAGACAGAGCAACGGCCGGCAAAGGTGCATCGCTGGCTCACTTCATGTCCCGACAGCTCACGTGCTCATGCTGCAGATGGCTTCACCACCTCAACTTTACCCTCACCCACACCCTCCCCCTCTGTGCGCTGTCTTCTGCGAGTGGAAGCACACCATCACCACTTCTGCCGACTATCCTCCCTCCCACCCTCCGACTCGCCATCTCCCCTCGCCTGTCCCCCCACACCTCCCACACCCCCCGACCCCTTCTCTCCGCTATGCATTGCCTGTCTCAATAGCCACGACCTCCGCGTCGGCAGCAACATGATGGACCAGATCCACGGCGTCGACGTGAGCTGGCTCCACCATCCGCATCGATCCGCCAAGGGTAAGTGCTACAGAGCATGCTCCAAGTGAGCGATAAATGAAATGGGAAGCTCGGCTTGGTTGACTGGACTTGCCCATTTCGCAGATCAGAAGCCCGCACCCGCACCCGCACCCGCACCTACTACTGCCACTGCCACTGCACAGCCCTCTCACGAACGCCATCCCGACCACAACCGCAACCCGTCGCAAGCGAACGGCCATCACGCAGACCAGTCCACCAGCAATCCGCACGAATCACCGAGTCCTCCCGCCGGCCATGACAATCATGGCAAGCACTCGTACTTTCCCGGTCCTGTGACCCCTCCGGCCCTGTCGCAGCCCGTCTCCGACACCATCACCGCATTGCCCTCCACGCCGACGCCTCCAGCGAACACCATCGCCAAGAGCCAGACGAAACGGCCCGGTCTTCGGAGCCGTGGCAGTTCGGAGAAGCTGAACGAAGAAAAGCCTCGTACCCCACGACGTAGTTCTTCATGGATATCCAACCTCAGCAACAAGTTCTCCTCTACCCCCGAGCGAGGCAGCTCTGTACCAGCACAACCAACTCCCCACCCAAGTGCTACCTCTCCCGGTCCCAGCATTGGTGGAGCTCAGAGGCAAAGCTCTCCTGCTGATGCCGAAGAGGCGGAGCCCTACGTCCCGTCAAGACCGAAGGAGTCCACATCCTTCTTTTCCAATCTGACCCGGAAGTTGTCTGCGGGCCAGACGCCTGCCACCCCGAAGCCTGTCGGGACTGGCGGCGTGTGTGAACGCAGAGTGCTCAATGTTGACCCAAACCGTGAACGTTGTCTCGTGCCGGAGTTGGACCCGAGCAGGTTACGAAAAGTTGCCTTTTGCGTAGATGTCGAGATTGCCGGAGGCCCGAGATATCTGGACGAGGAAGACGACGAGCAAGATGGCAAGCGCAAGAAGAGCGATGTGAAGATGAAGGAGAGGGCAGAAGGCGAGGCGTTGAAACATCCTCAGGCACTCAAGGAAGAAAAGGAGGAGCATGGCGAGGTCAAGCTTGAGGGCAAGAACAAGCCACTGCCAATACCTAAAGACATCCCCAACGGTGACAAGCTCCCTGGCACAAGTGTGAAAGCCCAAGACGGAAGCCCCCCCCCAAATGGTAGCCTTGAGAACACTTCGGCGATTGATCGCAAGAAGGAAAAGAAGAAGAAGTCGGAAGAGGAGCGCAAGGAGAGGAAAGAAAAGCGCAGGAAAAAGGCCGAAGAGAATGGATCGATTCCAGTTGAACACTCGTTGGACGATGATGTCGCTTCAGAGAGGGACGCAGACGCCTTCGCATCTTCCCTTTCGAACCGGAAGCCTTTACCGACCTCCAGCAACAATGCACAGCCTCCGATTACGAAATGCGATAGGCCTACGACAGATCCCGTGCGGATATACCGGCGATGTTGTCAACTACGGGAAACGCCGATCCTCAAGCGGATCACAGAGCAGCTGATGGCTCCCACCTGTTGCGTACCCTACGAGCCTGGGGTCGTAAACTGCCTCGATCTGACCGGTTCCAGATTGCAACTCGCGGACATGATCACGCTGGGTGATTGGCTTGCAGTTGTACCCGTCAAAAGACTCTTACTGGAAGACGCCGATCTGAACGATGAAGGCTTGCGCTGCATTCTTGCTGGTCTCCTTGCGGCAAAGAGACCAGAGCCGAACAAACGTCGAAATACTTCTCCAAAGCACCGAGAGCGAATCCAGCCCAAGCATTACCAGGAGCGGGCTGGTGTTGTCGAGAAGATCACGCTGAAGAATAATCCCCGCATTACGCGCATGGGGTGGAAACATATCAGCTTGTTTCTCTACATGTGCAGATCGATCAAGGCCATTGATCTGTCGTTGATGCGATTTCCAGACACCCTTCCGCCGAGCGCACACAGCACACACATCAAAAGCCCTCACCATGCACCAACAGGCCCCGGCCATGACGCAGACGCCGCCGAGACGCTTTTCAGGTGCTTGAGTCAACGTCTCGGTGGTGACAGGCTTGAAGAACTCATCGTCTCCGAATGCAATCTCAAATCACGGCAGATTCGCAAGATTGTGGATGCGGCGATAATATGTGGCATCCACAGGCTCGGATTCGCTGGCAACCACCTTGACGACGAAGGACTCGAAAGCTGCGTGCACTACCTCAAGTCGGGCGTCGGCGGTGGTCTAGACATCGGGGGCAACGACCTCCGTGGCAAATTGGACAAGATCGCGGCCGCCCTCTGCGACAGACAATCTGGAGAAGCCTGTTGGGCGCTCAGTCTGGCAGGATGCAACTTGGACACGGAATCCATCAAGCCTTTATTCCCTGTGCTGGTGACGCTACACGATTTCCGCTTCATCGATCTCAGCCACAATCAAGATCTGTGCGGAAAAGGCAATGGCACCATCTCATTACTGCGCAGATATATAGGCCGAATGAAAGATCTGAAGCGGATTCATCTCGCTGATGTCGGCATGAGTCCGAAGCAGGCGATTGCTTTGGCTGACGTGCTTCCGGAAGGCCCTAAACTTGCGCACCTCAATATACTTGAAAACCCGCAACTGTCAGCACTCGCGAGTGCGAAAGACGAGGCCAGTCAAGGGGAAGCCTGTGCTCTGTATGCCAGCTATATGGCTGCGGTCAGGGTGTCGAACACCTTGATCTGCATCGACATTGACGTAAGTCATCGAAGCTATTTGCTACATGATGAAGACTAATGTTACCAGGTTCCGAGTCCAGACAACAGTGAAATCGTCAAGGCTCTTGCGAAACAAATGGTCGCATATTCTCTGCGGAACATGGATCGCTTTGCAATTGCTGAAGAAACCGGCAATGGCAATTCGGCGACTGCCGATGCCGCTGCATCCCTGGCCCAACCGCATGGCGGCGAGCAGCAGCTTAAGGAGATCACAGTGCCGGATGTACTCATGCATCTGGTCGGGCACGTGGAAGGCAATCCGGACAATCATGACAACGATCCACCTGCTCCAGATGACGATTACATTGTGGGTGGCACTGGTGTCGTCAAGGCTCTGCAGTATGTGCTGGGCGAAAAAGCCGACGACCTGCGTCGCAGCAGTATCCCGAACCCCCCGACGCTGTCAGGCGCCATGTCTCCTCGCGAAAGGCCTTCCTCTTCCGCAGGGTTCGACGCGGAGCAGCAAGTCAAGGCGAAGAAGATGAGCAAGAATCTGCTCGACAGCGCGCGAAAGATTCGAGCTCGCCTGCAGCCTGCTCTCGCGAAAGAAGCCCGTGGCGGAGACGAAATGGCTCTGAGGCGGTTGGTGTTCTTAGACCAAACCCTTCAGAGCATGATCCAGCGCTTCGAGGAGGAATATCCCGAGACACGCCTTGCTCCACCTTCGCCCAAGGCGCTATCGCTTGCATCCTCCGGAACCGAACACTCAATCCCGCTGACGATCAATACCGCCGCAACAGAGCTCACCAACAAGTCCGACGACGAAGACGAGTACGAAGAAGACGGCAAAAGCCATCCCGCCTTCTCGCGTCACAACAGCGACGTCTCGCTCGCCTCGCGTGCACTCGGAATCGAAGAAGGCCATCTCCACCGTCTTGGCCAGCGAATGCGTCGGGAAGTCGTCGACTCACCTGCCACGGCGTTCGCGCCCGACGACGAGACGCCTCCGTGGAAAGAAATCGAAGCGAAACGCCTGGCCATCCTCCAGGAGCAATTCGACAGCATCAGCGGGCAGGAGTTGAAGACATTGGTGGAGGAGGGCGGGTGGGATGCCGCGCTGCGGAAAGTCGACGCGAACATGGAGGACTTGATTGCGTTGCAAGAGCAGGATCCTCATGCGTGGAATGCTTTCTTGGAGTCGCAGATGAAGGCGAGGATGAATCTGAGGGCGGACGCGAAGAGTCGAGCGTCGTGAGAGAAGTTTTTATTTATTCATGATATTTCTTGCTGGTCGGCAGCGGAGGGAGCAACAGGACTTGCATCGCTATATATCCCTCTTTTTTTTGAGATGATTGTACATGGATTTTGGCTTTCTTGGACGAGCTTGCCTGAGACACCGGGCAATTCATGTGTGAAGATATACAGGGATCTGTTCGAATTCCATCAGGGTCACTTTGCATGCCAGCCAATCAACACGACATCACGCATCACAATGTATTCAAAAAATGCCATCTTAGCAGGATCAGAGTGATGCGATTTTGTGTCAGAGCATGTCGCATTGTTGGCATTCCAGAGTACTATCTCCTCCCGACCGCCAACGCCATCATGCTAAATGCGCCGGCGTGTCGTGAACATGACAGACTGCCTTGGATATCTTTCCCCCCGAAAAAAAAACCAAGAGCCCTTATACCTCGGCGGCAAGAGCCTTGATCTTCTCCTGGACGCGGGCTTGGCGCTCGGCGTGAGTCAGCTTCTTCTGCTTGTACTTCTTCGACTCCGCCTTCCAGTAGTCCTTGGACTTCTTCTCCCCCTCGTCCTCGTCCTTCTTGAATGGATCCTCGCGGATCTGCTTGTGTGCCTCGCCGTAGAGCTCCTCGAGGCCGTCGGCCTCGATCTCGTCCTCGATGTAGCCGCTGAACTGCGACTTGTAGCGCTCCTCGTCGTCGTCGGCGAGAGTCTCCATGTACTCGGCGACGTGACCGCCGAAGATGTACTTGCGGAGGGTCTCGGCATCGAGCTCCTTGGTCTCGATGTCGTAGCCGGGGAAGCGCTTCTCGGAGTGTGGAACGTGGAGACCGCCGTCAGAAGCACCCTTCATGGCGCCGAAGACACGGGCACCGGTGCTGGTGCGGACGAGACCGACGTCGAGGAAGCACTTGAATGGGCGGCGGGTCTCGCCATCGACCTCGGCGTCCTCGGTGAGGGTGAACTCTCCATCTGCCTCCTCAACACCAGTGAAGTGCTCGGCGAGGTTGAGCTTGGAAAGCGCACGGCGGGCGATGAGGAGACCGACGCAGTATGCGGCGGCCCAGTTGGTGAGACCGTGGGTGATGCCGTAGCGCTTCAGCTCGTGGGCGTACGCGGCGACGAAGACCTTGTCGCCGTCGAGCTCGGAAGTGATGATCTGGGCGATGATGTCCTTGTTGGTGAAGCGGACGACCAGGCGGTACTTGGGCGCATTGTACTTGTTCTTGGCCTGGGTGATGAGGCGCTTGCGGGCGTAGTAGTCGGTCTTGCCCGATCGGCGGCGCTTGTACTTCACCTGGTAGCGGCTGCAGAGAGTGAGATGAATGTCAATGGAGGCGTATTGTCACACGAGGAGTGCTCACCTGAAGTAGGCCGAGTTCTTGACCAACTTGGTCTGCAGTTCATCCTCAAGTCAGCAATTGTCGCTTCAGACCTCCCCGTTCCGAAGCATCTTGCGGTGACTCTCACGGTGCCATACGCTTCGTCGGGGGCGGTATGGCTGGGAGCATACTCACGAAAGGCATGGTTGCTGGTCGTCGTCGCTTGCCCTGCGAGGTTGTCGGTCGGTTCAGAAAAGTCGAGCTCGCGAAATCCAAAATGAGTGCGGTTCGGGCTTGGCAGATAAGCTGCACTGCAGCTGTGCAAGTGGGGGCAGGGGCGACCACCAATGAAAACTTCAGTCAATTCGCAATGAATATTTGAAGGGATCGATGTGCTCCCATTCTGTGCGCAATCATCTCACAGTACATGTTCTCGATGCGCGACGAGAACAAGCGGTACATGCAGACCAATATCCGCGCGATTTCTGCAATTTCTGCATAGCAACCCGGCGAGGCATGCCGAATACGGTATTGGCCATCGTTCTGGCGCAGGATAATACATGCTGGTATAAAGATACAACATGAACCCATGATCTGGTGGACACAAACTGTCATAGGCGAGCCAAGTCGGCATGATGGTTTTCTATGAGCCGTTGGCTGCAGTCTTGCAGACGAACACGCAGGACTTCGCTCCGCTCCAGTGGATTTCCAGTGGAGAGTCGCATGCCGAAGCTGGACGCGTCACACGTGGCTGTCCTGAAGCCAGTTCATAGAGGCGGCTTATCTTCAGATGATCTTCTCCAGATTGATCTATTTCTGCGTCTACGTCGCCTATGCAAGTTACCATTGACGTGCATATGACTGTGTCTGCGTTTGGAAGTCACCGGACCTACCTAGGGGTCCCTCAGTCAGTCCCTACAGCACAGCGGGAATATGGCCTTGAAGCGCGAAAGCCGACGGAATTTTACTGCTGTCGGCTATTGGCACCCAACAAAGGGTCATTCATCAGGGTTCGACGACGGAAGGCGTAGCGTGTCAGACAAGGATTCGACGGCAGTGGCTGGCTTTTGCTTTGAGGAAGGTTGCGGAGTGACGCTCGCCACGGAAATCCTTCTCCAGACTGCGTGCAGATGTCAATGCCCGAAAGAGGCGGAGCTGCAGAGACCTGCGGGTCTCCAGAGAACAGTTGGATGCAGATGGCATGTTTTGATAAGCGCCGCGCATAGTTACAGGCATGTGTGTATCAAGTCCGTGAGTCTGATCTGGCGAGCCTCGCTCGGGTACGAAGCAGAGCAGTAGGCACGTAGGCAGTGAGGGAGCACAAAGCTACTGCAACTACGCGAGGGAAGTGAGAGTCGGGAGTTGCATTTCGCACTATCCGAACGTACGAGAGGCCGAGGAGATAGGTCGATACTGCGCTTCCTTTGTTGATTTCGTTGTACCGTATCATCAGCGATTTGAGGTCTGCTGATGACAATAATGATGATATGCCGCGCACTCCCGTCATTGCTCTCGTCACGCCTTTCAGGTTGGCAGCATGATGAACAAAGAGCGCGTCAGCGAGCCCGCCACTGTTGCCGCCTTCCGTCTTCCTCTCCAGACCCCGCAACATTCAATCATGTTTAGCTTAAGGTTGGCTAGCATGGCCAGCAGCAGCACACATTGGTACTGTACATAGCGGGAGAGAGGCTGAATGCCGCTGGAATCGCCTTATTGGCGTCTTGCGAACGAGACTCTCGTCATGATGAGCTCGCACCCCTTTCCGCTCGTCCTGACTTCATGTTGTCTGGCTATCGATAGTGGTTGAAGAAGCAGCAAAGCAAGTGTACTTTACTTTATTGACCTACTGTGTACTGTACGTGTACCTAAGGTACCCGGTAGTACCTACCGATTCGGAGAGGCAGTCGGAATCCGGGAGAGAGTGTGGGGCAGCTATTTCCAAGGGACCCCGGTCGTGCTATTGCCACTGCTGCCCTGTGCTGCATGTTTTTTACCCAGAGATCAGACTTATCAGAGAAGGTGCTAGCGACGTAGCGTCGACCCCGACATCCACTGCTCCTGTACACTGTATTGCTCTCTTGCATACACACATACACACGGCCTGCTCTCTTGCATCCACGTACACACGCACACGCACACGCACCTCACCGTCGGGATATCATTTGCCCTGGTGGATCGACGTGGCACGCAGCTCACAGCAAGCACCCCCTACTCTTAGTACACGTCTCCACCGCCGTGCGTCTCTTTCAGGCAACCTCCCAAAACCGCTGGCACGTCCTCGGAAGCGAACACTGTCCACGGCTTCCTGCTGCTACCACTACTGCATCTACGACCTGACCTTACATAACCGTCCCCTCTGCTGCTGCTGCTGCACAACGCGAACTCTTCTGGGACCTGGTGATCGCGCATGTCTTGCACTACCCGACCCAATCCTCAAAAGCACCATCATCACCACCACCAGCATCATCACCAACAACAAGACCGCCGTTCACCGCACATCTCCTCCACCACGGCGCCTTCCAGAGGACTCAACCCGGCGAAGTCGCCTCTCTCCACAAGAACTATGCCCTCGCCGCGCACCTCACCCGCCATGAGGCCCACTTCGCCCCTGTCACCCAGGCAAGCCGCACATTTCGACAGCCTACAGCCTCCTTCTCCCCAGAGGCCAATGCATTCTCGAACGGGCAGCAACCAACGCCGACCGCCCGCGAATTCTCTGAAGCTGCCTTCGCTGCCTCGATTCCATCCGGCCAACTTCCCCTCAGCACACAGCAGCGTTCAGAACACTCCCGACGGCACGACTTCTCCACAGCCTCCAGTCTCGCCAAGAGCCCACCAAAGAATGTACAGCGATGCCCAGAAACAACTCTACTTCAATCAACGCGAAATGCTCTCGGCAGCCGTCCGATCGCCAAACTCAGCCGACAAGCCCATCAGTCCGCGTCTACATCCGCTGGGCAGCCCGGGCCCTGTCACGCCTTTGGAGTTGGAAGGGGATGAGGGCTACCTCCTTGCAGGAGCCAGAAGTTCAGTAGCGAACACGTCAGCAGCTCCCGAGGAATTGATCGAGAAACTCATACGAGAAGAGACACGGCGCCATCGATCGGGTAATCCGTCCGCATCAGCGAGCTGCACCGGCCGGTGACGAGCAAGATTGTTTGAGGCACATAGGATAGACTCACAGCAGATTTGACAGAATCTGACGGGAATGGACGGTGTTGCATGGCCAGGGGAATGGATGAGCACTTTGGGGGCCCCAGTGCTTCCGCGGACCCCAGCAGCCCGGCCGGACCCTAGTTACTAAGCGTAGATAATGCCTACCTCCACCTGTTTTGTATGTGAATATGCACTTCCTAATAGCAGTATTAAGGAGCACTTAGGGATCGCTTAGTACTACGTAGTATAGTAGAAATCAACTATATATACTACCCTATAATATTAATTTTACTAGCTACTACGTGTCGTTAGTGAATGCTCTGTTTTATCCGGTCCTTGCGACAGGGTTGTACGCAGCACGCCTGCGTAAATTCTGTCACGGAATACGGCTTTAACACGGGCAATCGAAGCTGCTATATTCTATAGGGACCCTATTTCTATAGAGGGACTACCCTTCGGTAGGGTAGCGGCGGCGATATACTATAGTAGGCAGGTCGTGAACCCCCTGCCCTGCCTCTTCCTACGTAGGTATCAAAGAAAGTGCATATTCGTATACAAAATAGGTAGGGGTAGGCATTATCTTTGCTTAGTAACTGGGGTCTAGCCGGGCTGTTAGGGTCCGCGAGGGTACGGCGTTTCAAAGGCACTGAGACGCCTCAGAGATCCTTGGTGGGACAAGGCACAGGAGGCTTGCATGGTGGCTTAGGGGCCTGACGATCGTTCTCCCTCTCTTTGTTATTCCAAGACGGTCTGCTATGTATGCGGCCTCTCCGTAGGCTAGACGCCGCGATCAAGATTTGCATCGCAGACTGATGCAAGCCGGCGGCAAGGGATGATTTCAATGATCATGATTACTTCCAAATACTTTGGCTCATGAAAGAGCTGTTGAGAATCCTATTGATGTTGCTGTTCCATTCCCAATCCGCCACTATCAGAGTCTGTCTTCTATCTTCGAGATGACTCCATCTGTAACTCGGGTCGAAACAGCACTCACGCTTCCATTGCTCACGTTCTTGACTTTCGTCGCCCTCTGGGTCCACTTTGCCTAGACGACAAGATCAGGTATTAGAGAATATGCCGCGGAGCAAGCTGTAGTGCATCCGACTAGTTAAGCGAGCGTCCTTCATTCATTCATCGACGGGCAATATTTATAGGAAAGCTAGTAGTATGTACAACTCATATCCGCCCACAACGGGGAGACTTTCTGTCTGCCGGCAAGAATTCTCAAGAATGCACCCCCAACAAACCAGTCAAGTCATGTCACTTCGTGCCGCTTTGGGGGGGGGGGGGGGGGTGGGTGGGGTGGGGGGGGG